TAAGTTATTTTTTAAAATGCATTAAACAAAAAAAAAAAATTTATAGTTGTGTTTTTGGGTGGTGTTTGCTCATGAGAGTTCAATATTTAGCATTTGACAGAGAAATAATTATTTCTTAAATTTCTATTAGTGAAGTTATCTTTTTCCCAATTATTTACTTTTCCCTGTGACACCCTCTCTTTTTGTTTTTATTCCTTGTGGGGTGTATTATTTGGTCGTAAACAAAATATTTAAATATTTTCACTACTTTACAACAATATATGTATACAGTACAGTCTAAATGGACTTGCACTTTTAGCATTTCTATTATATCATTTTTCATTATTTATATTATACAATAAAACATATTTTTTAACTTATTAGAATTTACTAAAGTTATATTCTTTTTCTTATTTCTAAGGTGTATGAAAATATATATTATATACATTAATATTCACATATAATTAAAAAATAAATAAAAAATTAAAAATTGTATTCAGACATTATAATTCCCTAGCGCGGTGACTGGTACATGGTATAATAATCTAGGTGACATTGTTTATTTTCCACATTGTATTCTTGTAATCTTAAATTTCCGATCTAATCATAATGATCGCAATGCGATTTTTGTATATTTTTTTTAATCACCTAAAATTTTTTAGAGCTAATTAATTACAAGTTTCTCAATATCAGTGTACTACCTTGAAAACATTAGGTTATCCACCTCCGCCTCTATTTCCACAACACATGCAAAAATTACTGAATGGGAAGCGCGAAGAATTAGTAATTAATATAATTTAATTAAATATCTCAAATCTTAACTTTTAAAATCTTCGACTTGTCAGGTAGTTTTAGTGCGATTAGATACTTAAGAAGTTTTCAATGTTTTACTAAATAGCAGTTAAACAATTTTTTTTTTTTTGTTTTGTGTACATTGTTAGGCGACTTGCTTGTTTCCCAAAGGGGCAACCGAGTAGATTGCGCAAAATGATGCTGGAAACTTGCTAAGTATACAAGTTATCATATAGGATGGAGCAGATGTGTCGTTTAGTGTTTTTTCTCAGTAATTACTTCGAATCTCAATAACATTGCTACCGTCGAAATGGTATTATAGTATAATTAACTAGTAAGGAGTGGGAAGCTTAGTAATTCTTAAAGATTCCATTGAGTACTTTTTCTACTCGTGCTTCTGTTTCTCATGTTTTCGACACCGGCAATGGGAGTTGCTTATAATTTAGCTAAAGAACTCTTCTCTTCTAACTTTTTTTTCTAATTGTTAGTCGGATATTTTTCTTCATGCAATTTCTAGTTTTCTCTTAAAAAATATGAAGGATAAGAGTTCTAACTTTTCAAGGTCTCTCGACACATCAAATTTTCACCAAATTACGAGTCCAGGGGAGGGTCACCAAGTTCTTACTCCTGTTCAAGCTCCGCCTCCTAGGTGGAGTGCATGGGTTAATCCTATAACATATTATTCTAACGCATACGATTTAGTTGGCACCATAAGAAATGATGTATATAATAAACTATTTTGATACATAATAGTATGCTTCATATCTTGTTTATGGTGAGGGCTTAAGCCCAATACTACGTATATTTTGCAGAATACACCAATGGCATGTATTCAAAACAATCAACATCTTTTAATTCTCTCCAGACAAACTAAAAGGATGCCTATGAAAGTATTTCTTGTGATCATTAACTGCTTAATAGATAGAAGCTGAAAGTTGTTCGTTCGCAACGATTGAGCATTCTTAGGTACCTCTGACCTCGAAAAAGAAAGACAGTACAGTTGAGTCAGAAATACCTGAACAAGTTTCCAGGCATCCAAACAAATGAAATTCCTGCATCGAGAAGCAAGTTAATCCAATTTATTAGAAAATTTAACTGCCATTTCTCAATTGATTGAGATTAATTTTGTTTTATTACTGGTAAGAAAACTAGAAGTTTTACAGTACATATAATTCTTAACTTCGCTAACTTCCCTATCAAAATATTTATATGTTTTGCTTACGAATCGTCTCTAACAACCGTATCATCAGAATTCCAAGATTGAAGTACGTTCCAGCTCTTTCTTCCACTTGTGTCCAAGAAGTCGACGCTTTGTCTTCTGATTGGCTGCCGTCCATCCACAGCATGTTACAGCCTATTCGAAATCTTGCAATGATAAAGTCTCAGATACCTCGCCTACCAGAGCTATTCAAAGCCGATAGAACTTTTCGCGGCCTTTTTTTGAGTGGAGCAATCCAGCAGTTTCTCGAAGAAGCAGCATGGACCTTGGTTTTCTTGAACAGCAGAGAAGGCTTGGATGCTTTTGAATTGAGAGAAAAGTTTATACACGAGCTCGATGCCTTTGCAATATTGAGCACATTTATGCAGTGCATTATTCGTGCTACAGTTAATTTGGCTTTTGAGAAAATAGTTCTTGGACATTTTGTGTCTTTGAGTTGGCAGAATCTAGGGAGAGAGAAATGGCTCATACTATTTCTACAACCATTGAAAGAAGCTGCTCAAGCCTCGGAATCAACCAATCTCTTTCGAGAAAGCCACCAGATCTCGGACGCAAGGTTGTCTGATAAAAAGAAAACACTAATACTTCCTTGATGCTGAATTCTCCAAGGCTGTTAGATGAAGAAGAAAATATAGAGGGCTGAAATTCGGACGCCTTAATTCCAGAGGAGGCGCTTCTTGTTCATAAGAAATCGCATTTGGCAGGGACAAGCTGGGAAATAAGGTTAATCAGAACGCTTGAAAGATTTGGAGAATATGCAAATTTGAAAGAGGTAATGACAGAGGCCCACACTCTGGCTCTGGAAAGCAAAAGAGAAAATGAGACGGCTAGTTACACCGTCCATCTTTGGAAACTCAATTTGAAGGGGAACCTGAAGAAAGGTTTTTAGATCTCCTGGAGACATAGCTTCAGTGTATGCAGTCTTTTTTCTTTATGTTTCTATTGCTGAACTGATACCTGGAAGTGCTTTGAGTTTAGTTTTTCAATTTTATATTTTCTTCTGTTAATGATAACCCATTTCTTTTATTTCTTCCGTAGAAGCAGTAGGAAACTCAAACTTGATCTTGTTTACAAGCTTGAGGTTTTAAAGTCATGTATCTTTCGGGTTGCCGTCTTTTCATTTTATAAGCATTAGTGCCATATTTTGTTGAATATATTAGAAATTTCACATTGCTCCTCAAAGGTCCAAAACCTAGGGTTAGGCCCTATATTTTCCCATATTGATTACTTTGAATTAACTTTATAAATTACTTATGAGATACAGTCGTTATAATTTATTTAGGAAATAGATATTAATATTGAAATGAATCTACATGTTGATATTTTGCGTCTTAACTCAGAAGAATTAGTAGATTTCACTTGTGGAACTTTTAACCTTAAAAAACTAACATTTTCTTTGTATAATTCATGTGAATGAAAATGAATTGATTGTTAATATATGACGGGAAGGACCGAAACTTAGTTTAAAGATTTTTCGAATCGGACTTAATAAATATGAAAATTTTACGTTCTTCGCTCATTAAAATATTGAATTTTTCTCTTATTTACGCGGCCTATATATTTTTTTCTTATTCCACACTATTAATACTATTTTCTCAATATTTTACTTTCTGTATTAATAAATTGATAGATACATGTTCTGTCCTCACTCAAATTTTTTTCATTATTCGTAATTTGGATTTTAAGTTGAGCGAAATAACCTCCCTCTATATATAATAATATATAAAAGAATCGTACATATACCCTCCAAGCTGAAGGGGAAAAGATCTGATATTCTTTTTGTTTGAGGAGGCAGAATAAAGAAATGGACAGATTAAAGAAAAGACAGGGAATGCAAGAAAATTAAGCAGGTTAAAGGAACACAAAAAAGATAAAAATGGCAATTGCCGTTTTGTATCATCAAAAAGCAAAGAAAGAAGTTCTTTTTAATGGAAAGAGTGAAGATGGGAAGAATAAGAGAGCTATATGTATAATATATATATATCTAGCAGAGAATGTTTCATTTATATTTGATTGTGAAGAACTTTTTGCATTTAGAGCCAAAAGTCCATTAATTAAGCATATGGCAGGTAATATGAGAATTTTCTATATTTATCATATCATAGCCAAAGGCTTTTTTATTTTTTTGTTCAAGTTTGTTACAACGATTTTCTTATTCCAAATTTGTTGTCTAAATTTCTTGTTGCAGCTAAACAAAACTTACTGTAATGTGGGTGAAGCTTTGCTTCATCGAATTCCAATGGAAGAATCTCAAAAAATGTTTTCCAAACATTACTGACAAGAAACTGTATTTCAGATATATTCATGATTGGTTGCCTTACTAAATGGTATTTAACTCTTCTTGGTACTGTAGCTATTATTATTAGATTAGCACTTGTTGGTTTAGTTTTGTTTCAACTGAATTTCACTGATTAAAACGGAAAAACTAGAATTTGTATGAAATAAAAAAAAAAAAAAACTAATTTAACTCTTAAAACCGTTCGATTTTTTTTTTTATGGCTTTTTTTTTTTTTTGTTAGTCATTTAGGGGTTTTAAAAATATTTGGATTTCCCGGTTTAATATTCATAAAAACCGAACCTAAACCAGAAGATTTTTTATTTTTTCTAGCAAAAATAAACAATCACAACTGAATAGTATTAATTCCAATTCCATTGTTTTTTTTCGTGTTTTGTTGAACTCTTAAAAAACTATATTATGGATCAGAATCTTAAGTTGATTGGCTCAACGAGTATAAGTTCTGTATATAATTTTTTATGCATGAAAAACTGATTTTTTTTAAAAAAAAAAACAAAGCCTAATTATTTATTCAGTTACTCAGAGAAGTTCTTTTATTTTTTTTTTCTAATTCAAAAATTATTTATTTGCAGTAACATTTCCAAATTGATACTTAATGTCTTCTTGTTAAAATATCTTCTTGGTTTTTGTTGTTTTTTTCTATAGGCGGTTTAGCTTTGTTCTTCCAAAAGGAAACCACAGTTATATTATCTGTCAAATATATCTGGGCCGTTGCTGATTCATGTGCAAATTTGCCTTCTCGGATGGAGCAGAAAAAGCAAAATTTTAGTTTGGCAGTTATTAATCACTCCAAATAGCAAGTCTCAGTCAGGAAAAGGTAATTGATTTAAATTTAGGTTCCCATTTTTTTAGGTCCGAGGAAAATAATTTTTTTGCACACTTATTATCAGGCAACTACCGTGCAAAAACGGAGTTGGAAGGAATTTGTATTGTCCTTCGAGAATGTAATTAAATAGTTTAGTTTTAATGTTACCGATATTATCTAGGGTTTGAAATTGTAATAAAACATTTATTGTGTCTGGCACAAAGGCTAGCAGCTCTCTAATACAATAACTCCCTATAACTAATCTTTATGAAAATGTACAAAAGTTTCTATGTTGATTATCAACAAGTATTCTATTATGCTAATTAATTAGATGTGATCTTATTGAACTTTTTACTAATGTAAAGAGCGGACGATTTCAGGTTCGAATTTATCGACAGGAGGAGGATACCCTTTGTAATTATATCTAATACATATCTTAGTTGACATGAAAATAATGCATAACCTATTTTGATATTATTTATGTTCACGTCTTGAATTCTGGTGAGGCTAAGCCAATACTATATATATGTGGCTTAAACTTTATGTATATTTTGCAGAAATACTATATATATGTGGCTTAAACTTTATGTATATTTTGCAGAAACAACACATGAATTCAATGCAAAAGAAGCTGATTGGGGTTTTACATCTTTTGTTCCTCTTAGCAAAATAAGAGATCCTAAAGAAAATTATCTTGTGGACGATACTCTTATAATAGAAGCTGAAGTTACTGTCAGCAATATTATGCATCCTTCAGTATCAGTCGAGCCAAAAAAACCTAAACAACAAAGCATCCAGGCACCACCTCCTCCTCCACCACCTCCTCCAGTGATCGCTAAGGAAAAGGAACTTCCAAAGGTAATTCTTTCCATTAAAAGACAAGTTTTCTTGAATTTTCTTTCTGAAAAGAAAATAACAGTTTTTTTTTTTTTTCTTTTTTTGGCTACCGTGATAGGATCCTTCCGTCGAGCCTAAAGATTCCTCCCAAGATGTGCAAACTAAATCTAAGAATATCCTAACAGAGCTTTCAAGCAGAACTACAACCCAAAGCTCATCTTCAACAGATGATATTTCAGTTTCACCTCAGCCTGATAATTTGCAGCAACAAAATGAAGCATTGGCAGGATTCTTTAACATGTCATTAGAGGCTATCCAACAGGCCAACGTCTTTGGCAATATTGAAGAAATAATCCGTACACTTATTCCAAATACAAACGATTTGCAAAAGAAAACAGTTCTTGAAGATCTTGCCTCTCGATTAAAAGAGTTTCAAGAAATAATCCCTACTGCTAAAGCCACTGTAGAAGCAGCTGAGAATCGTAAGGATCTTTGCCTCCTCGATTAAAAGAAGTTTCTAAGCAATGAATCCCTACTGCTAAAGCCACTTGTACGAAGCAGCTGAGAGACGTAGAAAATCTCTTCTAGGAAGAAAACAACAAAGCTTGACTCAAATTAGAGCCAGAAAAGTCGAGGAGAAACTTAGTTCCTTGGATCTAGCTTCTCAAAAGATTTTACAAAGAAAGTGAAGAAAAGTTGAGGCTGCAAATTCACGGTAACTGCTGAGAAAGAGAAGGCTTCTCGTCGAAAAGAAAAGTGTTGCTTCAGACTGGAGAAAGCTAATCCAGAAGTCATTAAGAAGACTTGAAGAATGGAGATCGCTTGCAGAGGAAATCTAATCCAGAAGCATTAAAAGACTTGGAAGAATGGAAAAAGCTTGAAGAGGAAATGAAGCAAGCTAATGCTGAGTGGCTTGGAGCAAAAGAGAAATCAGCATTGGCTAATATTCGTTGGAAACTTTACAAGGAGGAGTTAGGTCTTTGAAATGCTAAATCATTGAATTTATTCATTTATTGAATTTAATTTATAATATCATTGAAATAAATTATTGTGTTTTATAATTTCAAAAAAATAATGGATTTATTTTAACTATCATGAATAAAATTTTAGTTTAAAATTACTTTTTGGTTGCAGTTTCTTCCCATTCCTCTTTTTCTTTTTTCTTTTTTTTTTTTTTCTTTCTAATCTTATATTTTGACAATTTAGTTAACTAACAAGAGGATTATATAATTAGAAATAGAAAGTGATAAAATATAAGTGCTATTAAAATTAATTTTTAAAATTGGAGATCTTATTTCGAAATCTCACATGTTGCGAAAAGTGTACACATATATATTAAAGGGGTTATACTTATCGAAACCGGATTTATTGCTCCACTCATAAATCAAAGCAATGAATATATGTATTTTTAAGAATTGTTTTTTTTTTTTTCCCGGTGCATGGTCAGAAATCTCTTCATTTCAATAAAAACTCTTACTTTCATTGATTTGGTCTATGAATAAGGACATAGAACCGATTTAGGCAAATCAATCCCATTACAAAGAATGTTATGAAAAGTATATGTTTATATATTATTATATTAGAGATTAAATGTTCCTAGAGCCTATAGCCCAGACCAAATCAACGGCAATAAAAATTTTTAAAACTGTTTTTTTTTTCAATGAATAATCAGACAAAAATTTATTTTTCCATTAGATTACTCCACACTCACACTAAAAGATAAAAATAATATTTTAAAATCATTAATATTTTATTTAAATATATAATATTTAATGACGATGAAAAATTAATAAATTAATTTTACAAAGTTAATATTTTTATTTAAAATATAGTAATATTTATATTTTAAAATCATTAATATTTTATTTAAATATATAATATTTAATGACGATGAAAAATTAATAAATTAATTTTACAAAATACAACTTTTAATTAATATATTTACCAAGGATGTCTTGGGAACTAGACTAGGCCTGAATTGAAAATCACAGTCGAAAATGGCAGGACCAAACCAGCAGTAAAACATAAACGAGAGACTGACTCCACTCCACATATTCCCTCTCTCTATCCATGGCTGCTCTTTTTTCTTGCTGTTCTCTCCACTGTTTCTCGTCTCTCTTTCCTTCCCCTTCTTCTTCGCTTCCAACTTCTCATTTTCTTCCACAATTACTCTCAGCAAAACCAGAATTCCCCTCTCTTTCCCGTTTCTGCTTCAGCCACGGAGAATTCCTTGACCGACCCACAAATCTCCCAGAAACAAAAATACAAAATTAACCTTGTTTCAAGCAATAGACACCTTGGCTCCAGCCTCTTCAAGCTGTTTCTTAGCCTCCTCTGCCTCTTCCTTTGAAACTCCTTCTTTGAACTTCTTAGGCAAGCCTTCAATCAAGTCCTTAGCTTCTTTCAAATTGGTCATTTATAAAAATTTAAGAATCAAATTGAGCATTTATCTTAATTGGAATTAGAAGAAGCGATCCATACGAAGACGAGTTGGCAACGAATGAGCCTTATTGATGGCTAATCATCATTAATAAATTAATGGACTCTAAAAGAAATTTTAATTGATAAAATAAATTACATAGTATTGATTGATAAAATAAAAAGGGATTGACCAAATTAAAAAAAATATAAAAATTCAAACTTTGTTTAGTAATTTAGTCTTCATGATTGATAGCTTGATGAATGCAAAATAAATATTACTAATAATTTATGGATGTTTATTAAGTTTAAGCGTCAAAATACGATGTTACTCATTTTTCTTTCCTTTAAAAAATAAAAAATTTTGTTCATTTCCTGATATGTCGCCACGTGCACATCCTAACAAAAGAAAGCTTTACGGTCAACGGATTGGAGAGGAACTTTCAAACAAACAAAACACTCTAACGTTCCTCGGCTTCAAATTTGAATCTAAACCATCCTAACCGTCCATCTAATCTCTTTTAACCATCCGATCATTCCCGTACCATCCTAACCGTCCATCTAATCTCTTTTAACCATCCGATCATTCCCGTCACACATCTCTCCAAACTCCCCCCATTTTCCCTCAAAAACACTTTATTTCAAATCTCTACTGCTCCTCTCTCACTCTCGCCCTCTCAAAATTTTCTCCCCATCCAAACAGCTGCCCGTCACCCTTTAAATCTTTATTACCTCCCTAAATTCCGATTTCATCCCCAAAATCTTGCGCTAGGTTTTCCTTTGGCATAAAAAACTTAACGCTTCACTTTTTCTCTTACTAAAGAATAAGAGAGCTATATATATATATATCTATGGCAGAAGAATGTTTATTATCATATGATTGTGAAGAACTTTGCATTTAGAGCCAAAAGTCATTACACATTTAGAGCCAAAGTTCATGATTAATTAGCTAATGCGCAAGCGTATATATTGAAATTTTTTCTGGTCTGTTGGATAAAGAGGATGGGGTAAGAGCAGAGTGAGGGTTCTTGGATTTTGACGGTAGGATAGGTATGAGTGAGGGTTCTTGTTGAGGAAAGAGATGCTGCCATTTTTCTGGTCTGTTGGATAATGGGAGAGTGAGAGACGAAGAGAGTGAGGTTTGGAGAAGAAGGATAGGATAAGAAAAGAAGAAGGTTTGTGCCTTTATGTGACAGAGGCGTTAATGTTATGGGTTGTATATAATTTTGATGGACCGAATTATCCTCTTGAACATTGCCATGTTACCTTTTTGGTTGGATTGGCCCATTGGGCTTGTGTTAATAGAAAGGATAAACTCTTGATCTGATTCTTTAATTTTACTGAATATTCAATTTGATACAAAAATTAACTTAAAGACATAATTCTTAATTTATAATTAACTAATTTTTGAATTAATTTAAATTTTTTATAATCAGTTTGTCTCGTTCTTTAAAAAAAAAATAAATATAAAAATATTTTAAATAATAAAATTGATATTTTATTACTTTTATTAAAAAAATATGTTAAATTACTTACAAATTCAAATTTTACGTCGTAGATTTTAGTTCAAATTGGTCATTTATAAAAATTTAAAAATCAAATTGAGCATTTATCTTAATTGGAATTAGAAGAAGCGATCCATACGAAGACGAGTTGGCAACGAATGAGCTTATTGATGGCTAATCATCATTAATAAATTAATGGACTCGAAAAGAAATTCTAATTGATAAAAAAATACATAATTTTGATTGACAAAATAAAAAAGGATTGACCAAATTAAAAAAAAAAAAGTAAAAATTCAAACTTTGTTTAGTAATTTAGTATTCATGATTGATAGCTTGATGAATGCAAAATAAATATTACTAATAATTTATGGATGTTTATTAAGTTTAAGCATCAAAATACGATGTTACTCATTTTTCTTTCCTTAAAAAAATGAAAAATTTTGTTCATTTCCTGATATGTCGCCACGTGCACATCCTAACAAAAGAAAGCTTTACAGTCAACGGATTGTAGTGGAACTTTCAAACCAACAAAACACTCTAACGTTCCTCGGCTTCAAATTTGAATCTAAACCATCCTAACCGTCCATCTAATCTCTTTTGACCATCCGATCATTCCCGTCACACATCTCTCCAAACTCCCCCCATTTTCCCTCACTTCAAAGTTTGAATTCTAGACCATGCCTAGAGCGTAGGCGCAGATGCTAATGCTCTGTTGACTATGAGTCCGAATCAATGGTCCCTCACGAACATCTACTCTCCGAAACACCCCCCATTTTCCCTCAAAACCACTTCATTTCAAATCTCTAACGCTCCTTCTCACAGCTTACTCTCGCCTCTCAAAATTATTCTCGCCCATCCAGAACGACGCTGCGCCGTTACCCTTTAATATCTTTATTACCCTCCCTAAATGTCCTATGTCTATCCACCCAAAATCATTGCCACTATAGTTTTTCCACTTGCAATAAAAAGTATAACGCTTCACACTTTTTCTCTATACTTAAAGAAACATAGAGAGCTATATATTATGTAATGGCAAGAAGAAGTGGTGTAATATCATATGAGTGTGAAAGAACTTTGCCATTTAGAGCCAAAAATTCATATAATTAAGCTATGGCAGGTATATTATATGAAAATTGTTTCTATTTGAATTCATATCTATAGGCCAAAAAAAGCTTATTTTTTTTTTTTTTTCTTAATTTGTTCAGTAATGTGTTCCTTTTTCCAAATTGTTGTTTGCTAATTTCTTGTTGCAGGATATCAAAACTAACTGGTAATGTTGGGTTGATAAGCTTGTGTGTATTCATTCGAATTTCGCAAAGATGGAGAAATTAAAGAAATTTATCCGACATTAACTGACAGGTAAAGTCGAGTAGTCTCTGTCAGACATAGCCAAAAGCTTTTTTTTTTTTTTTTTAATTTGTTCAGATTTTCTTTTTCCAAATTTTGTTGCTAATTTCTTGTTGCAGATATCAAAACTACTGGTAATGTGGTTGAGCTTGTTTCATCGAAATTCCAATGGAGAATTAAAAAATTTTCCGACATTACTGACAAGGAACTGTATTCAGATATATTCAATGTTGGTGCCTCTAAATGGTATAATTTCTTGGCTACCTGTAGCTAATATTACTAGAATAAGCACTTGGGTTAGTTTGTTTCAAATGAATTAAACTAGATTAAACGGAATAAACAGAATTTTTGAATAAAAAAAAACTAATTTAACTAAACCAGTTCGATTTGATTTTTTTTTTTTTAGTTAGATCAATTTAGGTTTTAAAATATTTGGATTTCCCGATTTAATATAATAAAAACCGAACTAAACAGGAAATTTTTAATTTTTTCTATCAAAACTAAAATCAAACTGAATCATATAATTCAATTCCATTGGTTTTTTTCTGTTTTGTTGAGTCCTAAATATTATATTATGGGTCAAAATCTATGAGTAGTTGCATTGGCTCAACGAATATAAGTTTGTAATATAATTTTTTATGCATGAAAAACTGAATTTTTTTTAAAAAAACAAAGCCTAAATTATCATTCATTAATCAGTGAAAGTTCTTATTTTGTTTAATTCAAAATTATTATTTGCAGTAACAATTCCTAAATTGATACTTAATGTCTTCTTGTTAAATATCTTCCTATTTTTGTTGTTTTTGTAAATTTATCAGGCGTTTGCTTGTTTACCCAAAAGGAATCAAAGTAGATGATTATCTGTCAATATTTCTGGCTGCTGCTGATGCAACAAATTTGCCTTCTGGATGGAGCAGAAAAGCAAATTATAGTTTGGCAGTTATTAATCAATCCAATAGCAAGTCTACAGTCAGAAAAGGTAATTGATTTAACTTTAAGTTCCCTTTTTATTAGGTCCAAGGAAAACATTTTTTGCACAGTTAGACACAGCTACCGTGCAAAACGGGTGAAATGATTATAATGTCCTTCGAGAATGTTGATTAATTAGTTTTAATGTTACCGATATTATCTAGGGTGAAATTGAAATAAAACATGTATTGTGTCTGGTGTAACCTGCGCCGTTTAGTAGGCTAGCACCTCTCTAATACAATCACTCCCTCTAACTAATCTTTATGAAAATGTATAAAAGTTTCTAAATTGAATTATCAACAAGTATTCTATTATGCTAATTAATCAGAAGTGGTCTTATTGGACTTTTTACTAATGTAAAGAGCGGATGATTTCAGATCCGAATTTATCGACAGGAGGAGGATTTACCCTCTGTAATTATATCTAATGCATAACCGATTTTGATATTATACATGTTCACGTCTTGAATTCTGGTGAGGCTAAGCCAATACTATATATATGGCTTAAACTTTATGTATATTTTGCAGAATCAACAGATGAATTCAATGCAAAAGCAATTAATTGGGGTTACAGATCTTTTGTTCCTCTTAGGAAAATAAGAGATCCTAAAGAAAATTATCTTGTGGACGATACTCTTATAATAGAAGTTGAACTTACTGTCAGCGATGTTATGCATCCGAGAATTCTAAGAATTATCTTAGTGGTGATACTCTTTCTCATAAGTTTGAAAACTTATGTCAGCATGTTTCTGCATTTGCTAAAGTGACAAAGAGAAACCAACTGAGACACCAAAGAAATCCCAAGAAGACACACCACAATAATAAAATCCAAGCGACGATCCTCCCCAGTGATGCTATAGGAAGGAATTAACCAAGGTAAACTTCATTACATAAAGACGAGCTTTATTGAATATTCTTTCTGAAACAGATATACAACATTTTCTTTATTTTTTGGCCTGCCATGACAGGATCACCTTCGTCGAGCTAAGACCTTCTCCAAGATGTGAAACTAATTTAAAGATCTCTAACAGAGATTTAAGCAGAAATACAAGACCAAGACATTCTTTTCCACGATGAATATTTAGAGTTTACACTAGCATCATAATTTGCAGCAACAAAATGAAAGATCTGGCAATGGAATTATTTAAATGTATCTAGAGGCTACAACAGGGCTAAGTCTTCTGGACTCATTGAACGAAATAATCAGTGAACCTCTATTCAGTACAAACGATATTTGCAAAGACAACAGTACTTTGCGATCTTGCTTTCTTAAAGATTTCAGAAATAATCTAACTGTAAAGAGCCACTTGTAGAAGCAAGGCCAAAGCTGACGAACGTAAGAAAATCTCTTCGAGAAACACAAAAAGCATAGATTCAATATAAGGCAAGAAAGATCGAGACGCAAATTAGATTCATTGGATTCTGAAGCTTCAGCATTCAAATGAGAAAGACTGGAGAAATTGAGGTGAAATTCAAACCGGTATAACTGACTGAGAAAAGAGAGATTCCCTCGAAAGCTAATCCAGAAGCATTAAAAGACTTGGAAGAATGGAAAAAGCTTGAAGAGGAAATGAAGCAAGCTAATGCTGAGTGGCTTGCAGCAAAAGAGAAATCAGCATTAGCTAATATTCGTTGGAAACTTTACAAGGAGGAGTTAGGTCTTTGAAATGCTTAATGTCCCTTTTAATGAATTGAATTATGCAATCTTTTTTTCTTTTGGATTGAATTTATTCATTTTATTGTGCTTAATTTATAATATCATTGAAATAAATATTATGTTTTATAATTTCAAAAAAATAATGGATTTATTTTAATTATCATGAATGAGGAGGGAGCTAGGTTTAATTTCAGCATGTGAATAAAAATTTTAGTTTAAAATTACTTTTTGATTACAATTTCTTCCCATTCCTCTTTTTCCTTTTTCTTTTTTTTAGTTTACTTTCTAATCTTATAGTTGACAAATTAGTTAATTAACAAGAGGGTTATATAATTAGAAATAGAAAGTGATAAAATATAAGTACTATTAAAATTAATTTTTAAAATTGGAAATCTTAGTTCGAAATCTCACATATTGCGAAAAGTGTAAATATATATATTAAGGAGATTATACTTATTGAGACCGGATCTATTGCTCCACTGATAAATCAAATCAATGAAAATATGTATTTTTAAGAATTGTTATTATTTTATCTTCTTTTTTCTCGGTTCATGGTCAGAAATTTCTTCGTTTCAATAAAAATTTTTATTTTTATTGGTTTGGTCCATGAATAGAGACATGAAACCGATCTACGCAAGTCAATCCATTACAAAGAATGTTATGAAAAGTGTATGTTTATAGGTTATTATATTAGAGATTAAATGTGCCTAGAGCCTATCTATAGCCCGGACCAAAAAATTTATTTTTCCATTAGATTACTCCATACTCACACTAAAAGATAAAAATGATATTTTAAAATCATTAATATTTTATTTAAAATATATAATATTTAATGACAATGAAAAATTAATAAATTAATTTTACAAAATACAACTTTTAATTAATGTATTTCAATGTAATAAAAGGACTAAATAATAATTTACCAAGGATGTCTTGGGAACTAGACTAGGCCTGAATTGAAAATCATAGTCGAAAATGGCAGGACCAAACCAGTAGTAAAACATAAACGAGAGACTGACTCCACTCCACATATCCCCCCTCTCTATCCATGGCTGCTTTTTTTTCTTGCCGTTCTATCCACTGTTTCTCGTCTCTCTTTCCTTCCCCTTCTTCTTCGCTTCCAACTACTCATTTTCTTCCACAATTTCTCTCAGCAAAACCAGAATTCCCCTCTCTTTCCCGTTTCTGCTGCAGCCACGGAGAATTCCTTGACCGACCCACAAATTTCTTTCTCCACCCAATTTTCTTGTTCAGTGGCTTCGAAAGGCCTTTGGATACCCAAACTGCTCTCGCAACAGTCAGTGTCCTTGCCGCCATTTCTCTCTCCCTCTTCTTGGGCCTCAAGGCAATTTCCCATTTTTCCTTTCCCTTCGTTTGATGCATTTATCCCGAGTATTAATTCCTTTTATGGGTTTTGCAGGGAGATCCTGTGCCTTGTGATAGGTGCGCCGGAAATGGTAATTCTTTCTCTTTCTCTTTGACTTTGTCTCGCTTTCTAGCTCTTCTAGTTGTATTGTATGCATTGAAAGCTACTTCCTGTTTAATTATGAATAACGATAAAAATTGCAAGTGGATTATGAGTAGGAATAAATTTTATTCCATCAAAATTTTCCAAGCATGCCTTTTTAGTGAAGTTCATGCTATTATAATAGCTAATTAATTGGTAATTTTTAATTTTTTTTCTTACTGTAGTTCCTGTCAAACTCTAATGATTTAAGCCTATTTCATTATCTGGCATACCTGTGCTTGAAAGCTCCTATTTTAGATGATTATTAAATGTATATTGTTAAGGTGTATAACTAGCAACTTTACAGGATCTGAGTTCATCATCCCAAGTCATAGACATTGATCAACATTTTATCTTCGAATAGTATGCAGAACTGTTGTAAGCGCTATTCAAAATAATAGGCTTAATTTGAACCATGATCATTAAACTTATCGTTACATTTTAGCATAATCACAAGAATTCATTTTGTTTTAGAAAAATCACTTATCTTTGATTTCATTTTATTTCAAGATCGTCATTTTCAAATTTCAAATTTTTATGTGTTAACTGAATAAGAAAGTTCTATATCATATAAACTATACTTAAAAAAGAATTGTACTTTGTTATCATGTAAACATTTTTTAGCTGAATTCGACCAAAATCTAGCTGTAGTAATGTGTTGACGTTAACGAATTTGAGAGTATTGATAAAAATTGGAAGTTAATGAATGTGTTGAAGTCCAAAAAGTAGTAGCTTCAACCATGAACTGTTGTGATTTCTTAGTACTTTGCCTGCAATGCATAAGAAAGTACTAGTATTATAAATTGCTAACCTCATCCATTTTGATGTTTGTAGACTGATTTTTCTTCTTCTTCCTTCTAAAGTGTGCCAAATTATTGCATGACCTCAAGATAGCACAAAGATGCATTCGTAACATCTCTGTGCTATGTATAAAGGTCTACATACGCTCCTGCACTAATGCCTCCCTCTCTCTCTGTGCTCTGGGTCGTGCAGAGTTGGGGAGGAAGCAAACTTAATAACACTTACAGATTATTATTGCAGTTCAGTTGCCAAAATATTAAGTGGAATGAACTCAGTTTCAGGGTTTGTTCTTTCAAAGTGACCAGTTTGAGTACATTAATTTCATAATTGGGTTACGTATCACTGAAATGAGTCGGTCTAAAATGGTCAACTTTTATGTATACATTGTTTTTGGAAATTAAACCAGCCTTGTATTTTATCAAGGTTATACATTTCTGCTCATCATATTCATTGATTACTAGATGGTATTGAGTGAGAACCACTGGTTATAATGATTATTAATGTTAACAGGCGGCACAAAATGTGTGTTTTGCAATGATGGCAAGATGAAGCAAGAAACAGGACTGGTAGATTGTAGGGTGTGCAAGGGTGCAGGTATTACTTCCCAAGTTCAAATACATATGAAACTGTTGTAACTTGTAAGCACAAGGAGTACCAAGTGATATCTTATATATTGATCTACCCGATGAATTTACTGTGTGACATGTAGAAGAATCAGTTTATGCTTGCTTTAAGTCTGATTTTGCTTGTTTACAACAAGTTAGTTCACTGTTTGCGCACTGATTATAGTTATTACCGTTGAGGTCACCTATTTAAAGTAAATTTTGCACAGGCAAAATGGAATATGGCTTTCATTAAAAATGATATTCTTTTAGTACTAATTGGTTCTTGATCGTGATGTTAGAAGTGATTTCTCATTTTGTTTAAGTTTTAAATTCCATTATGTAGGACATTTTGGATATTGAAGTACTTGAAATGTATTTGGGCCTTCTATCTGCTTATTTTTTCCAATTTGTAATCTTGTTGCGTCTTTGTAGGATTAATACTATGCAAGAAATGTGGAGGTTCTGGATATTCTAGACGCCTATGAGCTTGAGTTCAGCTCTGCAGTCTGCACCAATCACATATTTTTGACCCAGAAACAAATTTACTGAAGCTTCAATTCTTTGCCAGACCTTGTTTTATTCTTTTTCCCCCTCTATATTCTGTAAATTATTTCCCTTCCCTTGTGTCCAATTTGTGATTATAATGAAGTCTCCATGACTGTAATGTTACTGACTCTAATACAACTCTTTGTTTGAATTTGACATCAATCAATTTTTAAAGCCATCTCCAGCTGGTTAGATAATTTCCAAAGAAAATGATGTTATTGAGTTTCTACCTTTTGTACTTTTTTTTTTCTTTTAATGAGAGCTGAGATTGAAAACGAATAATTTATATAACTGATTCCAAGAACTAAGGTTTGGTTGTTATTATCTTTTTCTTTTTATTTTTCGTATTCTTCAACTGGAAAAATTCTTGAAATATTGATAAATTGGCTGTTTAAAAGGAAAAATAATTTCTCTGTATAGTAGTATGCTTCTTTACGAAGGATGTGGAAGAGCAATACTGATTTTTCTTCTAGAGGCAGATTTTCAGAGACCATCCAATCTTATCAATCACCCGCTCCTTTAGAAACGCAAAGATACAAAAAACAACAGGACATAGACAAACCTCGTAAAGATGACACACCCTCTAACCGAAAGCCACCTCTGTTTTTAACTCTTTCTTTGTTGTTTCTTTCTTTCTTTCCTTCCTTTGCCTTCTATATTTCATCCCCCAAATGCTTCATTTTTCCCTCACTAACACCCACAAAAATGTCTGACTCTGCTCCTTATGAGGTGGATGAATGCAGAGGAGTCCTTCGCGTTTACAGCGACGGCTCTATCTGGCGTTCTACTGAGCCAAGCTTTAAGGTTCCTGTGCATGACGATGGTTCTGTTCTATGGAAAGATGTCCTTTTTGATCCTTTGCATAATCTTCACCTCCGCCTCTACAAGCCAGCTTCACCTTCTTCTTCCGCTAAGCTACCAATCTTTTATTACATCCATGGCGGCGGTTTTTGCATTGGTTCTCGAACTTGGCCTAACTGTCAAAACTACTGCTTTAAGCTTGCTTTGGAGCTTCAAGCTGTGATAATTTCTCCAGACTACCGATTAGCGCCAGAAAACCGGCTTCCGGCTGCTATTGAGGACGGGTTCATGGCTGTGAAATGGCTTCAAGCTCAGGCTCTGGCCGAGGCGGCGGATTCGTGGCTGACTGAGGCGGCAGATTTTGGTAAGGTTTTTATTTCTGGTGATTCCGCCGGTGGGAATATTGGTCATAATTTGGCTGTTCAGCTTGGGGCTGGTTCGCCGGATTTGGCTCCTGTTCGGGTGAGGGGTTATGTGCTTTTGGCTCCGTTTTTCGGTGGGACTGTTTGGTCTAAATCAGAAGCTGAAGGACCAAAAGATGCTTTCCTCAATTTGGAGCTCATTGACAGGTTTGTAAAGTACTTTTCTGCCAAAACTTCAAAACAATTGCTTGGGTGATTCATAAGTGGAAAATGTTATTATTTTGTTAAACAAATTAGTGTGGTTCTTAATTATTATTTGACAAAGTTTATCTTATAAGAATTCTCGGCTTTTCATTAATTTGATGAGCTAACGTGAGTAGCGAGATAATGACTAAAACCTTGCCATATAAAATTTTTGGTGATGACATATGAGATTATAATGCCATATATGACTCTTAAATTTTCATAGTGTTACATATAATTTAATTATTAGTTATGTTGTTATATAAATATTGATATTAATTATCATAATTGATACATATTAGTAAATAATTATAATTATTATAATATTGTAACCTATCTTTCTCAATTAAAATTACATAATATCTTAATTGTCATTCAATTATTATATTAATGTGTATTAAATAATTATAATATTATAACTTATTTTTAATTAAAAATTATCATAATTTTGATGTTGATTATCGTATTAATATGTATAATATTGATATTGAATATCATTATAATCAATTATAATTATCATTTATTATTATGAATGAAAATTTTATATTTAAAAGAATGATAGAGGAGGTTAATAGTGAAAATATTTATTAATAGTTTTAATAATAATGAATATCCAAACGTTTCAATGTTTATTTGTATTAAAATTGCAATATATATTTTTTTATTAGTTTTAATGATAATACATTGAATTGCCATTAATTGCTTATTAGTGGATTATAAGTAGAGGAAGCTCTTTGAGGTTTGATAATATCAATTTTTTTTTTTTTTTTTTTTTTTTTATTTTAATAATCCAGCAATTTCTTTTTCACATTGATATATATTATTTTTCCTCTTCTAATTTCCTATAATCTATAAATTAAGAAAATTTTGGATAATCATAGAGAAGTTTATATGAAATTAATATTAAGAATTATGATTGAATCTTCAATTTCCTTTTAATTTTATTTATTTCCATTATTTTTAATATCATTAAGAAAGTTTTTAATTCAAATACTAATTTAAAATCAATGATTTAATATTATTTCCGTTTTCTTTCAATTTTATTATATGCATTTAATTTTTTATATAATTGTTATGTTTGAATTGAAAATAGATGTTTTTAAATCAATTTTAACAATTATAAATAATTTAAATTATAAATTTTTTATTAATTAAATTTTATATTTTAAAATATTATCACAATATCTCTAAGATCATAAGATCATGAATAAAAATATTTACTGTGCATAGCACAAAGCATGCTTGCCAGTGTTTTATTATTTTCTTACAGCATACAACATTTTTGGATCTAACTGTGCTAAATTATGTTTAGGTTTTGGAGACTATCCATTCCCATAGGGGATACAACTGATCATCCTTTAGTGAACCCATTTGGACCACAAAGCAAGAGTCTTGAAGCAGTAGAACTTGATCCAATCTTAGTAGTGATGGGAGGAAGTGATCTGCTGAGAGATCGAGCCAAGGATTATGCAGAGAGACTGAAAGCTTGGGGAAAGAAGATCGAATACATTGAGTTTGAAGAACAACAACATGGGTTTTTCACCATTGATCCTAACTCAGAACCAGCAAGCAAGTTGATGCTAATTATCAAAACTTTCATTTCTGAAAATTCCTGCTAAAGAATTCCATCTGTAAGCTTACATATATTTTATATATGTGCTTGTCCTTCTTATTTGATCTGCAATGTTTCCTCAATTCATATGAATAAAAGTTGCAAATGTTAATGCTAAAAGGCTTTTATGATTTAACACCATGAAATTTAAGTTAAAAGCTGTGTCCATTCCAACACCCACATAAGGTTTCATGGAGAGATTACTGCTGCAAATCGAGAAACAGGATGTGGCGATTTCAATGAGAAATCAAGAAAAACAGTGAGATGAATGAGAAATCAAGAAACACAGTGAGATGAAAGCTGCTGATACCTATGTTGCACGGAAACGGGAACAAATAATTGTGAAAACAGAAAAACTAAGAATCGTGGAAATACGGGAATTTTACACGAAGAAACGTTATCTTATATGAAGAAAGGGGTATGTAGACGTGAAAACATTTCCAAAACAGAATGCCCATGGCAATATAATTTCACACGAAGAACACAATTTTACACGAACAAACGCCCATGGCAATACAATTTTCCACGAAGAAACAGTAATGTACGGGGAAATAGACAAGTAAAAACATTTCCGAAAAACGAAAATGCTCATAGCTAGATAATGCCCGTAGCTAGATGTTTTTCGAGCATGATAGGCCGATAGTATAGTCCCGAAATGGGGAATTAAAACCATGTTTAACGTTGAGGGTAACAGCAGACATAAGCGAACATTCATGCTTCTTACCCTGAAAAATACAAGAGCTGCATATTGTTTGGAGGCAAACACATTACTAAAAGAGGAAATCTGGTTTTTTGCAATTTGTCCTGTATTTTTCAACAATATCCCAGGAAATTTTTGCAGCAAAATTCACTTTCTCATTTTACTTTTTCAATAAGATTCTCAATCTGTAAAATGCTCAATGTGGGAAAAGGATTTCATGCTAATTTCTTAGATTTTACTCAAACCCATAAATCCTAAAACACTGGAAATCCACATTCAATTACAAATTCTATGAATTCAAATACATTTTTCAAATTAACAAAAATAGAACACTACAAATCTCCCCAGAAAAAAAAAATACAAAATTAACCTTGTTTCAAGCAATAGACACCTTGGCTCCAGCCTCTTCAAGCTGTTTCTTAGCCTCCTCTGCCTCTTCCTTTGAAACTCCTTCTTTGAACTTCTTAGGCAAGCCTTCAATCAAGTCCTTAGCTTCTTTCAAAGCCAAACTAGTCAATGCCCTAACCGCTTTAATCACTGCAATTCTCGCGTTAGATGGCACTTCATTGATCACCACATCGAATTCCGTCTTCTCCTCCACCGCAGCCGGTCCAGTATCCGCAGCTGCTCCTGGTGCAGCGACGACAGCGGCTGGGGCAAAGGCGGCAGCGGAGACTCCGAGCTTGTCCTGGAGGTAGTCGACCAGAGTGCGAGCTTCCTCGAGAGTTAAAGAGGAGATTTCGGTGCCGAGTTTTTCGATTTTCTCGGGAGCGGAAACGGCAGCGATGGGCCGGAGGTGGGTGGACCTGTGAGTGAGAGTGGAGGAGGCGAAATTGGAGCGGAAAGGGAATTCGACGAAGAATTGTTTAGTGGTGGTAGTGAGGGTTCTTGTTGAGGAAAGAGATGCCGCCATTTTTCTGGTCTGTTGGATAATGGGAGAGTGAGAGACGAAGAGAGTGAGGTTTGGAAAAGAAGGATAGGATAAGAAAAGAAGAAGGTTTGTGCCTTTATGTGACGGACGTTAATGTTATGGGTTGTGTATAATTTTGATGGACCGAATTATCCTCTTGAACATTGCCATGTTACCTTTTTGGTTGGATTGGCCCATTGGGCTTGGATTAATAGTAAGGATAAACTCTTAATCTGATTCTTTAATTTTACTGAATATTCAATTTGGTCCAAAAATTAACTTAAAGCATAATTCTAAATTTATAATTAACTAATTTTTGAATTAATTTAAATTTTTTATAATCAGTTTGTCTCATTCTTTAAAAAAATAATAAATATAAAAATATTTTAGATAATAATTTTATAAAAATAAATATTAATAATAATTTATGGATGTTTATTAAGTTTAAGAATCAAAATACGATGTTACTCATTTTTCTTTCCTTAAAAAAACGAAAAAATTTGTTCATTTCCTGATATGTCGCCGTCAACGGATTGGAGAGGAACTTTCAAACAAACAAAACACTCTAACGTTCCTCGGCTTCAAATTTGAATCTAAACCATCCTAACCGTCCATCTAATCTCTTTTAACCATCCGATCATTCCCGTCACACATCTCTCCAAACTCCCCCCATTTTCCCTCAAGAACACTTTATTTCAAATCTCTACTGCTCCTCTCTCACTCTCACCCTCTCAAAATTTTCTCCCCATCCAAACAGCTGCCCGTTACCCTTTAAATCTTTATTACCTCCCTAAATTCCTATTTCATCCCCAAAATCTTGCCCTAAGTTTTCCACTGGCATAAAAAAGTTAACGCTTCAACTTTTTCTCTTACTAAAGAATAAGAGGAAAGAACAAAGGAAGGTAACATCTCACCCGTTCTAAGAAAATGCCGTTCATTTCTGAGGCGGCGAGCGCAATCAAGAGCCGGTTTGGTTTTCATAACCGCTCTGCTTCCGAGTCAGGTCCGGCAACTGTTCCAAGCACTCCAGATCTGCTAAAATCCGCTTCACGAGAGAATACTTCTTCCGTTTCCACGTCAGTAATTCGAAGAATCGATGATTGGGAGGATGGTGCTGAAGAAAGCAATGGATTGGTGGCTGATCCGCAGACTAAGAGCTTTGAGATTTGTGAGGATCCTTCCTTCTGGAAGGATCACAATGTGCAGGTAATTAGAGGTTTTATGACTAGTATATATTTCTGCATTTGGAGTAGTTATAATTGGAAAAACTGTATAAGAAGTTTGGTTATGTAAGTTTGAACAAGTTAGGAGACAATAATTGCTTTTGAAAATGCTAATGGTAGCTTAAGGTGGGAAACGTTAAGTTTATTGAAGGTTTCTGATTATTAGATATTTAGAAAGTTGTACTGACCATATTTGTTATTGTTTTTTTCTTTTGCCAATTCTCGTTAGGTTATTATAAGACTACGTCCACTTAGTAGTTCAGAAATATCCGTACAAGGCTATGGCAAGTGTGTTAGGCAAGAGAGTTGTCAAACAATCACTTGGACAGGGCATCCAGAGTCGCGTTTCACCTTTGATCTTGTAGCTGATGAGACTGTTAGTCAGGTACTTTTTTTTTTTTTTTTTTCTTAAAGCCGGGTATGTTCCCCGTGAAACATTAAAGACTCGACAAGTCGCTTATAGAATGTTGACTACTAAGTGGGGACTTTCTACTTCCATTTAATAAGGGAAGGGGGCTTTGCTTAACCTGTTGGTTTCTGATTAGTCTCAACTCTCAATTCCATTTATTGTCTGAGGAATTTTAATTATGCAATTTGACAGGAGAAACTGTTCAAAGTGGCTGGATTGCCGATGGTGGAAAATTGCATAGGAGGGTATAATAGTTGTATGTTTGCGTATGGACAAGTGAGCTTTCAACTGTTGTCTTAAGTTTATCGACATCACTTTGTTATTTGTTGTTCTGTTAAGCATAGATCATTCTTTTACTGTTTGTATGACAATGGTAAATAAAATAATTGAATATGTTGAGTTGTAATTACGTATGCAGACTGGAAGTGGGAAGACTCATACAATGCTTGGGGATATTGAGGGAGGCACTCGAAGACACAGTGTCAACTGTGGAATGACACCTAGAGTATTTGAATATTTGTTCTCTAGAATCCAGAAGGTTTGTGTCTTTCCACTTATTTAGGTTGTTGTCATACCAGGACCTAACTTTTTTTTTATTATTTTTATTTATTATTTTTAAGTTTTGGTTATATGTCCTTGGCTGTGTTCTTTTTTCCTTTTCTATAGTTTGGAAGACATTTCTCACCCAAAATCTTCTATATTACTATCATCTTAACTATAAGTTGCCACTTAGAAATTTCAACTTGAAGGCATTGATTTTCTGGCTGTATCCTGGATAACGTTTTGAAATAGGAGAGTCTAAAAGCTTTATTTTTGCAGTAAACATCCATTTCTAAGTTGGGATGTGATTTCAACGTCAAGATGGCAGCAGCTTGTATAAAAAGTGAAAATTTTTGTTTTTTCTTTCTGTGGTTACTGTAAAGTGTACTTCAGTTTTATAATTTGAAGGAAGCTGCTTTGATATTATGATACCTATTGTAAATTTTCAATTTTATATCTCACTATATGCATTGAACTGCCCGTTGCTTTATACCAGATCTGTCTCATATATACCACAGCAAATTTTCTGTCATACCTTAATAATTTTCTTGTTTTGATGCCATAAACTAATTCCAATGTCCAATAATTCTTTTGTACTACAGGAAAAAGAAGCTCGTAGAGATGAAAAGTTAAAATATACATGTAAATGCTCATTTTTGGAAATATACAATGAACAGATTCTTGATCTGTTGGACCCATCATCTAATAACTTACAGGTACGTATTTCTTGGTGAGCTTTCTGTTCCGCCACTAATTACTTTACTTCCAAAGATTAATCAATTCTTTTTTTCTTTTCTAAAGCTAGTAAATCTTAAAAAGTTTCTCTTATTGTTCTTATTTGTTATTAAGAAGTATTATAAATCATACATGTTCACAGCTATTCCCTTCTTTTTACTTATTTGAATAATAATGTTTGTTTTGGGCATGTATTGTAGATAAGAGAAGATGTAAAGAAAGGGGTGTATGTAGAAAATCTCAAGGAGATAGAAGTCACAAGTGCTCGAGATGTGATTCAACAACTTATTGAGGTATGCAAATTACCTGATCCAATCTGCTCTTTGATATTTACTGAGTAGCTATATTAATGTCACTGGTATTATATAATTTCATCTGAATCTTAACTTATATTTGAGAGTTCCAGAAGGATGTTTATCTGGCTTAGAACTCCTGTATAAGTTTTTCTTTATGAAGAAATTGGGAAAAATCACTAACAATGAGTTTTATTGATAAGAAATATTTCTTCCGAGAAAGCTCTTTTTAACAAATGCATTTGCATGGATATTTGTCACCTTTATCTCATTTGCGACTAAAAATAGTTATCTCAAAACTTTTTCTTTCTGTTTTCAGGGTGCAGCAAATAGAAAAGTAGCTGCCACTAACATGAATCGTGCAAGTAGTCGCTCCCATAGTGTATTTACATGCATCATTGAAAGTAAGGTTAGTATATCTCCCATTTACAATTGAAAATAGCTGACAGATTTTTCTAGTGAATTTCATTATTTGGTTAATTTCTTATACCCTTTGGCTTCTTTTGTCAGTGGGAATCACAAGGTGTAACTCACCACCGCTTTGCACGGCTTAATCTTGTTGATTTAGCAGGATCTGAGAGGTAAAATGTTGTGAAACAGATGAGTTGATCATATCAAACGAGACAAAAATTGAACTTTTAGTTGACTCTCAATTCTGTGTATGTATGATTGCAGGCAAAAGAGTTCTGGTGCTGAGGGTGAACGTCTCAAGGAAGCTACTAATATCAATAAGTCTCTTTCAACATTGGGGTGTGGTGGTGCTCCTTTTCATCTTTAGTTCATTTAGTCAATAAAATATTTAAAATTTTGTCTAAATGATTTTCAGATCATTAGAATCAATTCCTTTATGAATGCTTCATTTCATTGGGCTGGTTTTGATGTTTTGCAGACTTGTAATTATGAACCTTGTAAGTATATCTAATGGAAAGTCACAACATGTCCCTTACCGGGATTCAAAGCTTACATTTTTGCTTCAGGTATATATTTATTATAGTATAGATATAGTCAGAAGTATATAATGGGTTTTGATTATTTAAATGTTGTGGATATATGTGGCTACAATTTAGTTTGTTAGGAACCTGCTTTTGTGCAATTTATCTAGAAACTACTTGAGTTATGTTTGCTCCTAATGGATAAATATTTGTGGGCAAAAGTCCAAGATCAATTTATTATGCACCTATAAAGTTGAATTAGTTTTAGTGAGAGCCTTCTTTGAGAACAAATACATTTCTTCTCTCTGCTTTGGTATTGCTGATTGCTCACCTTTCAAGCATTAGTAAAACCTTGATCTTGCCATCTTGGTGTAGAGTTTTAGTGGAAAGGAATTTAATGGGTAAATTTGACATATGTTGGACTCAGGACAAAAGGAAACACCTATGCTTAAAACATAAATCACTCCAGACCATAGCTTGAGTCGCTTTCACTTAGTACATCTCATTTCAGCTTTCTACATGCTTCACCACTCTATACACCAGTTCAACTCAAGAAAACTTGTTTCTTCAGATGTATTTAATTTCAGGACCACAGTTTGAAGCAATGATAAAATTATTAGCCAGTAAAGCATAAATATAACAATTCAAAGTCTTGAGCGTAGACAATTGACACAGAAAGTTTTTACGTGAGGAAATTTGAAGAGCTCTTATTTAGGCAGATCATATGGGGTGGTGGACTAGATATCAGAAGATTAAGTTAAGTGTTTGAAGTACTAACTTGAAGAATGGAATTGGGCAAGTTTTAGTCATGTGTATCATTGTATGGATTCCACTATACAGTTTTTTCTCATAAAGTTTTATTCCTTTTATTTTCCAGGATTCACTAGGAGGGAATTCAAAAACTATCATCATTGCAAATATTAGTCCTTCTCTATGGTTAGTTGCCAGCATTTTATGATTATTTCTTCCAGATTTTTTTTTTACTGGATGTATAAACTTGAGAATTCCATTTGTTCTTCGATAAAAGATTTTGTCAGATATTGACTCACTCTGTACAAATAAACACTCGTATTTGTACTTGTGTCTCTCTTGATGTTGAAAAATATTTTTCCTGATGAATTAGTATAAAAATAAGGAGATAATGGATTCCAAATATCATACTTCAAGCTATGAGAGACCAAAATCTTACATAAGAATTATTTTCTCTGCGTAATTTGGTGCCAAAAATAACAGTGTTTAAGTTTCAAACTAAGAAAGATGATGAACTGATTTGAGTCCCTCTTAATTGCTTCCGGATTCGGAATGTAGACTTCATGAGTTCAGATTCAGTTTTTCACTTTCTAACTTTTCTCAAGTTTGATTTATTTATATGGTTATTCTTATTTGGGTATTACCATTTTCTTATGATGCCTTACAGCTGTTCATTGGAGACATTAAGCACATTGAAGTTTGCTCAACGTGCGAAATTCATTAAGAACAATGTATGTTAGCTATACCTTGGTCATTCTAATATGCACCTTTGTAGTTTGGTAATGTAGGAAAGAACAATAAATACTTGTATTTTTAAAAGGTGGAGTGGAAAATTGAAACTTGTCCAATTCATTATTTCACATATAATTTTCCTTCACCATCTCCATGTAGCCAAAATATCCAACAGACTAGGTCTGTTCCAGGGGCATTTATAATATTATTCTACTTTATGCTAAATCATTTTAGTCATTTCTTATGAAAATTTGCTTCTATACTATACTTTAGGCAATTGTTAATGAAGATGCTTCCGGAGATGTTCTTGCCATGCGCTTGCAAATTCAACAGCTCAAGGTACACTTTTCAATTTGAGATCCTCTATCCTGAAATAGTGTAGCTGCAATTAAATGGTGATGCTAGTGTTTTTCCCGAGTAAATAATTTACCTCATTTTTTTGCTTTGTGTAAGATCACTTTTACTTCTTAGGAAACATTAATCCATCTAGTTTTACATTCACTGTGATGGCTTGATCATTTGCAAACATAATTGGAACTTATACATTTTTCAGAAAGAAGTGTCCCGTCTACGTGGTTTAGTCAATGGCGGAACTGAAAATGTGGAAAATGATAATTCAATTATAAGCTTTCCAGGATCTCCTGGAACCTTTAAATGGGAAGCACTTCACGGATCATTTAGTCCACTTGTGTCTGACAAAAGGATGTCTCAGGTATCCATTTCTCCTTCTTAAGGTTCGGACAATATCTAATCAGAACTGTTATTTAATAGTTGGATATCTTTATTTTATCAGAAGAAAGACTTTGAAGTTGCCCTTGTTGGGGCTTTCAGGAGGGAAAAGGACAAGGACATTGCACTCAAGGCATTGACAGCTGAAAATCAAGCAGCTATGAAACTGGTATGTGTAAATAAATTCTTGTCAGTTTGTATGCTGTGTTCGATTAACACATGTTGACATATTCAACTGAAAGCAACACAAACTTTCATATTTTGGCAGAAAAAACTGTAAAGAAGGTCCATTCCAATTTTTATGTTTTTTTTTTACAACAAACTTGTTAGTTTCATCAAGCGCTAAGGTTTTCTGACAATAAAAATTTGATATCTTGAATCTAGGCCAAGCAAAGAGAGGATGAAATACAAGGACTAAAAATGAGGTTACGGTTTCGAGAAGCAGGAATCAAGAGGTTAGAGGCTGTTGCTTCTGGAAAGATTTCAGCTGAGACACACTTGTTAAAAGAAAAAGAGGAGCATCTGAAGGAAATTGAAGTTTTACGGACTCAGGTTGACCGGAACCAAGAAGTCACAAGATTTGCTATGGAAAACTTGCGTCTAAAGGAAGAAATTAGAAGGCATGTCCTTGTTACCCTCTTGACTCTCTCCTGAAGCATGTTTTCTCTGCTTCCAACTTTTGTTTGTTTCTTCTCACCTCACTCTCTTTTCTATGTTATTGTAAGGGTAATGTTCTCTTTTCTGAAAATGTCGGCTTGTTAATATTGAGAATTGTTGTGAAAAATATGTTTATCAAGATCAAGGGACAAAAATTCATTAATTAAAAACTAAATGTCTTCTGAGCATCTTTACACGCATTAACATATTCAGTGGTTGCTTTGACAATAATTTCCAGCTAAGATTTAGAAAAGAGGTTTATGCATTAGAAGGGATTTAATGCCAGCCTGTGGCATGAGATGTCAATATTTGATTGTTTGCACCTTTCTTTTGTAAATAACATGTCAACAAAATTGTTTCTTCTCAGATGCATAGGATTTGTCTGAAATATCATTCTGTCAAAGGCCTGTATTGTTTCCGTAAAATGACTTTGTTGTGCTGGTCTATGCAGATTAAAGTCATTTTATGAAGAAGGTGAACGGGAGATGATGAGTGAGCAGATGATGGTGTTACAGAATAAGGTATGCAAGTTAAAATATAAAATATTCTACATTTAGCCTTTGTTGTCAAATTATCCACCTTCTGAATTTAAGGGTCTTCTGATTATACATGCAGTTGCTAGAAGCTCTTGATTGGAAACTTATGCATGAATCAGATCCACTTGAAGTTCAGGTTCTTCAAAAGCCTCATTATGAACTTAGAAAGTGAAATATCTAATGAGTATTTTTGTCTTTTTACCTCAGTTTTGTATTTCATGTTTTACAGAAAGCAAATTCAAATGCAAAGACAGAAATTTATAGTGATCCAGTAATTTCTAATCAGGTAAATTGTTAGCTGGTTTTGTTCCAAAGTTTTTTTGATATGTCAGTTGTGGCCATGTTTATCTAGCTGGATGATCTTCATTGTCTAACCTTGCCCTCCCTTTAAAAAAATTTTCCCTTGTTAGTTTTAATTTTATGTTTTATGCTGTAAGTTACCATGTCTTTAAACTATGGAATTGCTTAAAGCTTTGCCGGCTCTAATGTCTAAATATTTGGTAAACCCAGAGTTGCTTTTAACATCTTGTATACCTAGTAATCCTTTCCAGTTTGACCCTTTGATGTCACTTAACTTGATTTTGTACACAAGGCATGGTCACGGTAGGGAAGTATCATTCTAGGAATTGACTTGTTCCTAGATTGTATTTCATTCTAAATCTGTGCTATACCATTAATTATTACAAAGGGACTGGTGTTTTGACATCATATATGACTTTTAGTATACATTATTCTTGTTTTCTGACTTCACATGCATAATGTTACATTTAATTAACTTATTTCTTATTTATTATAAGTTGCATTTTTTTTTCCAATTTTCTTTTCATTTCTATTTTTAACATGTCGTCAAAATATTATCCTTTGTTTTCTTTGCCCCTGTATTGTGGTGCAATTAGTTTGTTTGCAAATGTGTGCAAAGGCTATTCCTAGATAGGTCAATATCGATGAGAGCGTGCGTCGTGAAGCAATGTTTTGCTTTGCGGTCGGAATATAATTTAATCTAAATAATTACATTTTGGCAAATGTTTGACTAGTTTGATGCTATGTACCTATTCTTTTGTATTCATTGCTTATAGATGGATTAATTGCAACCATGGCCATTAGATTTTTGACATTAAATTGTTGTATGCTTACTCAACTTTAAATAATACATCAAAATCAAGTTCTGATTTTGTTTTTACGTCACAATTAATGAAATTTTATAGAGATAGTCATATTTTTTATGCGATGACCAAATAAATCAACATTATGGAGTTGTATTCTGTGACATCTGAAATATGTTAGTCTAAACTGCTTTAATTAGCAAACTAAATATAATGTAATGTTCTCTCAAATGCAGGAACCACAAACACCCAGGCGCTCTGCAATAACCGAGGAGAATGAATTCCTTCGCATGCAGGTATACTATGTTATTCTTTGTACATCCCCTTTTGTGTAATTCATCCTACATTTGCCTTGGATGGAAATGAAGTAAAAATAATTGTATTATGTCACAGGCAATTCACAATCAGTCAGAGATGGACGCACTCCGCAAGCAGTTGGGCTTTTGCCTTGAAGAGAAAGAAAATTTGGGAAGGTATTTACATTTATATTTTGCAATAATTTTTTTTATATATTTAGTGTATTAGTATTTGGCAACAAGTTGGAGACTGCTTTTTGTAAAAATGTTATTTTTAGATGTTAGAAAAAGTAGCTTAGAAGTGTTGCTTCAAAATTTGAACTTCTTTTACTAAAACATGTGAAATTCATTTTGAAAATGAACATTAGTGTCCCATAATCAATATTTCAAACACAATTTTAATTTTTAATGCCAAATAGATAGTTAGGTGTTAGAAATTTAATTTAATTTTTACTTGTAATTAAACATGATTGGTCAGTATTACTAGATAGTGTGTAGCCCATGGAGACTAAGTTTTACAAACCCAACTTTTTACAAATATATGCATTATTATATCTTGATTAGTTTGTTTCCTTTCCAAATGGTAAAATGATGTTGTCTGCCTGACCAAATCATTTTTAGGCATGTCAATGATCTGTTAGCAGAACTTGAAGAAGTGAGATCCATTGTGAAGGAAGGAAAACAGCAAATTGAGCTTTCTCCTTTGTCTGCTGATGCATCAGTTATCAATGTTCATGGTCAAATGGAACTTAAAACAATGGTTGATGCCATAGCTGCAGCAAGTCAAAGAGAAGCAGAAGCTCATGAGAAAGCAATTACTTTGTCCAAAGAGAACGAAGAGCTACAGATAAAACTAGAAGCTTGTCTGGAGACAAACAATGAGCTGCAGACTAAGCTTAAAGCTTTGATTGAGGAAAAAAATAGTCTCATTGAAATGTATGAACGAGCAGCTTCAGAAAGCAGCAATAAAACTATTAAGAAAGCAGTGTGTGCTGAGCAAAATGATATGGAAATTCATTTTCATGGTGATTCCGTTGAATCTGCTAAAGCAAAAGAGATTGAGATGGAAACAATTGCTAAGAACCTAGAGCACCAGCTTATGGAAATAAACGAAGAAAATGAGAGATTGATGGGTTTGTACGAAAAAGCCATGCATGAGAGGGATGAGTTCAAAAGAATGCTTTCTACCTGTGGACAGAACAGAGTTGAATCTAGAGAAGTAGATTGCCCAGAAAAGCTTGTTGAAGTTGATGGAGGTAAATATCCAGAGTCATCTGTACCTCTCTTCACTGAAGCAAATATGCTGCATGAAAATGTTGAGATATCTGCCATAGGTGATGAAGCAAATGTTTATACTGAAGGAGTTCCTTCTTCTGGCTTTGACGATGCGGTTAATGCATGCAGACAAATTCACGGTGATCATCAAGCAGAAACAGAAAATCAGGCTGGTTTTGAATCTTTTTATGATTTGGAAACAGAACCATCAAATCTTACTTCAATCAAAGTTTCTGGAGATCTAGAGTTTGTCAGGATGAAGCTGGAAATGGCAGAGCAAAAGGTTTCAGATTCTGCAAAAACACTTGCCGTCCTAGGTTCAATTGAGAAAGCTATTGTGGAGTTTGATAAACTTTGGAGGGAAATAGAATCAGCAGAAGATGGGTTCCAGGTCAAGGAGAAAGAGCTTACGTCCTTGCAAGTCCTTTCTTCAGAGATCCAAGAAAGAAAAGCTTTCTTAGATAAGAAGTTGTCAGCACTCAAATATTCGCTATCAAGCTTTTCTCAGTCAGTTGTTTACTATGAACAGCGAGAAGCTCGGGCAAGGGAAAGGGTGAATGCTTCATCAACTAACCTGGAGCAAAAGAAAGAGGAATTGGCTCGTCTTCAAGTTTGCAAGGGTGAAATTGATGCTGCCTTGAGTAGGGCTCAACAAACAGAAGTTGAGTTGAGGAATAATCACACGATTTTGAAATCCAAACTCGAGGAAGAGAAGCGTAGGCAAGAGAATGAAAAGGTGCTACTGGCGATAGATAATGTTGACAAAGTAGACACCTCATTTAGAAATTGGCATTTAGGCGGTAAAGCTACTGATTTACTCAAGTCAGAGGAAGAAAAGATAAAGCTGCAAACTGAGATAAAGCAATCCCGGGAGAAGCTTAGTCTCATAATAAGTGAGCTTGATGATCTGAATAAGAAGTCCAGGAAGATAGAGCAAGAATTGCAAACTGTTCAAATGGACATACAGAAAGAGTCAAGGATATTGGAAGAGTTGGAAGTTGCACTTCGGAGAGTAGTCCAAGAAAAGGAAACCCTCTTGGAAGTCGGAGAGAATGGAAAATCTGAAGTTCAAAATACAATTCTTGAATATCAAAATAATGTATTTGATGCAGATTTGAAAGTGGAGGAGATAAAGGCATTGGAAGAACAAATACTGATAGAATTGAGAAGACTGGATGAGTTAAGAATGGTGAGGATAACAGCAGCTGAGAATATGACTAAACTGTTAGAAACCAGAAGCTGCAATTCATGCTTATTATCTGAAAAAATGGAAGAAGAACTGCGAAATGTTTGGAATTCTCTTGTGGAGGCAAAGACATTACTAGAAGGGAATTTGAATTTCTGTTAGCTCCTCCGTTCAAATGTTGTTTGTTTTACGACATTTGTACAGAAGATTGATATCCTGATGTAATGTTTGCGAATGTTTTATCTTTCATTTTCTGTTAATATCATACCCTCCTTGATAATAACACACTAGGGATATCTGTAGAAGCTGGTCCTGAGTTGATGAAAGTTTGCTTCACAAGACTTGTGCAGAGTAAATTTATGCTTGTTCTCTTGACAGCAACGTAACTTTGTACCGGCTAATATTAATATGCTGGCATCAGACAGTGAATTTTTATTGATTGTTCCATTGAATTTTGACGTCAATGTTGCGCAATGTTTGAATAGGCTTACCCAAATAATGAACTAAAATAAACCAGAAATGGAGGGAAGATATGATCTTTTACGATTTTCCATCATGCCTTCCAACAATCCCAGCATAGTAGCACACAAAAAAAGGAGTTAAATATTCAAACTTAACAGGTCTCTGAATGAAAGAAGAAGAACAAGGTAATTTATTATTAATAAAATTATGAACTTCAGTCTAAATAATATAACAAAGAAGCTTTTGTATCATTAGTAAAACTCGAAAAATGTTTCTTTTTTTCATCAACTTCCCATTTCCCACTCAAACTAGACCTCCAAGAGACTAAAAATATAGACTAACCTTTTACACCAAAACTAATGAGAGGTATGAAATATTATTAGCAAAACTAGTTTAACAAATTTTACACTTTCCGAGCAAGTGTCCTCTGTTTAGTAGCATGCTGGACAACTTTTTCCTCCACTGGAAGGCCTTTTCGACGTCTTACAGCATCAATTAGCTTTCTGGCTGTATTAGGCAGAACACTAGAACCATCTCCGAATTCTTCAATTTCCTCCTCTGTTTTTGGAACAAAGAAAGGATCCTCAGGAAGTGCTTCCCAATGGCTAAGAACAAGGAGAGCGCTTGCTGCGCCTGAAGTCCATCTTCTGAGCTCATCTGCAAAACCAAAGCTCTCAGAAACTGGGACATATGCATGGACTGTGAAAAGCGAAGATCCTTCCTGCATCTCCTCCTTCAAGACCCGAGCCCGTTTTCGATTAAGCACTGCATACATGGAGCCCAAATATTCAGTTGGGGTGTTCAACTCACAGAAATACATTGCTTCAACGAGCCGAGGTTTGTTCTGTAGTACAGCTGCTCTACACGCATCCTTGACAGCTGTCATAACTTGTCCTGTGAATACACCGTATTGCTCAGAGTGCTGGTTAGTCCCACCCTCATCAGATTGCTCAGCCAAGGGAGATATGTAAGCCTCAACCACAAAAGCTACACCCCACAATGGTTCGTCACAAAGTGGTCCAGCTGCTGTTGCAAGTTGGAATCCAGACACAACACTGTTCTGAAGACTTTCAGCTTCCATGCGTAATGCTTGAGTTATTTCAGAGTGAATATCAGTAGCTGTATCACTATCACCAGAATTATCAACTAGGCCCAATTTTTCAGATACAATAGGGGAACCCCGTAAAAGAACAGAGGAATCACTGCTCTTGCTTTTAATATCTGGAGTGAAGAGGATGTTAGGGCCAACATGCCTTGGACCAAGTGCCCAAATCCTCCTAAGAAATTTTTGCCACTTGAGTTTGTATTTCTCGGTTCGATCCTTGTCATTCTCATTCCATGACAAAATTTCACTCTCCATAGTATCCATTATGCGTTTTTTGAGTACTTCAATTGGATTCTCATCTCGTATAATGCTTGATCCAGGCTTCTCCACATCTCTATTTGCCTGCTCCAACTTGCCACCGATAACATCTCCAAGCATATCTGCACTTTCATCAAGCACCTTGGTTAGTGCAGGTGGCAGTTTCATGACTTGTACGCGAACAAGGCATCTTCCATTTGGTGTCATCTTCTCAACGTACGCTGAGCGCTTACTCAGTGATTTCAGATTGTCTAAAGCATTGGCTGTATTACCCTCAATGGTCTCTTTATAGGACACAAGTGGTGGGGAGACTTCCAGGCTCACCTTGGCAAATCTCTCCTTCAAATCCTTGATGCACCTTTCTAAGTGAACTTCTCCAGCTGCAGAAAGCACATGTTCCCCTCTAGAAGAAACAGTGACCTCTAAAAACGCGTCTGCCCGGTTTAGAAGCCTCAGACCTTTCATCAGAGCACCCATATCTGCTGGATCAGATGGTTCAATTGCAACTCTTAGAGTTGGGGCAACCTGGAATGCCATGCTGGAGAATGGCCAACAGTTCCTTGTGGATGAAAGAGTTGCACTTTTTAAAATATGCTGACCGAGACCTCGGATTGCAACAACATTCCCTGCCTTTGCAAAGGCTACAGGTTTCAGGCCCTGACCCATCATGAGATACAGCGAGTGCAACTCAGCCTCCTGCACATGCTTCTGCATTGATTCTTCCCTCAATGGGTCATATAATGCTGAAAGCACAAACACTTTTTGACCTGAATAAAGAACTCCACTAAAAATTCTAGCAAATGCAAGAAAGCACTCTTCTGATTCACCACTTCCATTGTCATCACTGTAATTGTTTAAAATCTCCCCATTTGGACCCCTTTGAGGTAGCATTTTTGTTGGTAAAGCAAACATCTTGGATACAAAAGCCACAGATGGTGCCTCAGAGCTGGAATCACAAATCTCTACCGACTTCCTCACAAGATCTGCCTCTGCAATAACATCGGAATTAACTGCATCATTAAAAACTGCTCTCTTGGGAAGCAAACGTGAAATACGAAAGGATTGGGCAGCAATTGGATCTGGCATACACTTCACAACCATTGACAAAATTGCATCTGACAAGGGAAGCCAACGGCTCATAACAGCTTGAAGCACAACCTTGGGATCCTTGTTCTGAAGTTCACGAGGTGGTACATTCAAATTAAATGACTTGATAACTTTATCTAGTAAACCTTTATTTCCCTCAGGCTCTGAGGCTGATTGGTAAACCTGCCATAGTGGCTCAAGCACAAACTGCACAAACATTGGCCGAGCCTTACTTACTCCTTCCACTCCCTTCTTCCCTACTATCATCTTAGTCTTAGGATTGAAATACCTAGGACCCCAAAGAGCCTTCTGCAATGCAGCTGAACTTGCTCCAAGCTTTGAAGCATAAAATTCTGCAAACTCATTAATACTGAAACCCCATCCATCCAATGCACAAACAAATGCTACATTCCCCTTCTGCGGCTGAAAAGTATCCTCCTCGTCATCTTCTATAAGCTCAAGGTTCTCATCACAAACCTCACCAGATGGCGCTGCAAGTAGTGAATCAACATCAGACAAATATTTTTCCGACTTATACGCGCTCATGATTCCATTCACCTCATGAACAATCCTCAACAACCGGGTATAAGCTTCCATAGGACTCAACTTCAACTCATAAATCAACCTATCAATCTTATTAAGCACCAAACATGGTGTTAGCTTCTCAATCCAAGCTTGACGTAAAACAGCATGTGTTTGTATATGAACCCCTTCAACAGCATCAACCAAAACTAATGCCCCATCACTCAATCTAGCAGCAGTAGAAACCTCACTACAAAAATCCATATGACCAGGGGAGTCTATGAGGTTCACTGAATAGTCTTTATAATGAAGAGCAATTGAAGAGCTTTTCATTGTTATTGCACGCCTTTGTTCTTCATCAAGGTAGTCCATAAATCTAAGCTTCCCAGCCAATTTAGGGTGAAGCAGACCACCACCAGTAGCAGCAATCAGATGATCAGCAAGTGTTGTCTTGCCATGATCAACATGTGCTAATATGCATATATTTCGGATATTTCGGGTATCAAAATCACCACCCATTTTGCTAAAACTAAGTACAGCAGCTTATTATTAAAAGATTTAACTATAACAACAGACAACCAAACAAGTCCTGCTCAGTAAACAAACAATCCAATTCAAAACTTCTCTTAAGAAATCAATTTGCTATATAAGGAAGAAATGGTGTATGAAAGGAAGAGGATTTTGACTTCTGTTGGGTTCTTTTCTATGGAGGATTTGGCAGACCCTTAATTTAGTTTCAGTAATTTCTACGTAACACCTTGACTGGGTATTTGAAAACATAATAAACATGTCTAACAGAAAGAAAGAGATAAAGAGATACCGTAGCAATGACACTTGCTATTGTCACTAGCTAACAAAGAGAACATACGCTTAATAAATGACCACCAACGGCACTGAATCCAAAATAATACCCAAATCAGCCAAGACCAAAACCGCCAAATTAATCCCTGTAGAAGAAGGAAAGAAATAGGAAGAAAGCGTTACAGGTGGGTGGCCTGTCTTAGAGATGTTGAGAGGGAAAGGAAAAGGAGGGTAAGACAGTTTCAGTGCATTCGGTGACAAAAAGAGAATTAGGGCTTTGTTAATACAGAACAGGGAAAGAAAGATGTTGATGGTGGTGGAGACGAAAAGGAAACGGTGCGTTTTGGTGAGGTTGATTAAATTAAGGAAAAAATATAGATTAGTCCCTAACTATAGTTAAAATTAATAGATGAGAGCTTTAATTTTTAAAATAACTCCAATATCCCAAAATTATAATTTCATTGACATTTTAATCATTTGATTCAGGACAAATGTAGCAAAACTAAAAAATAACATTATCTTATCGAGCCGAACTCGATTTTTAATCCTTACATTCAAAATAAATGTAACAAAAGTCAAATTCAAGGACAATATTACCTTAGATGAAATATGAGATGTCGATGAATTGGTAATAAATTGAGACAGGAACATGGAATGGAAGAACTGGCTTTCTATTCAAAGGCTTGAGGGGCAAACAAGTAATTTTAGTGGAAGTTAACGCATAAGGGAGCATGTACCATTCTTCATGGGTCTCCTTTTCTGACTCAGGAACCATTAAGGCTTGGTTGGCGAAGTATCCCTTCTTTCCTTCCTTCCTCTTCTCTTCCTAACCATAAAAGACAATAAAACCTTTAAACTCTGTTACTGCTATTCCCAAGTCTCTCTATAAATTCTCTGGAAAAGGCAAATTCCTGTTGAATTCAAATCTCTTGCTTTCTTTTTCTTCTTCTTACTCTTTCTAGAAAATTTTCAATTCTTCAGATTCTTCTTGAAGTGCCCAATTCCCAATTTTGTTTTCATTTTTTCTTATCTTAATTTTGGAGGCAATAATTTGTTGCTAAAGGATTGACATAAAGTGAAAATGTTTAACGGAATGATGGATCCTGAGTTAATCAAACTCGCTCAGGAACAAATGAGTCGCATGTCTCCGGCCGAGTTAGCCAAGATCCAACAACAGGTTTCTTTTTCTTTTCTAATGCTTGCAATTTCTGTCGATTGTTTGTTTGGAATTAAATCAATTCAGGGTTAATTTGATAGTTGTTGCTACCGTTTGAATTATTTTGTATGTCAAAGCCTTCATCTTCTATTTCTTTTTTTTTTGGTTTTTTCCCCTTTCTATATTAAGATATGAGTTAATCATAGATAGTAGTTGGCTGCTGGAATAATGTATAGCTTACTCAGGAAAGTGGATTCCTAGTGAAGTGGTTCGTGGAAATGTAAATTACCGTGTTCAATTAGAAATAATGGTTTCTTTGTGATGTACTATTCTTGTATTTGGTTAGCCTATGGAAATATGAAATGGATCACCATAATAACCCAAATAAAAGTACATTTTATTTACTTAATTTGCTTATCTACAAATTCTCTTTCAATATTTGATTGTTTGGTGCATCGTTTCGATGTTATATCGGCAAAAAAGTTTGAAATTTATTTAATTTCCGCATGAAATACATCATAACTGCAACAGTGAATTCTATGTCATAATAGGCTCATTAACATGTAAGGATACTGTCTACAAGGCTATTTTGTTATTGATACGTTTAAATGCAATAATGTTGCATATTTTCTTAATTTTCTATTCCCATGAGAATGCAATTTTTCCATCCTTTTGAATGAGCAATTGAGGGTGATTTCAAGTCTAGGAATGTAAAAGCCATTTCTTGGTTACTTTCTTTGGCCATTCTACCAATCAAAGATATCCTTGGTGGTTTGTTTTCACTCAAGTTTCTAAATTAGGATGTAGCTATCATGTTTTTTTTTTTTTCACTCAGGTTTCTAAATTATGATGCAGCTTGCATGTATGCTCAAACTTACGTTATTCTTTTTCTTTTTTCTTTTTTGGGTTAAATTTTTCGGGTGGGTTTGAATTTCTGGTCTTCTGGATTCTAACCCTAACAAAGAATGGTTGGCATGCAGATGATGGCTAACCCAGATTTGATGAGGATGGCCTCAGAAAGCATGAAGAACATGAGGCCTGAAGACTTGAGACAGGCTGCAGAACAGTTAAAGCATACTCGTCCAGAGGAGATGGCTGAGATTGGTGAAAAAATGGCCAATGCATCACCTGAAGAGTTAGCTTCCATGCGTACCCGTGTTGATGCCCAGATCACTTATGAAATAAATGCAGCTCAAATGCTGAAGAAACAGGTACCTATAATCTCCTAGATCAGATAAATGATTATTATTTTCTCTGTCCAAAGTTGTTTTTGCTATTCATTTTCCTTTCCAGTTTAGAACTGCATTTTGATTCAATATATGTAATAGTGCCTGAAATTATCACTGGCTGCCTTCATGGTTGTTCTGTAACGCATTGGAATCTACAATATGTTAGGGTAATGAACTTCATAGCCAGGGAAGGTTCGAAGATGCCTTGCAGAAATATTTACTTGTAAGTTCTGTAACTTATGTATGTTCATATTTTCTTCATGCAAAAATCACTTCCTGTTATCTATTTGCTCTTAAACTAATGATATTCTTCTTTGTCTTCTACAATCTTAGGCAAAGAAGAACCTAAAAGGAATTCCATCCTCCAATGGCAGATCGCTTAAGTTGGCGTGCTCTCTTAACCTGATGTCATGTTACCTGAAGACAAGGCAGTATGAAGAATGCATTACAGAAGGCTCCGAGGTATTAACAATCAAACTTTTAAAGTATATAAAAAATTATAAAAAAAATATGCTCTCTCTCACTTGTTCTTCTTATACTTAACTTATTATTCTGGCCTTCTGTGGGTCTCTAACTAATTAGATATTTATATTATTTTAGGTTTTGAAATATGATTCCAAGAATGTCAAAGCCCTCTATCGCAGGGGTCAAGCCTATAAAGAACTTGGCCAAATGGAAGTAAGTCTATCCATGTGCATCTTTTAATTGTTGGCGGTGGTTGTTTAATTTCACTGCTAGCGATGTTCGAACCTGTGGTTATATACCAGTCTTCTCCTTTTGGGCAAAGTTATATAATTATCTTATGCTGTTTTTTAGGATGCTGTCTCTGATTTGAGCAAGGCACATGAAGTTTCTCCTGATGACGAAACTATTGCAGCTGTTTTAAGGTATGTTTATACTTCTAATTCCTAAGGCCACTAGTTCTGCCATATGCTGAAAATTGCTTTTTATGAAAATTTCTTGAATGCTGTCTGACGTTTTCCCCCCCAGCAATAGATGGCTTGGGCAGAGCTTATATGAAAGTATTTTCCTTGTCTAAGATGCACGGAATTGCAGTGACCTTGATGTTTCTATATCTGTCCTACCTAGTGCGTTGTTAGGTTTATAGTTTTATATTTTCCCATTTTCTCTTTCCTTTTCAAGTCAACCCTTCTCTTTATCTGGATTTGGGATTGGTTTTGCTGAATCTACCGCGAGACTGTACCTTATATAAGCCATGTTTCATGGAGTGTAGGGAAAAGTCTCGCAGTAGCTTTTGCTGAAAGGGGGAATCTCTTTTGGTAAAGAAGCTGGATAGAAATGTGTAAAGGTGCACTCTGCATGAGGACTGTTAGGGGTGACAAACAAATCCTCCATTTTGGTTGTTTTACACCAGTATTTGTCCTGAAGCATGATCTTTTTTCATAGTCATGGATGAACTGACAAGATATATTCAATAGTATCTTGCAGCACATGCAAAGTCCTGATGGCTTAATTCTAATACATGAAGCCAGAGTTGGGTAACCAAAAGAGTTATGGAGGGATATTGTATAGTTCCAAAGTTTTAGTTTAAGCAGGAATGGAATGAAAGGAATTTTCCTTTGCAATTTTATCAACTGTAGCATAGACAAGTAGGTTGTTTAGATTTGATAAAGTAATGGTGTCTTACTATGATCATTTGAATATTGAGGCACTATAATATAAAATGTTCGGTACATTAAAGGTGTTGCTTATGGAATCAAGCATGGGATTGTTATATCATAAAGTTCTTGTTAGTCATGAAGGCTGAAAATTACAACTAGGCTAGTTGTATCACTATGGTGTTGAGAGTTGGATGGTATTGAGGTAGCATGTTCATATAATGTGGGAAATTAAATGAGATGTTGAGGAATATGTTCGAAATAAAAGAGAGGAATAAAAAATATAAAGATTTCTTCTTAGGAAGGAGGAAAGCTTTCATTGAGGATAAGTTAGATAATGTTATCTTAGATGATATGGCCATGTGGCCCATGTACAATGTGGAACTGTGGATGTGCTACTATGGAGTGACTAAATTTATAATAGCATTTTCCCTTTGCTTTTCCTCTTAACGGGGCTATTGTTCTGTTTCTTGGAATTAAGTGTATTGTGTTTTGGCGGTAGGAAAGATGCTAAACTTCTCTGGCATTGTGCTTCATTTGCTGCATTATGGATTTTTTGGATCTTGAGAAATGCTCACATTTTCAAGATCAAAGTGGTGCTTTTAATTTGTTGAGATACAAGTTGGTGTTTTTAGTTTCTATGTTGGCTTATGCTTCCAAAGTTGTTTTATCTAATTTGAATGTAGGAAATTACTTTTTAAAAAGAAATCTCCTCTCACTTTTTAGTTATCAGTTGAGGTTTTTCTAGGAGGATTCCTTGACCATCAAGTGTACTTTATTCTTTTGTTAATAGAATTTCTTCTATTTATGCAATAAATAAATAGATTTTGTATACACTGTTAGAATTTCAAACGGAAAAATAAAAGGTTCTTGGTGATTATTGACATGTTGGTGACGGTTCATTCAGGGATGCCAAGGAAAGATGGACTCAAGAAGGTGGCTGTCGTGAACCAAGCAGTGAGTTCCTTAATCTACTGTGCGAATGCATCTATATTCATGTGTTTTTTTCTCTTTTTTCTATTTTACTGCTCTGTTGCATGGGATCTATGAGCTTTATGCCTCTTTCTTCAACATTCTTTATGGACCACTGCTTTCTGCTTTCTCAACAGGATTAGTAATTGAGGAAGTAACAGAAGAAGTTGGAACTATATCTTCTCAAAATCCAGGTTCATCTGCAGAATTTTCAGTGTCACCACCACAGGAGCGTGTTGAAGCACCTAACAGTGAAAGTAGGGATCGTGTCAGGGGTATGACCACTAATTCAGAGTCTCTGCAGGCTTTAAAGGATGACCCAGAAGCTATAAGGTTATTTTATTTAAATCCATTTGAAAGTGACTGACTTTTCCTTTTTTTAGCTTGTCTATTCATTTAGATTCTTTGTACTAGCATTCTGTTTTTTTATTTTTTTATTTTTTTGGTAAACCTGAAGGTAGCATACAGAAGATATTTTCTTTTTTGTTTTTGATAACCAAGGATTTTGATTGACTCTTTAATATTATAATTAACCAAAATTTTATTGCATTGGGAAATACTCGGAATTTTGAAGCAGTCTCTTCCTGCAAGGGAGCTCCTTCCCTGACTTAGTAATCTTTTTGATGATGTTCTCCTGGTTTGTGTTGTTTGTGTCCTCTTCATTATCATCAAATCTTGGTTTCTATTCAGTTCAGGCCAATCACAGACAGTACATAAAACTATAGAGGCAAAAAGAGATAATTATTAAAAACAATGGTCATGTAGTTGAACCATTAGAATTAACCAAATCTAGTATAGACATTGTCAGTTTGTCCTGCACTACCAATTATTTTATTTAGACATTTAGATGTAACAACCTTGATTTTCAAAGTAGAAACCATAAAAGTGCTGTGAGAATTAGCTTTCTAGTATGGCAAGCTAAAAGAATCCAACATATACACCAGTTCCAAGGAAGAAATAAAAAAAGCTTGAATTAGTCATGGTGAGGAATTAAAAGACTGTTGATTGGGCACTTTTAGATTTGCGTTTCCTTCTGTCTATTTATGGTTGCTATTTTGACAATTATATGTGTATTAGATGACATTTGCACCCCCCACCCCTTACCAGCACAAAGAATAAAAAAGAAAAGAACATCTTAGAGAAAAAGTTGTTTGTTACAAAACTCTTGAATTCTGCTATGCTTTTTTTTTTCATTCATTTGATCGATTGAACATTAAAATTTTAAATTAAGCCTGACTTTAACATTCTTCTCTTTCCTTTTTTTTTCTCTTTGCAGAACGTTCCAAAATTTTATTTCTACTGCTGATCCTGAAACTTTAACTGCTTTAAGTGGTGCAAAAGCTGGAGATGTGTCCCCAGAGATGTTCAGAACTGCCTCAAATATGATCAGCAAAATGTCACCTGACGAGCTCCAGAAAATGCTTCAAATGGCATCCTCATTTCACGGGGAAAACCAATTTGTTGGCAGTGGTTCCTCGGATGCTAGTTTTAACAGCTTCAGCGTTGGTTCAGTACCTCCAAATGTGACACCAGATATTCTTAAAACAGCGACTGATATGATGAGTAAGATGCCCCCTGAAGAGCTTCAGAGAATGTTTGAAATGGCTTCCTCTTTGAGAGGACAAGAGACAGTTCAGACAGCATCAGCTGCAAATGCTGACAGACTAACTTCAGAAACTGGGTCAAAACTGACAGGACATCGAGGAAATCCTGCGGTTGATAGAAATAGCATCACTAGTGAAACTAGTTCCTCCAATGGTTTATTTGCACACTCAAGGAATGCTTCTCAGCCTAATTTTTCTGGCTCAACTGCTGATATGCAAGAACAAGTTAGAAACCAAATGAAAGATCCAGCTATGCGACAGGTGTGTTGATTTTGTTCTCTTCATTTTTATTCAAGTGATTGAATCCTCATGCAAGTGAACGCATTCCATTTTTCTCACTGGAGCATGGTATATCTATTCCATTTGCGGTTGTAATCAAATGATTCAAGTTACTATTATGCATGGGCACACCTCTAGATTTTAGGAAATCATGTGAAGATAGTTCTGATTTGGGTAATTGTTCCAGAGCAAGTTTTTCTATGATAGACAGTAGATTAAATTCTGTTCTTGTAATATATATGACACTGTATTTTATGTTTTTAATGCGTGTGATTGCATACAAATTAGCAGATGTTTACATCCATGATGAAGAATATGAGCCCAGAGATGATGGCTAACATGAGTGAACAATTTGGATTGAAACTTTCTCCTGAAGATGCAGCAAAAGCTCAACAAGCCATGTCATCTTTATCACCTGACGACTTGGACAGGATGGTACATTCTTTACCCATTTATACTATTAGAATGCTTTGCTTTCAGATTTGCTAACGAATCTTGTGCAAGATTTTTCCTCCCTCCTTTTTAGCAGTCATGACTGAGATGGACTTTAAATAATAGTAATAATTATTTGTCAGATATTGCCAATGATATTGTGAATAGTATTAGAGATAATTAACTGTTTATCATAGAAAGTGAGAGTTCTGATAAAAAGTAATGAAGGAAAATGTATGAAACAACCCCATGACAAGAAAAAATAAATTAGGTTGTTTTATTATTGTGATGCATAATGTTTCCTTGCCCTTCATTTATGAGTATTGATTTTATTTTCTCCAAAATTATCACAGATGCGATGGGCGGATAAGATTCAAAGAGGAACTGAGGGCGCAAAGAAGGCAAAGAACTGGTTACTAGGAAGGCCCGGTATGATTATGGCGATATGCATGCTCATCTTGGCCATGGTCCTTCACTGGCTGGGCTACATTGGGAGGTAGGGAGGAAACAACTCTTTTAAAAGTTTTGTCAGGTAAGTTTGGCCTCCTACAGCCAGATACAATGCTCTGAAGTCTGAACCATATGTCTATCCTTGAAATGAGGATGGTAAGTAGAAATCAAAGCAATGGTACCATGGAGAGAATTGAGAGATTAGGGAGTCAGATGCAATATGGGCATTGGGTAAAGAAGATGATACTCATAATTGTTTGATTTGTTACTTTTTATTATTCTTTTTGAACTGTAGAGAAGAGATAAGAATTCTAGAACGATCTCATCAAGGAGAAATTCAAAGCTATTAAACTGATATCCACTAACTTGTAATATTATAATCTGTTTGGTGTGCAACATATTTGAGCCATATGAAACTCACCTTAACAAAATTAGGAAGTTTCTTTCCATTTCTTTCTATTCTTTTATGGTCAGCAATCCATTTGAGTTGATGAATTATGCCTAACTTCTTGTTTTGATTTAATGTTTGTTTGTGCCTAGTATTGCCAATTCCAATACATGGAATGCACCTTGGTGTGCAACATATTTGAGCCATATGAAACTCACCTTAACAAAATTAGGAAGTTTCTTTCCATTTCTTTCTATTCTTTTATGGTCAGCAATCCATTTGAGTTGATGAATTATGCCTAACTTCTTGTTTTGATTTAATGTTTGTTTGTGCCTAGTATTGCCAATTCCAATACATGGAATGCACCTATTATGCTCTTGAAAATGAGTAAAATGTTCAAATATTGAATTCATTACAAAAAATTTTATGTCTTAAAACTTCTTTTTGTTAATTAAATTTTCAAAATCCTTTCAATTTTGTTAGTTAGGAATGCATTTCAGTATTGGCAAGTTTGTTGAAAATGGAAATACCACTTGCTTGCTGGAACTAGAAGATTGACAATATGTTAGAAAACTAGAATAAAAAACAAATAAGTCTTCTAGAAGGAAGCAAACGGGTAGACAGTCATTTAGTCTACAGAGGATGAAAATTTGACCTTTCAATTTTATCAAAAATAAAAAATTATCCCTAATTTAATAAAAATTTTATTTGGCTTCATTGAATAAAAAAAATTATGCAATTTAAATATTTAAATATAACACTGCTATTAAAATCTTCTTGGCTGATTTGGCAACTAAAAGACAAGGTCAACGTCAACCCTATCTATCCATCTTTAGCACTGATCGGTGATCACTCTATTTGCCGGCAAAATTTATTAATATTAAACAATTCAAACTTGTGAGGCTAATTTGGCAATGGCAAATCTCAACCGTCCATTCTTGGTTGTCACATCAGCTCTCGATGTTGACTAGACAACTGTGTCTAACTCTCTCTATTGCTGACTCAGCTTCTGTTGTCTCTTTCCATTATTTGGCACACATTTTTCCTTTTTTTTTTTTTATTTTCTCTTTTGTTGTACACGTGTACAATTGCGTAACGCTTACCTATTGTTTTTCGAGAAACGTCTCTACAAAATACTAAAAAAAATTTTCCTTAGTCAAATCAAATAGTAATTAATGTATTTTTTTCATTTTCAAGTTATATATATTTTTAGAAGAATTAATTGAAAATAATAATTATATGCAATAATTAGAATATTTAAAACTAAATTAGAAGGGAGAATAATTTTAACTTAATTAAATATTAATATTTTGTAAAATAAATATTATAATATAATAATTTTAACTCAATTAAAATATTTGAACTCGATTTGGAATCTTATATTAAAAAATTTTAATAATAATAATATTATTAAAAAATCAACGGGGAATATTTGAATATTGAAACTTAAATTATAATTCTTAATATTTTAACTCAATTAAATATTTTCACCTAAGAAAAAAAAAAGCAACTACATATTTAAAACTACAATCAATAATTTAGAAATATTAAAAAAAATAAAATTACTTTTCACGGATTGAATTATCTATAATCGATGGATTTCATTTTAAAATTTACATCCAATCCACTACTAAATGGGTTGAATTTTATTCGTTCTATTCATATTGGATCGAGTCAGACATCTATCGGATCGAATTTATAATTATCCCTAAAAACCGGCCTCATAACTAATGGTGTAATTAAGGAAAATATCTATTTTTTATTTTTATTATTTAAAAACTATTCAACAAAATCATTTTTATGTTTATTTTTCAATAAGGTACATTTATGTCCATATTTTTTTTATCATAATTACATTAGTTATTTCAATTTATTTAAAATTATTATTACTATTATTTTTATTTTAAGTTAACAGTACAAAGAACAATATCGAATCCCTGTCAATGGTTTCCTATAACTGCTACAGCAAACAAAACGCGCACCACCCAAAATCTCTCTGCTTCTCTGCCTTTCTCTTCTTCTTCTCCATTGGCCACATTCAAAGACAGCAACCAAAATTCTGTAAACTACCCAAAACTTCACTTTTCTCGGCTAGAAAATCGCATAAAAACCGATTTCCTTTTTCTTTTTAATTTTTATCACTGTATCACTTTTCCTTTGATCCGTCTTCTTCTCTTTCCTTATTAGTCACCCCATTTTTTAATTTCTTGGCACCACAAGCACAGAATGGACAATCGGGGAATCTTTTTCACGGAAATGCGAGAATCTTGGATTTTAATTCATTAGACAAGTTTCTTTCTTATCCTGAAAAGGAAGAATATCTATCAGAGAAAGTACAAAGACGATTTTGGTTTGTTTTTCACGAGTTGATAGAGGTAAGCCATCATGACTCGCCGGTCGGAGTCTCCGAACGGTAGGACCCAGTCATTACTAGCGGAGAAGCCAACTGAAACGACAAAAAAATTGGCGAAAACGAAAACGACCAGCAAGGAAGGGCAGGGAGAAAAATCTTCAAAAAGCAAACGTTTCGGAGAGGTTGTTGGTGGCACAGCGGCAGAGTGCGCAGCGGTGTGTTGTTGTTGTCCTTGTACACTGATGAACCTGTTAGTTTTAACAATTTTCAAGATGCCGGCTTGTCTTTGCAGGAAAGTGAGAAACCGTTTAAGGAAAAAGAAGAGGAGAGAAGGATTGTTGGCGCCAACAAACAATAATACCATCCGTAGGGAGGAATTAGAGAGGGAATTGAAAGCAGTTACAGAGAAACAAAAAAGTGTTGATGGTGGTGATAACGATGATGGAAAAACTGAAGCGCTTGATCTAGAGAAGGAAATGTGGGACCAGTTTTATGCTAGTGGGTTTTGGAGAAGCCCCTCTCAGAGACAGAGACAAACACAAACACATACAGTATGACTGATGATGATGATAGTATTGCCATTTTCCAATAGAAGCTAACAATGTCTTTTAGGACTATGCATTGTACTTGGAAGTACAAAAAAAAAAAAAAAAAAATTTTAGGACTATGCATTGTACTTGGAGTACAAAAAAAAAAAAAAAAAAAAAAAAATGGTTGCAGAGAATGGGGACCATGGGTTTACATGATATTGGATTGATTGATCATGTGAGGCTGGGGTGGGTTCAAGAAGATGAGTTTTAACCATATGGGCAGAGCAGAGTGGGGATAAACAAGAAAGAAAGAAAGAGAATTACAAAATACAAATTCTTGAAATTGAATTGGTTTATTTTGTTTGTACTTGGAGTTTGGATGAGATGTTCAAATGTAAAGGAAAGAAAGATTTGTCTTGTCCAACAATTGGATCGAATTTAATTGAATGGATAGAGCTTGAAATGGCTTCATCTTCCATTTTCATTCAAGGTGATATCTATTTCCTTATTTGGTTTTCTTAGCCTTTTTGCATGCTTGTTTTACACAGAAGATATGAAAAGTTCTTTTACCTACTTTTCTCGTCATTTCTTAATTCACACATTGCTTTTGCTAATCCGAATTATTTAAAGTCTAATCTACAAATCGGTGCATTTTCGATATCATATTATATAGTTTATCGTATTATTTATTATTTCACATTTGAACATTGACTATGCAATTAAGTTATTTCTTAATAATAATTAATTATTGAATTATTTCTTAATAATAATTATGAAATTGATTAAGGATGAAGCAAAAGAGAGGCCACCCGTTTGTTTCTTCTTTGGTTAAATTTCTGCAAACAACTTTTGTGCATGAAGAAACCCTCAAAAAGCCAAAACTAGCAACCAACCATTTGGTATCTGTTTTGCAGATTGAAAGTTGATTACTTAAAAATAGCTGAAAATGGAAATTAGAGATTGGGTTCAATTAGTGAAATTAAACAACTTGAAAGAAGTTCAATTGAAGAAAATGAAAAGTCCAATGGCCTAACCTAATCATTTTTTAGCTTTGAAGAAAATGAAAAGTCCAATGGCCTAACCTAATCATTTTTTAGCTTTGCCATGTTTTAGGTTCTTTTTTTAAATCAAGAATTGACAAACTAAAATATTATGAAAGTGTAAAATTACTGAGATAATTGCAATTAATTTAGGTTTATACATGTAGAAATTTTTGGTGTCTTTTGAATAACTGAAATTCCAAAAAAAAAAAAAAAGCGTAATTGAAAAATAGAAGCAAATATAATTAAAAGAAAATTCATAATGGAATGGGTCATAGGCTTGTTAATTGTTATAACCCTTCAAACGGGGAAGACTTGAGAAAATTAGTTTTCAAAGTCTACTTTGACGATGAAAATAATAATAATAATAATAATTGTAAAAATATACTCTTGACCTTAGGGAAGACTTAAAAAATTTCTATTGGCTTCAACCTCTTTAGTCTTTACCGTCGCTTTGGAATTGTCATCTTCTCCTTTCTTCTTCAAGATGACCGGTGAAGCCATCTCCGACGAGATTAGAGAAACGAAGATTAATGTCGTTTCATCATCGACTTCTGTGAACAAAGGTAATATTTTACTCATGGCAATGTCTTTTTCCTTTCTGTTCGTGGTATTTCATCTGTGTGTTTTTGCTACGAATTGGCTTCAGGATACGTCTGTGATGTCTTCTTTTTCTCTTTTCCCCCTCTTTTGACATCACATATTGGAATAACATATTTCATTAGTCAGAGTTTAGTCTGGATTTGAACTTTAGAGTTAGAACTAATTGAGCTCGGCCAAGTGAATATCCGGCCATGATAATGGTACTAATGCCTCTCAAGCATTTTCCCTAATTTAAGGTCAACTAAAAACACATTCTAGAGTGAATACCAACTCACAGTTGGGCAAGGGATTGTCCATAGTTCATGGTTGAATTTCCATCCCCAACTCGGATATTCTTTAATTTGTCTACCTTGCCTGTGCAGCTCTGAATGTGAGGCCCAGCGAGTCACCTATCTTCCACGCAATCATGGCCATTATATGTGCATCCATTGCTGGTATACTAATGTGGGCAGCTATAAATGGAATCGATCCTGCAGACCCAGATCACCCTATTGGCCTTGCTATCATTTTCTTCTCAACCTCTGTTACTGTAGTCATTGCATGTTATTTTGGGTACCTTTCTATTTTGGCTTTTTGCTACTTGTTTACAAAATAAATCGCATATGAATAATTTCCTTGTCCCCATTTAAACTTTATATCCATGATATTGGACTGAAGAATATTTTTTGAATTGCTATTGCATGTAATGAATTTGGAATTCAAATTATAAATTGTTTAGATTGCTTAATTTGAAAGCGCATTTTGCCCTTTGAATTTGAACCATGAAGAGAGAATGTTATTGAGGTTTGATCTCTTGAAGCCCTGTGTTATGAAGGACAAATTCAATCATTTGATTTGTTAATATTAGCAAAATGACCCCAAAAACATTTTAGAAGGAATAGAAATATTGGGTCATCCAATATCGAAGTTCGTTAGCTATTTGCATCAGGTAGCCCTACAAAGGGTATATTACTCCCTACTAATCCCCACCCAGTTTTAAAGGTGCTCTATACATATGACTCAAACTTGAGACCTCTTTTTATTAGAGAAGAGACTCTTATCATTCCATCTCATCCTTTGTGGTAGGTTCAAACTTAACTTTGATTAGACTTAATTGAATAAGTCAGTAATTAATTTGAACTTTAAACTCTCTTTATAGACATTCTCTCAATATAGGATTATTATTCATCGGCAAAATGAACCCAAAAAATGTTACAATAAAGATAAATATTATTCATAAAACCATATAAAATTTGAAACTCATTGGCTCGACTAATCCGTCCGATTAATCTAAATTCGCATCAATAGGTGTTTGACTAATCCAAATTTGTGTTGAGAAGGCTCACGAAATATAAAACTCTCCCCATCAAGTTTTGAAAGTGCTTTATACTTGAATTCAAAATCTATAATTAATGGAGAAGAGACCTTTACCATTCTTCCAATATAAGAATTATTATAATTCTAAGAGATTAATATTATTGTAATTTTTAAATAAATAAAATTTTAAAATTTATAATTAAGCGAACAAACTCATTTAAATATATAAAAATTCAGTTGTAATTTAAATAAGTGTCGAGGGCAACAAAGCAGTCATAGTCCTTGTATGTCAAATTAATTGATCAATTTATATTATCATTTTTTTGTATAAAAATTATTTTTAAAAATAAGGTCAAGGAAATAATTTATGTTTTGTAAATTTTTTAATTTTAGTTATTAATTGCTATATTTTTATAAATGATAATTAAAAGAAAAAAAAAAGACTCGGAAACAACCAGTGCGTTGGATAAAACCGAGTCAGTCATAGAGAGACAGACTCCTCAAAGATAGTTAGCCCTGTCAACTCTCCACGTGTCGATAACATAGTGAGCAGAAGACCAACCACAGTCTCTTCGCGTTCGCTTAAGTCATCGCTCCATTTAAAATAAAATACTATATATATAATATATTAAAATAAAAGTACTAATATATATAATATATATATATATATATATATATTATATAATATATATATATATATTATTTATTAAATCAAATCGACGAAACAATCAAACCCATAACAGTTAAGCGGAAATTCAATTTCACACCCAAAAAGTCTTTCCTCTCATTTATATATTTATTTATTAAATCAAATCGACGAAACAATCAAACCCATAAACAGTTAAGCGAAAATTCAATTCACACCAAAAAGTCTTTCCTTCTCAATTTTCCATTTTCATTTCCCCTAAAATCTCAACTTAATCTATCTCTCCAAATCTAGGGTTTTTGCTACTTGCTTCTATTCAAGCTCGATCGATCAAGAAATTCTAAACGATCATCGAGTTTTCATGGAGGTAAATCACTGAAAATTCAGTTTTCTGATTTTCTGTTTGGTTTTTCAGTAAGTTTGATTGGTTTTATATGCTCATTAGACAGTTAATTTCTATTTCTTTTCCTCTTTATCTTAGTTGTTTTTTGAGTTTAGTTCACTTGTTAAGATTCTTTTTTTTTTTAATTTTATTTTACTTTTGAGGTTATTATAGAAAACGGTTTGCGTTAGCTGTTTGGGACTCTAATTTTGCAGTAATTCAGTGATTATGGATTATTTTAGTGCTTCATTTGGATTATATTACTGTGCTTAGTCTCTGTTTATGCTATATGTTCTAAGCTTACCATTGTGGTTTAACATTTCTGCATTTCTTTTTTCTTTTAGCTTGGCTTTGACTTACGTTACTGGATTTCCAATTTTGTTATGGGGGTTTAATTAATTTCAATTATGTTTTTATTTGCAGTCCTTTCTAATATGATTCTTATAGCAATTTTGTAGGAGTTCGGGGTTTATATGGTATCTCGTAGTACACGCTGAGAATTTTGGGTTTATATGCGTGATGTGTCTTCATATTATGTATTGGTTTTTATTTTTTTTATAGTAAATTAAAAGCTACGGAAACAGCCTCTCTACAAAAAAGTAGCCGGAAGGCTGCTTACATCAATCCTTCTTAGAGCCTACACATGTGGGATGCTTCATGTTTGGTTTACAGGGAGTTCCATAGTCTTAAGGTTTTCCATTCATTTCTATTGCCACAACCTACTTGCATAATTGGTTATAATTTTCAGTTGTTGCAGAATTACATGTATTTCCATGTGTGTATCAATATTTACATATGTACACTCTTCAGTGTGTATGCATTTGTATTTCTACTCTTGAGGGATGACAATTGGTTCTTTCACGGGTTAAAGTTATATGACTTTCATTGGACTATAATGGCCATTACCATTTGAAATTTAATTCCTGGATTTGATTTTCTTAATCACGTTTTCATGTTCTAGATTCATGTGAATGCCAATTTTTTATGACTGCATGGTGATGCACATGCTATAACTATGATGAAATGGCCATTTAATGAGAATTGCAATTCAATTGCTTTGTGGTTTCATCTTCTAGGGAATGGAAGAGACCAAGAAGTCTGAAGCACATTTGACATCTGCTGCAGCTTTTGTTGAAGGCGGAATCCAAGATGCATGTGATGATGCTTGCAGTATATGCCTTGAAGCATTCTGTGATAGTGATCCTTCAACTGTATGTGTAGTGAATATTGATATCTAATTCATTTCGTTTTTTTTTTTTTTATCAACATTTTCTCAAAAGAATTTTCGTTTTCTGTTTGCAGGTGACCAATTGCAAGCATGAGTTCCATCTTCAATGCATTCTTGAATGGTATGTTCATTTATTATGAAATTTGAGGAACCTTACTAGCCACTTTCAAAACAGTTGATTAAAAAGGGTTGGGTGAGTTCTGGATTATTTTTTGCCTTGGATTCTAAGGGAATATTCACATTGATTGCTCTTAAGTTAATTGCTAGAGATGTTCCGAAAGAAAGTTTATAGTTTTTCTGTTGAATTATGCATTTTACATAAAGCAAGTAAATCTTAGATGTGTTAAATCAGTCAGTTGCAAACCTGTAAAACTCAGCTTTTTTTTCTCATTTATGGATGTAATTTAAACCAACTTAGAAGTTGATCGTCCAATTCTGGTGTTGTTTTTATGTGTAAGTAATTGTTTGTGATTAGCTTCTTCTTGAGAATCCTGCTTGCATGTCTTTAATGGTTAATGGGTTATCACTGAAACTAGCCTATGGATTAAATATATTAGCTATGTTATGTTAGTAAGAAAAAATATGAAAAGAATTAAATATACTGGAAAGAATTAAACATATGAAAAATTGCTGTGCTATAAGCGAAAGAGTTCATAGTACATAAATATATTAGTTGAGTGTTTTAATTCATGTTTCTAATTTCATCAATTAAACTATTCTCAAGTACCAATACCATGAAATGACAAAATATTGAGTTATATTTCTATTTAGATGCACAAAGAACAAAATTCTTCAACATGATTGTTTTGTTTATGCTTATTTCAATGAAATATATGCATACTAGATATTATCAAGTATCATATTCAGTGCATGTGAGGAATTACTATTCTTTAATAGATAGAGAAGCAAGTATTTGCTTATTTTTGATGAATTTCTTCATATACCTGCTACCCGAATAGTAGAGAATTCAAACAATTGGTTGACTAGACTGAGCAAATGAGAGATGAATTCTCCCCAACTTTTGCCACATTTATAATTTTACGCTCATAAAGTGTTAAGGCAAAAAGTTGTTCCCTCATATAGTGAAATCTTTTACGCTGCAAATGGGGTAACGAACTTTCATTTCACAGGAGGGGAATGGCTTGGCTACCCTTCTTTTTTTCCTTCCCATCTTAAAACAGTTAGAAATTCAAACAAGAGGTGAAATGGGGTTCCATCCTTTCATCTGTATCCATTAAATAATGAGAGTAATTTGGGTGATCATGTCTCCTAGTCTACCTATTGACCATCTTGGTTTCTTTAAATGTTTTCTTGTCAAATATATAGTTGTTTGCCTTTCCACAGTCTTTTCTCTTATATTTTCCTTCCCTTTCCCCTCCCCCCACCTCTCTTTATTCAGTTATTCTTTCCAAGCTTTATGCCCTAAACCTATAACCTAGTGCTATTATTTACCATATAATTTTTCCTTTGATTTTTTTGCTGCAATAGGTTTCGGACAATGCAAGGTGCTACCTACTTTTTACTTTTTTATTTTTTTAAATATTGCTTTGACTAAGGCCTCAAAATGTTGTTTTGAAGAAATTGACGATCTTTGTTTTCTTTTGCTGTCAGTTTCTCCTAGTCTTGTTTCTTCTTGCCATTTTTTTTGTCCCCTTTGGGACGGCTATTCTCTTATCCAGATTGAACTCAATTCCACCCTTTTCTTTATTTTAATTAAAAAACTAATGCTGGCAGTACACTATGGGAAGGTTTTTACCTTATTTTCTAATGCACAGGCTGACCATGAGCTTTAAGTACGTGTATAGAAATACAGGGGACTCTAATTTGTACTCTAGCTTGTAGGGCTGATCTAAAATATTATTATATTCGCTTATGCTAAAAATGGGGTTAATTGCTTTGACCTGAAGAAAATAAGAAGATTTAAGATACTTTTGAAATTGCTATCCAAATTGAGCCTAACTCTTCTACTCAGACATTTGATTTTTGAAAGACAATATTGTTATCATGTTACATTACCTTGATGCTCATTTTGATTCTTGTTTGAAATTAAATGCAATGAAGATTATACCTTTTTGGGCCAGGTTTTTGTAGTGTAAACAGAATTGTGTTCTGATTTTTAATTTTATTTTGTTCTTGAAGGTGTCAAAGAAGCTCCCAGTGCCCCATGTGCTGGCAATCTATCAGCCTGAAAGATCCTACAAGGTTTACATTTTGCTGTTATATTTTGCTCTGTTTCATTTTACTAATGCTTTGAAGAGTGACTTATTTAGCTTGCTCTTGCAGTCAAGAATTGCTTGAGGCTGTTGAACGTGAGAGGAGTCTGAGGTTTAATCCATCTAGAAATGCCACCATATTTCATCATCCAACTCTGGGGGATTTTGAACTACAACATGTTTGTACTGCACCTTTGTTTATTGAATCCTTTTGTTGTATTTTCTCTTCAGCAAATCATATGTAAATATAATGAATGACTGAACCAAATACAGTTGCCCATGGGTGCAAATGATGCTGAACTGGAGGAGCGCATAATCCAGCACTTAGCTGCTGCTGCTGCAATGGGGCGGCGTCATATTGCTAGAAGAGATGGTCAAAGGAATAGATCATCAGCTCAGGGTCGTCCACAGTTCTTAGTATTTTCTAGTAATGCCAATTCACCTCATGCTGGACCAATTTCTTCCTCTCCAACTCAGAGAGGAGAAGGTGAGCCTGCTGGTGCAATTGCAATAACCCCTCCATCTTCCACTCCCATGAATGTCGTGGAAGAATCTTTACAACCTGTTATACCACAATCTTCTAATGTCCAAGCTGAATCGGCCTCTGCTTTAGCTTCTGGATCTAGTCCTCTTGCTTCCACTCAACATGACAATACCTTGAATAATAGGTACCACTGCAGTCTCAATGTCTCTTCTTCCTCTCTCATTCTTTCCCAAGTCCTTTAATTTCAAGATGAACACAAGCTTAGTTTCATATATAATGTTTTTGATTGCTATATGGGAATTTTAACTGAATTTCAGACATTTGTTTACAATTTTTGTTATATTACGTCCCTGCAGGAGATCTCCTAATCAGTCTTCTCCAAATAGTCAAGACAGAGCAGGACCATCAGAATTGCAGTCATTCTCAGAGTCTATTAAATCTAAACTCAATGCAGTTTCAATGAGGTATCAAACATATGGAAAATATTCCAGAAATCTCAATAGTTGTAAAGTTGATGATTCTGAAATTATTTGTCTTCTACTTAGATACAAAGAATCAATTTCAAGGAGTACAAGGGGATGGAAGGAGAGATTTTTCTCTCGTAGCAATACTATGGCAGATCTTGGCTCTGAGGTAAGAAGAGAGGTTAATTCTGGAATTGCAACAGTATCACGGATGATGGAACATCTTGAAACTGGTGATAACAATAGAATCAGTACTTCTGTATCGAACAGTGTGGAGGATAGTTCAGCAGAACCGAACAACCACCGACAGATATCAGAGACTGTTGGTGGCAATCCTATGAGCGATGCGAACACCAACATGCAAGCTTCATGTGCTGCAAGTTCTGTTTCAGATCGAGTATGATTTTAGCATTTCATCAACTTAAAAGTGTTTATTGGGAGAAAGTAAGTTGCAAGTTTATATACATCCTAGTCATTTGCCCCTGCATTGCACAAGTTTAGTTAAGCTCATCTGGTTGTTGAGAATTTAAAAGATAACAAGTTAGATTCAAAGAATCATAATTCAAGAAACCAAGAATATGGATATCTTATCAAATTGACCCACAAAAAAGAGTAAATTACCATTACATCTTGAGGTTTGGCCTAATTAAGAAGTCTGGTCCTACTTTTTGAGGAACACATTAAAACACCCCTGAAGTTGAGTGTCATAAGCGAAATGGATTTTTCCGTTAAGTTTTATTGATAGTCAAGGAATATTTTGATAATTAAAGGAGATATTATATTGTAAAATGTGGAAAATACATGAGAGAGAGAGAGAAAGAGAGAGGGTCTCTGGCTATCTCAGGCTACCCAAATCGGCTAGGAAGGACAGTGGCAAGTGGTAGCGAATGAACACTGTCCAAAACTTTCCAGCATCAATTTGCCAAATGGTGGCAAGTGTTAGCGAATTATCACCACCCTGCTCTAGTGATAGCATGCTCCTCACCACTTCCTGGCATCTTCCTTTTGATTCCCCAATGATAGCTCACAGAGGAGGTGGTGGCTGTTGCTTTCTAATTTGTCATTTACAAAATTTTTGGAGGGGTATTTTTGTCTTTCATTTGTATTTAATGATTTGGTTCATATATATTTAATTGTGGATCATTTAGTTAAAGGACCTAAAGATCTCGGGGATATTTAATGTGTCTCAATTCTCAAAAGGAAGTGACTGAGTTGTTAATTAGGTCAATATCAGAAGCTAAATAGTAATTTGTTGCCCAAAAAAAGGTTTATTTATCAGGGAGTATCTTTTTCTGCTGTAATGAAGTCCCAGCTTAGAAGGTTCAACAAAAGCTATGTGAATTGAACTATGGAAGCTAACTCATAGCTTAATAGAAATTGGGTTTGGGGATAATTTGTGCTAAAAGAGGATTTAGTTTTAAGTGAACCCTTAAAGATTATGTCTTGGCAGTGTGTTAGATTAGATGAGATCTTATTTCAACAAAAGCATGATATTTATATACTTCTACGAACTCTTTTTGAATGCATTTACAGATTAGTTTTTGAATTCTTTTATATAATTGATTTTAGAAAAATTCATATGTGATCATTTAACAGCTTTATATATTGATATAGACACACAGGGATGCTGGATAGCATTATGAATGACACCAAACTTTAGGAAGATGGTAACTTTCCTGAAAACAAATCTTGATTTCTTTTTTTTTTCTTTTTAATATATTTTGAGTCGACTAGAGTTTAGGCAGTAGGCCTCCTATCAATTCTGGTAGATAGATATCTCAGAAAGGTACATAGAACTGGGATTTCGGTTATTCTTTCTAAGGCTAAGCCTATATGAATATTGTTTAAGGCATGCCTCATGGAGGGTTCCCCAGGTCCAAGACTTAGCACCTAGAATGGGGTGAGGAAAGGTGACATCACAAAGATGATATGTGCGCGTCACAAGCCTCCGCCACTGTCCAGATCTGTGAGAAGGAAAATTGAAAAGTGGTATTTTGTTTTGGGCAAATGAATAATTTTTCCATAAAAAATGGAAACAGTTTTCAAGTAAAACAGAAAACTGTTCTCTAATAACAAGTACGCTGCTTCCAATCGGACAGAATCCATGATCAACATGCTGGAAATTATATAACCCATTGTAGGAAGTTACTGGAATCTGACTAGGCCAGTAACCCTAAATGCTGTATTTGGTAAGCCACAATGGAACATAATGTAATCTAATCAAATGCATTTAGTGTAAATTTACATTATATCACCTTATGTTCGGTTACAGCTCGCCAATATAGGCTAAGGTGCTTATTACAAATGCTGCTCTCAGCTCTTTAGTTTTCCCCTCATTCATGTATTATGTGCCTTATTTCCATCTCCTTGACTTATTTTGGTTCTTCTCTCGTTTCCTCTACCTTCACTCTCCCTGTCCTTTTTATTTTTTTCGTATAGTATTGAAATATCCACTGAACAGCCTGTGCAGGCCAATAAACAGTGGTGCATTGGTTTTATTTTCCATCTTAGTGAAGTTTAAGCTTTTTTTTTTTTTTTTTTTTTTTTTTAAATATCCACTGAACAGCCTGTGCAGCCAATAAACAGTTGGTGCCATTGGTTTTATTTTCCAATCTTAGTGAAGTTTAAGCTTTTTTTTTTTTTTTTTTTTTTAATTTATTTAGATTTAGAACATGGGGATATTATGATGCTTTTGGTCCCAAATGTCCCATCCTCTATGTATAAAGCACTGGTTTAAACTGAATTGCGATTATTTGTTGTTTTTTTTTTTTTTTTTTTTTTTTTTTAATTTATATTTAGATTTAGACATGGGATATTATGATGCTTTGGTCCAAATGTCCCATCCTCTATGTATAAAGCACTGGTTTTAACTGATTGCGTATTATTTGTTGCTCGGCATTTCTTATTTCTATTTTGAAAACTGTAATATTCCATATCTGACGAGAATTATGAGTTATTAATCAAGGATGGTATACTAATACAATATTCAATTTCTCCTTTCCAGATACATGATTCCATTGATGAGATGTGTCCTCTTCAACCTAATGGATAATCTTGCCAAAAGAACGACATTGGCACAATTTGAGATCTGATTCGTAATAAAGAAGCCAGGGCAAAAAAGGTCTACTATCACAAGGATACCAGTATATGATTGTAAATTCATGAGGATAACCTTATTTATAGTTGCAAATCACTGAACCTTGAAAAGATGTTCCAATATATTGACTACAGTATTTTGAGCTGTGGATAATTTCCTTTATTTTAAAATTTCATGACTCCACATTTCATTTCCACGCCTAATATTTGGATTCTTCTGCATGTTAATGTGATCCAGAAAGTTGGAATATCGTTTCTTTAAACACTTTCTGTTGGTTATTGTTTTCTAAATTTTATAGTTTATAGTACAGGGTCTTCAAGTAAGACTTTGTAGGATGTTACAATATCAAGTTTTGGCCTATTTCGTGTGGATGTTTTTAGGTGCAAAAATCTAAAGCATATGCCTTTAGTCTAAGAATCTCTGTGACGGGAGTCGATATCTTTGATACTTCTTCTGATTCTGATGGTAGCTTGGACAGGGTCTTTTAAACAGTCGCCTACAGGATATGCTTATCTCATCTGTTTGATGTCTCATTTAGAATTTCGGTAGTATGAGATCTGGTCCGGTGGCATACAAGATATGCTTATCTCGTCTGCTTGATATCTCATTTAGAATTTCACATCTAATATATTCGATTCCAAAATACGTACCACTTCAAAAGAATTCGGATGTTTTGATTCAATATCACTATGTCTATGCTTGTGTGTTCCATTCAACTGCAGGAAGCAATGATATTTGAGTTCGGGTCATTCATGATGGTCGTTCCATGCGCAAAAATCTAAAAATATACATCTTTGGTCTAAGAATTGGTCTAAGAAGGCTTGTAATTAGGCTTGCTTTGGAGCCGATATATTCTTAGTATAGATGGACAGTTCCAATAGGATTTTATACAGTTGTATGATATCTTGTAGACAGCAGGACATGCTTATTTCTTCGTATGGTCGATGTATCATGTGAAATCCATGTCTTCCGGTAAGAATTAAAAAAAAAAAAACTACTTAATCTATGTAAAACGGTAGCAGGCCTTTGTTAATAAGAGAACATTCAAACTCTTAATAACTGGTAGTGATAAAAAAAATGCAAGTCACTATCAAAAAATAAAATAATAATAAAATGAAATGCATGCAGATGAAGTAAAGTAAACTAACTAAGAGAAGCAATCTCTTTTAAGTAACTCAATTGAAAGCCCTTGATATTACACCTTACTCTTATACGAACCTTTCAATTATTAAATACCCAAAAAGTCCTCTAAAGTTGTTTAATGGCCAATCAGCTACTTCCACTATTTTGGTCTTTGAGGTAGAGACCTTAAATAATATAATATCTCTGTGCGGCATTCTGGTTTCATGCTTTTGCTAACGCCGTTGAGAATATAGCCACCGACAAAGTCTCTTGGGAAAAGCACACAAATACAAACTACTTGTCTTAATATCTAACAACTGAGGCTTATATGCTACCTAATTCTTTGCTATTCATTAATCATCACACACCTAATCCTTAGTTTAAACATCATTTGTGAAGTCAAAATAATTAATCTAAAGATAATTTGTGGTTGTTGTATTAGTATTTTAGGAACAAGTCCCATAACCAAAATGCTACCAACAACTCTAGTAAATGAGTGTTCCCAAGTTGGTAGTTGTAATAAAATCAGAATATTATTTTTTTATAAATTTTGCAAAAGCTGAATTATAATTTCTTGATAAAAAAAAAAGAATTATAATTTTAATTTTATGCCCACAGTATCCTACACCGGCAAATAATATTTTTCCATTATTATTATGGAAAATCAAAAAACAGTCAACCCAAAGAGTTGAGAGTTATGGAAGCAAAAGACAATCCAACCAGCCAAAAGCTACTTCACTTGGGCAACGCAACAGTACCTATCAGCACAGCCTGTCCGAAGCTTCTCAGATTTGCTGCTGCCAATCTCATATTATTCACTCTATCTTATTTAATCTCCACTTGCCACGTTTCTCCTTGACATTATTCCCACGACCGACACTCCATCACAGACACCACGACAAAACTAACCACCATTACTATCATTTGCTTGCGTTTTATATTAATTCCTTTTAAAAACAATTCATCAAATTCACAAAAAATAAATTTTATTAACATCACATTTCCCAATTTGCTTATTGAAAGTATTTCTCGAAATTATTTATGAAAAATTATTTTAATTCAGCATAAATTTAATACATGAAGAATAATAATCTGAAACGAGATTAATTTTATATTTATAGAAAACGATGAAAAATAATATTTTATAATTTAATATTAAGAATATGATTACTAATGTAAAAGATAAATTTACGTATTAAAAATTAAAAATCATGCATGCTTGAAATTGATATATTAAAAAAAGAGAGAAAAATAAAAAGAAAAGAGAAACAAAAAAGGAAAGAAAAGACATACATACAACTATTTGCTCAGCGACACAATAAACACCTGTAAATGTAACTTCTTTCTCCTCTCACTTTCCTTCTCTTTACAATATCTGAATCTGCATTTTCTGTCAACATACATTAATCCTCCATCTTCAACCTCAATAATACATTTATTCTCTCTCTTTCTGGGTCTGGCAATTTGCCATGGATTTTGGCATCTGTTCTGCTACAAAGCTTATTCTCACTGCCCATCTGCTCCTTCTTGCGGGATTCTCCATTGCATTGCCGGAATATTCCATTTCCAATTCTAACTCAACCCAAATCAACTCGAACTCCGTCTTAGTTGCTCTTCTTGACTCACATTATACAGAGCTCGCCGAGTTGGTTGAAAAGGCCCTTCTCCTTCAAACCCTCGAACAGGCTGTTGGCCGCCACAACGTCACCATCTTCGCCCCAAAAAATGAAGCCCTTGAGCGTCACTTAGACCCTGAGTTCAAGCGCTTCTTGCTTGAACCTGGTAACCTCAAGTCTTTACAGGAATTAATTCTCTTTCATATAATTCCAACTCGGATTAACTCGGACCAGTGGCCAACTCACTCCTTGTCAACCCATCATAACACGCTCTCCAGTGATCATCTTCACTTAACGCGGGAACAAAAATCTGGAGAAAGAATTGTAGGTCATGCTAAAGTGATCCATCCCGACTCCGTCATCCGACCCGATGGTATAATCCATGGGATCGAACGGCTATTGATTCCCCAATCAGTAGAAAACGATTTCAACCGCCGTCGAACTCTCCGTTCGATTACTGCCGTTAAGCCTGAAGGAGCTCCGGAAGTTGACCCAAGAACAAACCGTCTTAAAAAACCTGCTCCACCGGCTAAACCCGGTTCTCCTCCGGCTCTACCCATTTTCGATGCGTTGGCTCCAGGACCTTCATTGGCTCCAGCACCGGCACCGGGACCCGGTGGACCTCACCACCACTTCAACGGAGAGGCACAAGTGAAAGATTTCATAGCAACGTTGTTACAGTATGGGGGGTACAACGAGTTCGCTGATATAATGGTGAACTTAACCTCACTAGCCACCGAAATGGGGCGGCTAGTTTCTGAAGGATATGTATTGACGGTTCTGGCGCCGAACGACGAGGCCATGGCAAAGCTAACGGCAGAGCAGTTAAGTGAGCCTGGAGCACCGGAGCAGATAATGTATTATCACTTGATACCGGAGTACCAGACGGAGGAGAGTATGTATAATGCAGTGAGGAGATTTGGGAAGGTGAATTATGAGACGTTGAGAGTGCCACATAAGGTGGTGGCTCAGGAGGCTGATGGGTCGGTGAGGTTTGGGAGCGGTGATGGGACGGCGTATTTGTTTGATCCGGATATATATACAGATGGGAGGATTTCAGTGCAGGGTGTTGATGGGGTTTTGTTTCCGGCAGAGGAGATGAAGCCAGTGGAGAAGGAAGTTAAAGTTGCCAAGGTTGTGACAAAAACTAGAAGAGGTATGTTGCTTTTCTGTCAAAAATTAGGTTACTGTTTTGCTTATTGTTATATGTAAATGCATAGAAATGAGAATTATTTATTTCAAGTATATTTATTATTTTATAGGATTTTTTTTTTACTCTGGAAATTTGCTATTAGTGCTTTTATTGCACAGAAATGGTGAATTGTGTGATATTATAGTTGAGGGCTGTGTATCTGACAATATGTGGAGCTAGAGAGGCAATATCATTGGTTGAGTGCTTGCCTTGTACTATGGGAAATTAGGGACGCAAACAGGGAAACTTCCTCCCGTTTGAAAACTTTTGAGGTACCAAAAGAAAGTTGAGCAAAGATATCAACTTGTTGTTAGTGTTTCTTGTGGATAATAATTATGGGTTGATCATGTGAAGAGAGAAAGGTAATCTCTTCAATTGGATGTTTGAAATCTGTTTTGCAAGTTTTGAAATGCTGAAGGTGATATGGGAGGCAAAAACAAATCATTAGGTAAAGCATGTGAAATACGCATAGTCGGGATGATATTTGATTCATTTCTTGAATGCTTAAAGGATAATTGGACAACTATGTAGTTCGTTTTCTAATGCATGAATTGATTTCTTGCTCCATCTTTTCTAGGGTGGAATTCATTGTGGTGAAAAAGGTAGGGTTGCTAATATATGGGTTGACACATTCTACAAGTGTGGAATTTATGTGATCTCACTAACTTATGCAAGATGATAATTCTTGTTAGAACATTTGCCTCAAGTTGATTTGTTTATTGTGACTACTTTATCCATGCAGGCATGTTACAATTCATCAATATTTATGTGGGTTTCTGTTCATTTATAACATGCAAAATTGTGCAGGAAAATTGCTGGCAGTAGCTTGCAAGATGTTGGGGGCTCTAGGACAGGATTCTCGATTTTCCAGTTGCCACTGATATATAAGCCACTATCACAGGACTGTCAGGCTTCATTAAAGAAAGTGACCAAGGTTCCAAATTCTTGCTCTTTTCTGTTAATCTCCATCCTGACTTCCCCTCCTACTCTTTCCAAATTATCATCTCGTTAACGTGCTTGGACGATTGATATCTAGTGTCAATAATCCGGTTGATCCCGATTCTTGTCCTCATCTTGTTCTATTAGTTAAGCTTGTCCATCTAAAGTAGCAATTAAATTCTTTTCCTGCATCCAATGCCAGATTTTGGTTGATGTTCATCTATGTTGTATTGGGATTTAGCAGTTCTAATTCTGCTAGCTACGAGAAAGATCAATTGTAATGCCCTCAACAAACTAATAAAGATTATTTCCTTCGTGATGCAGATGCCCCAGAACGATGGGATCATGAAAATGTAAAAACTCGTGGAATGGTATCCCTCAGGAGAGACTAGAAGGATTGCCAATCATTATTTTTTGTTCACATTTCTTTTCTTTTCTTTTTTTCTTTCCCTTTTATGGTGTTTGAGGTTTTTGGTTGGTTTTGGATCAAGGAAGAGAGAGCAGAGTCCTCCTGTAATTATAAAAACACAATAAAGTACATAAAATGTATCTTAATTTCAAATTAGTTGATTTAGGTGCTTGTGGTGGTGGAATTAAGCCTGGTGCAAGCCGAAGATGGAAGAAGTCACGAGGTTTATTGCACATTATTTTATCTATGGAATAAAACTGTGGTAAAACTAGATTTGGAATACAATAAAAATGATTCTCTTGTGGGATTACATGGGAGGCGAGACTCTCCTTTCTCTTCATTTGATGTTTTGGTTCTTTTTCTTGCATGAAACAAGGCAAGAATCTCAATTTCTTGTTCATCAGATGTTTTCTTCTAATGAAGAGACCAAAGGCATCACATCATGAGTTGGCTCCTCATGCATATGGAATCAGTATATAGCCATGGAAATATCTCATGTTTGTAACCATAACAGACAAGAGATCTCATTATTGGCAATGGGGACACAGTCTCCATCATTGTTTATGCTGGTTTTGTTTTTTAATTACTGTCCAATCACAATATATATACATATATATACATATTCCTATAAAAAATAACCACCATTTAACCGACACAGTTCCACGTACACTTTGATTAGAAAAATGAAACTTCAAGATCAAATGTTAACACTATCAGGCAACAGTCACACAAAATGCAGGTCAAGCCTCTATTAACTTGTTAACACCGCATTGAAAAATATTCTCCTGGAGTAGCAGTTATGTGAATGAGAAAAACCTTCTGACAGCCATCTTTGCACATCCAATGTACACAAATATGCAAGTGTTGAACATAAATAAGAAATAAAAAGATTTCATTAGACTATGACCCAGGCAAACATCAGGGCTTAGGTGAGTGAAAGACATAGATGAACTACCTCAAAATGAAACAGATTAACAAGCAGATACATATGGAAAGCATGCAAGCAAGCAACCATGATCGTGAATCAAACTCGAAGTTGCAGCAATTTTTATAGAGACTAGTCTGTACAAATTTGAACCTCAGGATACTCACGACGTACACAACAACAAAAAAAACCATTATCACCATCAATAGCATAAACTGCTAGCAAACTGCAGTCATCAGTTTCGCATCCCAATAAAGAACAAACGATTGTGGATCCCATCAAAATTTTTGAGGATTCTAGCACAAAACCGAAGTAAATCCAACAACCATTACATTTTTAACATGGGAGCATTTCATTATTAATGCAGAAATTTTGACAGGTCTCATTAGCACAGCATTCAGCACAAACTTAATGCCCTTCACTTTTCTTCTCCCACCACTCCATGAACTTAACTTGTGCAGCCAAGGTATCCAACCTGTAAAGCTGCAGCCAGTGATTTGCAACTTCCTGCCCAAACGTCCAACCAAAAACACCTCCAGCTAGAAAGGAAAGCCCAGCTCCTGTCAATACAGATTAGGGTCAGTAACTAAACAATTTCCTCACCTCATTCAGAAAAACAATTAATCAAAAACTCTGATTTTCTCCTTGTAACAATAGTACATTGTTAAATGAGTAATAAACACTTTTGAGTACTCTTCCATCTTAAGAAAACTAGATATAGGTTAACCGCTAATAGAAGGCAGTATCTACCATGTAAACTCCTTGAATATTTCCAGGTAACACCAGCAGTTGACACTGCTCCAATAAAACTTCCTACAAGACCAAATTTTGCTGCTTCTCTAGCACTCTTCAGCTGAAAATTGAAAGGCAGTTGTTAATGGAGTTGCAACAAACAAGATACAGTACATATCCAATGAGACAAGAATCATCTGAAAACATGATATTTTATTGCATGATCAGACCATAAAACCACAAGAATTGGAAAACAGCAAAAGATTACTTCAAAACAATATAGGTTAGGCGAAAGTGAAAAAAATAAAAAATACAAATACTTTTTTGCTTTAACGGTAAACAATTAAAATTATTATTATTTTTTCTTCCATTTGTAAAACTTTACAGTCTACCTATGGATCCTTTTAGACAAGACAAGTCCTAAAAAGGTCTAGTGTCTACTCTACTGTCATTCAACCAACAAATGGCTTAACCAAATTCTTAGGCAATACTTCAATTGATAGATTTTAAGAGCATATTCTTTCCAAATCCTGCTCCTCTGAAAGAGAGTTCTGAAATGAGAGAGGTAGTGAAGGAAAGATCTAAGGATTGAATTTGAATATTTAATGAATGTGTGCGGCAGACCAGGCATCAAAAGTTGCAGTCCTCTCAAGAATGACCAGGTGATGAGCTTCCCTAATCTCCACATTTGCCCCTATTCAGAACAATTTCTCTTCCCCTTGACATTTGTCAAGATAACTACCGAGTAACTCTTCATGTCTCTTTCATCATCTGGTAGCATTACATAAACAAGTAAACATTTTTCTTTACAGAAGTGCCGGCTGAAACAAGCAACTAGTAATGTACCGAATTAAGAACAAAATTTACAGCCAGAAAATTGCATTTAATATGCTTGTACAAATCTAGGAACTCGTAAAATTCATATGTATTACTGTGAATACACTTCAACTCATAAAGCTTACAACATCAGAGCCAATCAGGAAACAGAAGCCATCCTAACATAAAAGGAGGGTATATTATAGCAATCATAAAACACGAAAGAGAATGAAAGCCAAAAACGAAGATGCGCCAACATAAATTGTCATCAATAAAAACAAATTCTGTACTGGAAACAAACGAAAAAGCAGAACATGAAAAACAAACAGAAGGAAAAATATCAAATAGCAAGACCTGTTCAGATTGTAGTAATAACAGAAAAATCGAAGTCAGTCCAACCAAGCAGATAAGCAGTAACCAAAAAATTTTTGATGGCACGATCAACAAAAATATGAGATATCCAGATGAAGAAATTCTAAAGCACAAATAAAAATCAATCAAACAAGAAAATAATAAAAGGGGGTAGGGACTAAAATAGAAAACATGAAATCGAAGAACGCCAAAACCCAAATGAATAGGAGATGAAATAAATCTCTATTCTATATATATAGAGGGAGAGAGAAAGAGAAGGTTACAACGGGGCCATTAATGGGATCTGACGCAATAAACTCTTCAACATCAGAAGCAGACCAAGAGGGAAGAGGCTTATCGCGCTTGATGAACCTTGAATAATTCTCAAGAAAAGAAAATCTTTCTCCCCAAAACTCCTTGTATCCTTCCCAGTGCTTCCTAAAAAATGAGTCTGAAGCATCTCCCATTCTCAAACTCTTCCTTCTCCTATCGACGATGCAAATGCAAAGATCTGTTAACCTTTCTGTATAGCGTTTGTTACTTAGTACTGCTATGTTTGTTTTATTGGAATTGAAAATTACATTTGCCACAGCCTTTCGACAAAAAGTAAAAACCCTATAGTCCCACACGACACCGGATTCCTCTATTTAAGTTTTTTTTTTTTTTTTGCTTTGAAACTAAATTTAACAAAGAGGGGTTAGAAAACAGTGAAGGCACGCACATGCCACGTGATGTGAATGGGGATGGAGTAGGGTCCAAGTTAGATGGAAGTTTCAAGAGTAAATGAGTTGGTTATCGCGAAGTTGAACCGCTGCGTGTGTTTGCGTGCGTAAATAAACCCGATTTGGAGACAATTACTACGATAGAAAATAATCCGTTTCCGCGTTGCCTCCTCGTTTTCTTTCTCCTCTCTTTCTCTTTGAACCGAAAAGGGGAAAAAGGAAGCCCTAAACAGACGTTCTACACTGAACATAAAGGCCTTCATCTTTCTCCCTCCTGGCGATCACGCTTCGTTCTCAGATTATCCTTTCTTCCGTAGAAAACGAAAAAAATAAAATTATTAATAATAAAAATAAAAGTTTGCGTCCATTGAAAGACTTGTTCTCCTTTAGAGCTGTTGAACGGTAAAATCGTGAAGTGTTAAGAAAGAAGTTGAATAAAACTCTTCAACTGGTCTCCTCCAGATTTAGGAAGGCCATGAGCGATTGTTGATCTCTGATTTTTTTTTTCAAAAAAGAATTCGTTTGAGAATAATTGCTTGGAATTGGTAAGAATCTCTCCTTTCTGGTTTAAATTTTCAAAATGCATTTTTGTTTTCTATTTTTTATTTCTGTTTCATTCACTACACCGAGCACACTTCCCTCTATCATGTCGATTCCGAATTTGGCGTGAATTACGAGGGTCTTTCCTGCTCCGATGGGGTATGACCGTGATGGGTGAGAGACACCGAATTAATTTGTTTTCTATTTTTGCATTCTAAAAAGTGGAATGATTTCTGAACAATTGGGGTTAGGATAATGCAAATTTACACAGAACCTTTCAAATCTTTTTGTTTTTTTTGTTCTTTTTCTGTGTCATTAAGTTACTTCTATTATCTTTTTTGTGATTGATTATTTCTTGCTTATATTGCCTCAATTCTTTTTAGGTTATATTGCAGTGGTGGTTCAAATCTGAGTTCTGAATTGCAGTCTGGGATTTCTAAAGAATTAACTCAAGGTTTGGTTAGTGCTCAGATATGTATTTCCTGGAGTACGATTTAGTTGTGATTCTATAAAAATATAAATAGTGTTATGATTTTTATTCCCTTTTTTCTGGCCCATGAAAATGTTGTTCATTTTTTGATGTCGGATTTGAGCAATGAAATCTGGGTAGAGGATTGTATGAGGGGAAGATGATATTGATTTATCTGGAAAATTATTTTGATCTGAGAACCTACTTTTGATATGTTTGCATATGGCTAAGTGAATTGAAATTGAATTTTGATAAAAGCTTTATTTTCAGTTTAATTTAAGAGAAACACTTTGATAGGTGCCTTTTCTGATTTGATGTTAATTCAATATTAAACTTTGTTTGCTTTGCATGTTGAGCAGTTGTAGGTTTCCTCTTCTCTTTCAAAGGTTTCTACATCTCATTATCTTCCCATTTCATTGTCTTGAAATCTTGGTTTTGTTTTTGTACAAATTGCTCCTTTTGTTATATTCTCTTCAGAATCAGCCCGTTTGTCAGGGCTTAATTTACATGATTGTTTCCTCGATAACAATTAAGAAGGTATGTGGTGTTTACAATGTTGATATTTCATTAGTTTTCTGCCTTCGTATTATAATCGAATATTAGTCAATCCGAAATACAACTTAATTGTCGTCTTCTGAACAATTTATATATTCTTGTTCATGTATGTATGTACAGTGACAAATGATTCTCTTTGATTTCTATCTTTCATTAGTAGTAGTAGAAGAAGAGGAGGAAACGAGTGAAAGAAATGGCACAGGACAATGGCAAAGCAGAAACCGAAAAGCATGAGCCTGCTGTAAGCAGTGAAAAGAAGCGCAAGGGCTTTTTGTCTCGAATGTGGAATGGCATTTTTAGGCTTCACAATGATGATTTTGAGAAGAGATTGCAGAACATATCTAGGGAAGAAGCTGCCGTTTTAGCTAGAATGAAGAAGCGATCCCTTACCTGGCGAAAGATGACTAGGCATCTGATTATTTTCTCTGTCATTTTTGAGGTTCTTATCTTTTCCCTCATTATGATATTTTCTCCTTCTTGGATGCCAAGTGGCAATGCATTCTTTGATATGTGCATCCTTATGTTGGTATACTAGTAAACTATATATTAAAACACTTTTAAACATCCTTTTATATGGTAGACCACCTAATGACAGATTCACCTGTGAAGTTTTACATCCATAAAACAATGGGTTTCATGTTTGACTTGCAGAGACTTGCTAATAACTAATCCTGAATTTGTGGGAACAATGTTGTGAAGTTGACATTTCGCCGTTTGCTGTTCACAATCTTATGTTACAAACTTCCCTTATCATGATATATTATAAACAATGGGTTTCATGTTTGACTTGCAGAGACTAACTTGTCCTGAATTTGTGGGAACAATGTTGTGAAGTTGACATCTTACCATTTTCTGTTCACAATCTTATGTTACAAAATTCCCTTACCATAATTGTTCTATGAACCAGGTAATTGCAGTAGGTTATGCTATCATTACAACAAGATCAATGGATCTAGACTGGAAGATGAGAGCATTTCGAGTTTTGCCAATGTTTCTTTTGCCCGGTTTATCATCTCTTGCTTATTCGACATTTGTGAGTTTCACAAGGATGTGTAAGTGTCTCAAACTTACAGCAAATTTGATTTCTTGAAGCCTTTCATGTTCATTTAGATTCTGGAGTTCCCTTTTCTTTATGTTTTAAAAGTACGTGGACTTGCCTTTTCAATTGATTTTAGTATCAAAAGTTTGTATATGTAATAATCCAACAGCATGTGCCATCCATTGATCTTGTTGTAATGATAATAAAAATAAAATCCTTAACTTGGATGCTAGATGTGTAGGAGTTTGTATATGAGTCAGGTGTAAATAAAAATAAAATCCTTAACTTGGATGCTAGATGTGTAGGAGTTTGTATATGAGTCAGGTGTAAATAAAAATAAAATCCTTAACTTGGATGCTAGATGTGTAGGAGTTTGTATATGAGTCAGGTGTAAATAAAAATAAAATCCTTAACTTGGATGCTAGATGTGTAGGAGTTTGTATATGAGTCAGGTGTAAATAAAAATAAAATCCTTAACTTGGATGCTTTCAACAAATGAATTTGGACCAAAAATAGAAATTTTAACATTTGATCCTATTTTTTATTTGAAGAGAGTGATGAGCACAAGGCTTTTAGACATAGGATTTTTATATGTCTTGCTTGCACGTATATCTGGATTTCGATACAATACCAGTTTTCAAGACTGGCAAAAGTTTTGACCCTAATTACTGTATGAATCCTTAACTTGGATGCTAGATGTGTAGGCTTACTAGCATATGCATTACAAGACACAAGTTCATTTCAACAAATGAATTTGACCAAAATAGAAATTTTAACATTTGATCTATTTTTATTTGAAGAGAGATGAGCAGCAAGGCTTTAGACATAGGATTTTATATGTCTGCTTGCCTATATCTGGATTTCATAAATACAGTTTTCAAGACTGCAAAAGTTTTGACCCTAATACTGTATGTGTCGTGTAGGATTGGTACTACTGATCCAAGTTCATGGTCGTGCAGGTGATCGCAAGGATCAGAAAACTCTGGAAAGGCTGCAGGCTGAAAGGCAAGCGAAAATTGATGAACTTAAAGAAAAGACAAATTACTACATCACACAGCAACTCATTCAGGTACATACTGAAATAGCCATATTGTCATACAGTAATCTTTTTTTTTATTATTATTTTTATAAATGTATCTGTGTTTGCATGTGTGGTTTCCTTTAAAAGATCAGTGCTTGAGGCATTGGCATAGATGCATTTAGCAGGCATCATTTTGTGCAGTGTGCAGTGTATGCATGGATGCATCTTCTTTTTCTTTTAGTTTTTGAATTGGCAAGTGATTAAATTGTATATCTATTTTAATTTGTACGGAGCGATGATAGGTAGTTTCTCATCTGGCCAAGAAATTGGAACCTAAGGAGACATGTAATGGAGGAAAATATTATCTAGTGTTATAGCTGAAGTTACTGGCTATTCTAGGGTTAAATAAGTTTGCAATTTGCTTCTCATTTGAATGAGTCATGGGCGTTCTTTGTTGTTCTCATAGAACTATGTTTTCACCAAATTGTGCTTTGGCCTTTTAGGTGAGCATTAGGATACCTAGTATTCGCTAGCATTCTTACTTGTGTTTCCTAAGTTTTTATGTGACCTCTTGACACTTGACATAAACATCTCTTTGCTTCAACAATCTTTCACTACGAACATGTTCTGTTGACTATGAAGGCATGCATCCACAATGAGGACAATTTCACATTATCACATCTGTTCTCTTATTTTCTCCAATCACAAGTTTGTGCATAAAATCCTACTTTTTCTTGCTGCCCATAAATTTTAGCAACTGGAATTCGTATGTTATCTCCAAACCTCTACATAATCTCACTTCAATGCAATTTGCAAACTCGCATTTTCTAGGCATTAATTTGATCAGAGCAGATATTGGAAACAAATGATTTATATAACGGACACCAACTAATTTGGGACTGAGGCTTAGTTGTTTTGATATTGTTCTGACTTCACTTAGTTTAACCATATTATATGTAGAGATATGATCCTGATCCAGCGGCAAAGGCAGCAGCTGCAACTGTGCTTGCATCTAAGTTGGGTGCAGATTCTGGCCTAAAAGTGTATGTGGGTGGAGATGAAGCTAAGCTTAACATTCCAACAGGAAAGAGCAAGGATGATGAGTTTGTGCCAGCAAGCGGCCTTAGAAATAGAAAGCAAGTGCGCACTAGATCTAGCAGTGCAGGGAGTTCTCCAGTGCACCATTCTAATGAAGAAATGCTATATTCTGGAGAAAGTGAAGATAAACATAATCAACTTGTTGTTCAGCATCACAATCCAGAGTCTTCAGTGGTGCATGATGGAGGGTGGATTGCTCGATTAGCAGCATTACTTGTAGGCGAGGATCCTACACAATCTTATGCATTGATATGTGGCAACTGCCATATGCACAATGGTAAGGGAACTGCAATTTACACTTCTCTATAACAGTTGTTTAGTGCTGAAGGTATATGTCTTGATTTTGTTTTCCACAGGCCTTGCCAGGAAGGAGGATTTCCCATACATCACTTACTTCTGCCCACACTGTCATGCATTGAATCAACCAAAACAATCAGAAGAGAGTGTTTCTAATTCAAATATGGGCACTCTTAAGGCTGGTGGCAATGTTGAAGCTGTCAACAATGCCAGTAACCCCCCAAGTGACAGCATTCTACAAAGTAACATCCCTACCAGAGCTGATTCAGAAAATGATGAAGTAGCTGAAATGCCAGCGACATGAGAGTTGGCTACTTAAGAGTCGTCATATATGATTACAGGTGATAAGTTTGATCTTGTTCTGCCTTTCATCAGATCTTTGATTGCAGTTTTGAGTGCTGGGATGTTAATATTGTGTATGCTTGAGATTCGGTGGTTGGTACTTTTTGTACTTTATGATGTATAAATATATCATGGCTGGAAATTGTATCTGCTCCTTATGTCTAGCTTACGGTTGAAGGCCCTATGGGGTTGTCTGTTGTAGAACACTCTTCATTTCTGATACATACTTGTGTTACAGAAAGCCTAAAAAATGAATGAAATGATAATCAAAAGTATCTTCAATTAACAAGGTTTTTCTTCTTTCCTTTCGTAAATGATTTTTTTCACGCTTTAGTCATCTATTATTCGACAGCTCTATCTGTAATCTATGCGTAGTTCGTACAAGCATTTGATGGATTGGATTGTATAAAAATAAGCATCGACTCCTATTTTAAATCAATGTATAAATTCTCTGGATTTTTACCTAATATTTTTAAGGGCGTATTTGAAAGAGCTTGTTGATTCAGGGATAGAGAAATGGAATTATTGAATTTTTTTAGTCATTATTAATAACATAAATAAATTTTACCGATAAAAAAAAATTATAAATTTGATCCGCATACGAAAGAAGAAGTCATTATTTATTACCACCTATATTCGTAAATTTCACAACTTCAATGTGTACTCCCTTAAAATTAAAAACAATGCAACCTGAGCATGATTTCAATATTTTCTATTTATCAATAGAAAAATGTCTGTCAAGAAAGACAGATATCGAGTCAAAACTACTAAATTCTTGCGAAGTAGATGTATTTTCAGGATGGATTTATATTGCGTATGTAATTTTAAATAATGCATCGAGAAGGCAAGATAAGCAGATCATAAGATCCCATACTATCTCTAAAAAGCCGTATACGAGTTGCTCGTAAAATGTATAAAAGATATCGGCTCTCAAGCAAGTTTAGTTATAAGGATTCTTAAAAAAAAAAAAGGTGTATACTATTGGACGATTAGGCTTGGAAGTTTCGATATAGAATGACCCAAGCTTGATTTGAATGATTTATACATATCAATAGACGAAATATTATAGACTCAAAATGTTGTGTTAAGTAACAGATGATATATTGGATAGAAATTGTTGAATGCTTCCGGAGTGACACGAATTTTGGAGATAAATTTTATTGCTTATGCAATTTTCCATGATGTATCGAGTATACGAAATATTATAATCTCAAATTATTGTGTAAAGCAACAAACAAAGAGATATTGGATCAAAACTGCGAATGCTTCAAGGTAAGAAATGCTAGATTCAAACTAGATGTTCTTCGAAAGAAATTAGCAAGAAAAGTCGCACTTACTATAGAAGCCTTAGCTGGGGAGTCTTCAAGGAAGAACTACAGCTATAATCGGCCTGTCTATGGAATATATAGGCTTGGCTTGACCTAAGGGTACTTTGTCAATTAGTTGAGAAGTAGCCATTTGCTTCAAATAGGCAACTTAGAGAAGGTGCTTTCCCTTAACGGTTTTTGTTTTTATAATGGAATTCCCTCCCAAAACCAGATGGAATACCCTTTATCTCATATCAATTTGCTGAAAGTTATCCAATCCATCTGGCACTAAACGAAGTAGGTCGATACTAATAATAGGAAGCGAAAGCCGCTCTCTTTTCCTACAAGTCTTTGGACAAAACTGCTAAATGCTTTCAAAGTGGCACCAATTTTGCGCATAAATTTATACGACGTATGCAATTCTGAATGACTCATCGATCATCGAAATAAGCATGTTGGGCTGACCACGAAACCCCAAACTATCACCTAGAAGACCCTATACGAACTACTCGTCAGTAGTATAGAAGATATTGGCTCCGGAACAAGCCTTTATATAAGGCTTCTTAGACCAAAGAGGTATACCTTTGAATTTTTGAGCCCGGAAGTTCTGACATGGAATGGCCTGAAAATGGTTTTAATGCTTCCTAAATATTATAGTCTCAAAATGGTGTGCCAAGCAACAAATATAGAGTTGTTGGGCCAAAATTACCGAATGCTTCCGAAGTGCCACCGATTTTGTGTGAGCCCGGAAGTTTCTGACATAGGAATGGCCTGAAAATGGTTTTAAGGTGCTTCCTAAATATGTATAGTCTCAAAATAAATATTATAGTCTCAAAATGGTGTGCCAAGCAACAAATATAGAGTTGTTGGGCCAAAATTACCGAATGCTTCCGAAGTGCCACCGATTTTGTGCATGCATTTATATGGCGTGTCTAATTCTTAATGACGTATCGAACAGGCAAGATAGACATGCCGAGTTAACCATGATACCCCAAACTATCGTGAAGAAGACCCCATACAAGCTGCCCGTCAGCGGTACAAACGATATCATCTCCGGAACATGACTTTATATAGGCCTTCTTAGACTAAATGGGTATAACTTTGGATTTTTAGGCTCTAAATCTCCATCATGGAACAGTCCAAAAATTATTTCAATGGTTTCTACATGTTATAGACAAAATATTATCGTCTTAAAAATGGCGTGCCAAGCATTAGAAAGAGAGATGTTGGGCCAAAACTGTCAAATGCTTCCGGAGTGACATCGATATTGCGCATGAATTTATATTACTTATGCAATCCTTAATGATGCATCGAGAAGGCACAAAAATGATTTCAACGCTTCCTGTAGGTCTTAGATGAAAGATTATGGTCTTGAGATGGCATGCCAAGCAACAGACAGAGATATACTACGCTAAAACTGTTGAATGCTTCTAAAGTGGCACCAATTTTACGCATGAAATTATATGATGCATGCCATTCTTAATTACGCATCGAGCAAGTGAGATAGGCAAACTGGAGTGACCGTGAGACCCGAAACAATCACGTTGAAGGCCCTATATGAGCTGCCCGTCAGGACTACAGAATGGGCCAAAACTGCAGAATGCTTTTGGAGTGGCACGGATTTTGTGTATAAATTTATATTGCGTATGTAATTCTTAATGATACATCGAGTAGGTGAGATATGCATGTCAAGCCACCCTCAAGACCCGAAACTATTGCTTAGAAGACCCTATATGACCTGCTTGTCCAACGTACAGAAGATATCGGCTTCGAAGCAAGCCTTCGTATAGGGCTTTTTAGACTAAAGGGGTATACCTTTGGATTTTTGAGCCGAGAAGCTCGACATGAAATGGCGCGAGGTTGATTTTAACACTTCCTTCAAGTCTATATACAAAATATTATGGTCTCAGAATGGCATGCGATGCAACAAACAGAGAGATTGAGCCAAAATTGTTGAATGCTTCCGAAGTGGCACGAATTTTGAGCATGAATTTATATTGCTTATGCAATTCTTAATAACGCATCGAGCAGGCAAGTTCGGTATGTCAAGTTGACCACAAGACCCCAAACCATCACCTAAAAGATCCTATACGAGATGTCCGTCAGACATACAGATGATATCGGCTCCGGAACAGGTCTTCATACAGAGTTTTTTAAACCAAATGAGTATACCTTAGATTTTTACTAGCATAATATTTTTCGTTTTTATTAGCAAGACTAAATGATGATTATAAAAAACAAAAAAAGTGCTTGGCTTGTACTTCCTTGGGTTAATTAAATCTTTACTCTTCAAGGCCGAACTAGAAGTTGGGAAATAGAGAGATTACTTATAACCTCAAGCAAGATATATGTTTCGAGAAATTTTTTTCTCCACTAGATGCTATTATACGTTTATTGCAAAATGACAGAGTGACTAGTTTTTTTGTGGTATGATTGATTTATTGTATAAATGTATAGAAAAAAACATCATTTATCTTAATTTTATATAACATAATTATTGACTTCCAAAATATGAACATAAATCATAATATTATCTTATTTCCGAAATATCCACTTAGTGAATGAAAAAAAAAAATTGAAACCATTATAATCATTTGCTACACTACATTGTTAATTAATAACGGTTCCATACATAATTTAACTTTTAAATTTTTTCAAAAAAAGACATTGTCATCCTCTAAATTTGAAATTTGACTTTTTGAGCTTGTTGCCCTCTTGAATTTTTAATAAAATCGCACTCCGAATCAGTTTGGCAAATATAACTGTTTTAATAGTTGTCAACTGTTTTACTAGTAGTTAGCTGTTAAATATTAGCTGTGAATAGTTAACGATTATATAGCGGTTTAGAATAAAAGTGTTCATTACAAATAACTATTTGATTAACTGTTTAATATAAAATGATATAAAAGGTAAGAACAAGATAAAGACAAGTGATGGATATATGAATCATAAATAAATTATAAAACACTAAACATTAATGAAGATAATGTTTCATAAAATACTGTCTCAAACTCTAAACGCTAGATTAGATCGCTATAATTAATTAAGATCGTGTTTTAACTCTATCAAAACACAAAACATTATTTCAAACTCTACTGCCGAATAGGGCCTTAGCCGTAATAAAAGTGGATTAGTTCCACAAGTCATAAGTAGAAAGTGAAATTCAGGAAGCTAAAAATGAAATCGAAAGAGTCATAAAATCATTTTCAAAATTAAAGGGCCACAAACATGTAATTTTTTCAAAAGAAAAATACGAAGAGTTAAATTATGCAGCTGTCTCCTTAATAATCTCACTCAAAATATACAATGTAGTCAATATTTTATTGATTAACCTAAAATAAAGGACGGTGCATATAAAGGGAAGATGGTGATGTTCTCAGTTAGCCACACAACACAAGACCCCATTCTCAAACCTCATTGGCCAACCAATTACAAAAGAAAAGAAAAGAAAATATAACAGAGAAGCCCATCATGATTCAGCGACAGACAAGACAGACAGCCTACCGAAGGTCAAAGATGATGCAAGATTTTCTTTAGCAACACAAACATAGACATAGACTAATAAAAAAGTTCATATTATATATATAGGTTGTTAATTAGTCATTTCTCTTTTCTCTTTGATCTTCTAAACCAAAATATACTCCCTTTTCTTTTTTTATTTGACAACACAAATCCACCCCTCAGGCTCAAGGAGTGGAAGTGGAAAAATAGGGAGACAAAGTGACAATAATAATGGTCTTTTTTTTTTTTTTTTTTTTTTTTTTTTTTATTCAGGAAGCTAAAAATGAAATCGAAACGAGTCGATAAAAGTCATTTTCAAAATTTAAAAGGATTAATAGCCACAAACACCATCTATATAAAGTTAAGTTAAATTAATGCAGCTGTCTCCTTAATAATCTCACCACACATATCGTAAGCTATATATATGCCCTAAATAAGACGCGACGGATGCATATAAAAGGGAAGATGGTGATGTTCACTCCAGTTAAGCCACACAACAAGCCGCCCATTCGTTCTATTAATTAGAGACCACCACGATAATTATATATAAAGCCCATCATGAATATATGCGGACGCAGCCGGATACCCACAGCACTCTACGCGCGAAGGTAGAGAGATAGACCAAGATTTATATTCTTTAGCACAACAAACATATGACATAGACACTAATAAAAAAGTTTCATAATTATAGTATAATAGGTCTAGTTAATTAGTCATTTTCTGCTTTTGCTCTCTCACTTTGATCTTCTTAAAACCAAAATAATCTACGCCTTTATTCTTTTTTATATTGACAACAACAAAAATCCCAAACAGCACCCTCGAGGCTCATAGGAGTGGAGGAGTGGAAAAATAGGGAGACCAAAGTGACAATAATAATGGTCTTTTTTTTTTTTTTTTTTTTTATTTTTGTTTTTTCATTGGAGTTGGGGTTTGGAATTGAGAAATAATTTCTTTTTCCCCCTTGAAGGGAGTGGAATTTGATATAAGGAAGGTGGCAATAGCAATGGAGCTTCTGAAGCAAAAAGAGACCTTACTTTGGCTCCTTGCATTGCCCTTTTGACAAAGGAGGAAAGACAAATCTCCTTTATTCCCACTCCAACACCTGACAATTCCTTCGCCTCTTTGTTCAATTTACAATCAAATTCTTTGGTGATTTTTTTTTTTTTTTTTTTTTTGTTTTTCTTGGTTGGGTTTGGAATTGAAATTAATTTCTTTTTCCCCCTTGAGGGTGGAATTTGATTAGGAGGTGGCAATGCAATGGAGCTTCTGAAGCAAAAGAGACCTTCTTGGCTCCTTGCATCCCTTTGACAAAGGAGGAAAGCAATCTCCTTTATTCCCACTCCACACCGACAATTCTTGCCTCTTTTCATTTACAATCAAATTCTTTGTGAGGATGTATTTGTCATTATTTGATGGTGATTTTTTGGCAATGGGACTAAGACATGCTGTTACTCCTGCTGTACCCATGGGCTTGGGCTTCCAATAGTACTCATAGGCATTAACTGACGCTGTTGCTGCAGTGGCCACAGCCGCTGGCTTAGGGATGCTCCGACCCACTGGCGGCCTTGGCGGCAGTGACTGAGTCAGTGGGGCAATTGGATTTGGATTCACTTCTTCTTCTTCTTCTTCCTCTTCTTCAAATTTGACTACTTCATTAAACTTGTTAGACCATGCTGTGTTCCTATTAGCCAACATCGTAGGCTTATTTATCATTAAAGCTAGCCTATGAACATTAATAATCCCGCCAGATAATTTTGGTGCTTGCTCCATCACATACCTCATCTCTTCACCTCCTCCTCCTCCTCCTCCTCTCTCATTCACTTCTTCCTCTTCCTCCTCCGAATCCTCAATTTCTACTTGAAACAATTCCATTTCATTTTTCTTTGTTCCTTCTTCTTCTCCATCAGGGGTATCGATAAAGCTAAGAACAAGGCGACCATCTTGGCGTTCAGCTTTGAAGTTGTTCTGCGAAGGAACTGAAATAGCTTCAAGAACAAACCTACCATTATCTCGGCGAGGCCTCATTCGCAGAGAAGCTCCATCGCGACTAGATAGTGAAGGAATTGGAGGAGGAAATGTTCTAGGTGGCAATTTCTTACTAGCTGCGGTTATGTTACACTTGATTACTTGCCAATCCTCCATATCATAATTTTTTGAAACTTTTTCTTCTTCTTCCTCCTCTTCTTCTTCCTCTTCTTGTTGTTCTTCTTCTTTGTCTTCCTCTGCATCACCAGTCTCTGATGGTGGATATGAAGAGAACCCATCAGAACCAGTCTCGGATCCGAGACTTTCAGTACAAATTTCAAGGCTCTTTTCGCTTAGAGAACTTGCTGATCTTTTAACAAGAGGGTGAACATAAGGAGGAGGTAGAAGATTTTTGGCTTCTTGTGCTTTTTGTGTTAAGATAGAGCTCCATATATCAAATTGCCCACGTGGCGATGAATCTTTCTTTTGTTTCTCTTGTTGGATTGAACTCCAAACTTCAGTCTCTTTCTCATACTCGTCTTCATCTCCTTCAGAAGAAGAAGAGTCTGTTATGATTGAAACTGAGAATTCTTTGGATGAAGCAATTTTCTTAAGGCGAGATGAGAATCCATTTTGAGAAAGCCATTTTTTTGAGGACATATCAGCCGAAAGCGTTCTTCTTAAAGGTTTATTGGTTTTTAATTCAGAATCAGAACCAAGAATGGAAACTATCCCCTGTTGTTTGCTCACCATGACCTCTTCTTTGAAAGAAGAAGACGAGTGAAAGCTCTTGTTAAGAGATGACATCCCAAGAAGAGATATATAAGCTATTAATTTATTTAAACTAAGGAAACACCAAATACGTAATAGTAGAAGGAAAAGAAATGGAAAGAAGGCAACACTGCAACCAACAGAGGTCTGCTAAGAGACCACTAGTGGATGCGAGTTGCACAAGGAGAGATCAGAATTAGGTGTTTGATGAAACGAAGAAGAGAAGAATAGTAGGTGTGGGTATGGCTCATGGCAAGAAAAGGAGTGAGGGGATGAAGGTATTTGTAGGAGCAAAAGGCTTTGGAACCGTGTCCAATAGGACCCACTTACGCCACCATGAAAAGAGCTTTTTAGTGGTTTCTTTCCCTTATCAGAAAAGTGAGAAAGGAATACAGAGTGAGCTCAGTAGGAGGGAGTCCTCATTTTGGTTCCAGTGAGCTCTCACTTCTTTTTTTCTTTATTTATTTATATTTAAAATTTAAACTAGTCAAATGAGTTTAGATAATTAAAAATGTATTTACAATATGAAAATGAAATGAATAAACTTCCACCATAGCCTGAAAGAGCAAAAAGCAAAGCTAAAAAGAAAAATAAGTATATGACCAAATTTAGGTAAGGCAGACAATGAGAGCGACTGTGAGTGAAAATGGCTTAAGAAGGAAGCAAAAGAATCACTTTCAGAGAACAATATCATTGGGCGGCTAAAAACCATGATCACACAAACAACCCTAGCTAAAAGAATCCAACCATTATCATATTATTTATTTATTTATTTCTGTGGTATAAATTAAGATTAATATGGGAGAGGCAGATCATAATAAATTCATGTGCAATAATTATAATTAAACTGAATTTTTATTATTTTAAAAACCATATAAATTATTTCTAGATGCGAGGGCCGCTAAAGATGGCTTGTCTTATCCAAAAATATTTCCCTTTCTCACCTTATAAATAAATACTATGTGGTTTATACGTATGTGGAGAAGCTTCCATGCCAATACGTGCACTCATACCAAAAGCCTATGATGTTGATAACTCTATATATCTACAATTATTATTTTTATTATTATTATTATTATTTGACAAAGCATTCCTAATTAATTAATGAAAAGTCAAAATTCAATTTAGAAGTTATACTATAAACTTAGGTAAATGAATACAACGTGATCACTCGTGTAAATGAATTAAATTTATCAAACCCTAATTTTTTTTTTTTTTTTTAAATTATTACAATGAGTTGCTAGAACAAATTGAATTGAGTCGAGTGTCGGAAAAGCCAGAAACGCTGTCATCCCTACTGATTGATTGTTTTTTTTTTTTTTTAATCAACCATAACCACTAATTGATAAAAAAAAAAAAAAAAAAAAAAAAAAAAAAAAAACATAAATTGATAAAAAAAAAAAAAAAAAAAAAAAAAAAAAAAATAAAAAAAAAGGACAACTTTTCTTCTTCATGCCTATTGAAGTGTAAAATTCTAAGTCGAAATTAGTATATTTCAGCCATAGTTGCTCTCCTGAATTAAAAGAAAATAAATAAGAAAAAAGGTTTTTTTTTTTTTTTTTTTTTTTGGCATCCCCCGCACAATTAATTGTTTAATTGTAAGAAAATTTAGCGTTCAACAACTGATGGAATCGATTTCGGAAGTTGACTCTCCTGCTGAACCTAATAAAAATGATGGGTTTTTTTTTTTTTTTTTTTTTTGGCACCATAATTGTTTAATTGTACGAAAATTTAGCGTTCAACAACTGGATGGATCGATTCGGAGTTGACTCTCTGCTGAACTATAAAAATGATGGGTTCGAATCAGAATTTCACTTTGAAAAGCTCATTATCATGATTATCATAAAATTATTTAATTAATTATTAATATTACGGACATAATAGATCAGCAGGCGAAGAGAGATTCCTTCTTGCATGCAGAATAATTTCGTGTTTGATAGCCAATCAGCATGTTGAGTTTGACAGACTTTGTTTTACTTAATCCCAATAATTAATTTTTTAATTAATATCGTCATCCCTATCATCTATTCTACCCTTCAATACCTATAAAAGCTGCGATCAATTGCTTTTCATTTTCAGTTTTATTGTTGTCGGCAGTTATTCTAGTGTTTGATTTTGATCGAGGCAAAACATTAATTTAAATGATACGCAATTAAATATAAAATTAAGTGAAAACATTTTTTTTTTATTAAAAATGACTTAATTTTCTCTTTCCGGAAAAATTTAAGATTGCAAATCATGAATTAGCGATAACAAATAAGATGTTGACCACTAAGAAATTTTTCAAAATATATTATTAATCTATTAATTTACTATAAACAGTAAAGAGGCAAGAAAAAAATATATAGTTGATACTGTTTGACCTAAATTTTGGAATTAGATTAGCTAACGGGCGGTGGAGTTTGGATGAACATTAGAATTTTGCTTACTTTAATGAAATGTTCTCTAATTACTTAAAAAAAATTTGTGTCAACGTCCAAACAAAGTGTCTTGGGAGTGGAAAATTATGCGTAGGAATAGGTTTTGGACGACTTAAATTACATTTTTTGTATTCTCTTGGGATCCAAATATTTGAAATTAAGGTATTAACCACATTGAAGAATCGATTAACTATAAAAAATATAATTAATTAATTAGTAATTATAGGTCATTAGCATATTCCATTCTAAATTAGAATTGTTGGTTTGAAAATATTATTTATATATTTTTTGAAACCACCACTACAAGCAGCAGCAGCAGCATCCACCGACTGATCATCCCAAATTTTGATTTGAGAACAAATGAAACTATTCCATCCAACTTCTTGATGCTCGATTTCACCTCTTTTACATTTTCTTAAAGCTTCATAATGCTTTTCCTCTAACCACAACTACGTAATAATTTAATTGTCAAATAGTTTGCGTTGACCATGGATTAATAAATCCTTGATTACCAAATTTTTGAAAAAAATAATGTTTTCTAATTAAGGAATAATTACTATTTAGTCTTTATGATTTCATCAATTACACTAATAATGATTATAATGTAGGATCATGTAATGTAACAATGAAAGAAATGATAACAAACCTAGGACTAAACTCAACCAAACAAGAAACAAGAAAACTCCAATTTTTCAGTTTTCGACTGTGTTCAGCAATAACTTTTTAAGTAGCGTTTAGCGTTTTGACAATACTATTTTTACAGCATTTCGTAATATAGTATTTGAACTAATTTTTAAAGGTCAAAGTATTATGTTAATCCCTATAACGTTCCTATAACGTTTAACTTTTAATGTTTTAAATGCTATTATTCAAATATATTCTAAGGAAAAAAGAACCATCGGAAAATTACTACTAATGCCACCAATTTTTTTATTTTCAAGTACAAAAAAACGAAAAAGTACCAAATTCTGAAAAAAGAAAAAACATATATACATGAATCCACTTCCCTGCCTTGAGAAATTTTCCTAGCGACGCAAAACAAAAAATAGTAAATAAAAATTTATAAAAAGGCCCTGCCTTAAGAAAATGCCCTATCGTAAAGTGGCATCTCAAAATGGTTGATACAAAATTGGCAAATAGGGATGAGCCACGTAACGAGGAGCATGAAAAATTTCCCAAATGAGACCATTTCCTTGCTTTTCTCAATAAAATATTGTCATTAAAAGGGAGACCAGGTGTTATGGAAAAGCAGAAGCATATGGTTCGGTGTATGTGATTCCCACTAAAGTTTCAAATGTGGCCATGGAGGATAGACGATGATATGTTGGGCTATTTAGGTAAAATTTACTGTTTTAGTAACGTTTAATTATTTAAATAAATAATATTTTTTAAATAATTTTTTATAAAATTTTAAAAGTTAAATATTATATATTTTTATTTTTTATAAAAATGTTATTCTAATTTTTAAAAATTAATTCAAATGTTATGTTATCAAAAATTATAAAAAATAAAAATTATTTAAAAAATTATTGTTGAACAAAGCAATTAGTAGAGTAAACAGTAGTTAGGAATATATTTGACCGTTCTAATTAAGTTTGTGTTTTACATTATAAAGGATATTAAATGCATGTAACACTTAAATTTTTCAGAAGAACATAATAATAAAAATATTTATCTATAAAAAATAAAATATTAATTATTGATTATATTGCATTCACATGTGTTTGTGCCAAAAGGAAAAGAAGGGAAAAAGGTGTTAGTGGGAATTGCATATGTCATGTTTGTAAAGCTTTGTAGCTTTGAAGCGAGAGAAGTGATGTGTGAAACCATCAAAATGTTAATCGCAAATAATATAATCTTATTATTATTATTTTTATGCTCAAGTAGAGAAAATACTTTTTGAAAAGAAAAGACGTCAAGTGGACAAATGAACTAAAATACTCGTACATGGATAACAAAGTGAAGGTTGAAGTTATATACGTATAAATGTACACATACACGTAAAAAATTATTTATTTAAATAATTATCTTTTATATTTTAAACCGAAAAAGCTCATGTGTCCAATCAAATATGCACCTAAACAGCCTCTACGCTTAAATTCATATTTATCCTAAGTCTTTGGCTTTACATGACATAAGCGGAAGCAAGACCTCTGCTTTGAGATGCACTTTGTTATAAATAAATAAATAAATAAATAAATAAATAAGCTAAAAGTTAATAAACAAAAAATAAATAAAAGTGAAAAAGGAGACATTATTATTCTCGTCCAACAACAAGTGTTGCTGTTAGAAAGTTTTATAGAAGGGACCTTTCTATAAAAAAGCCATCTTTATTAGTATTCTCTGTCGCAACAAGATCTTCTCTCATTATTACAGTGATTAGATGATCCATTGGTGGCACAGAAAGAAAGAAAGAAAGAAAGAAAAGAGTGGGAAAATGCCAGAATATGTTGGGACGAATTCCCTCCCTCCTTTCCACTCCATGCAATAATATTGGGAGCCAATTTTGCCAATCAGGACTTCACACGTGGCACTAACATGGACAAACCTTCCACTAAATTCAATCCAGATGTATTGGATTGAGTGCAACGAAATTGCTTAGAAGCTATATTACACAGAAACGGAAAGAATAATCGTACAAATGCGAAAACGACACGTACAAAATTGAATTCATCATATATACACATGTATATTTAGAAGAAAAAAAAAAGTCATTTCATTGATGATAGGAACTAACAAACTGTCAATAACTATTTAAATAACTTTTATCAAAACGCTCAATGCTATGTTTTATAATGTTCAATAATATAACTTTTTAACGTTTTATAAAAAATTACTCTAAAAAATAATGGCTATTAAAATAATTAATTTTACTGATAAGAGCCGTAATGTTATATATAAATGGCAAGAAGAAAGTAAAGCTTCAAGGAGAGACCTTAGCAATTGTCGCGGTCCAGAGGCAATAGCCGTATGTATTTATTCATGTACGAGCCTTTTAGGCCACCAATAATGAATCCATGATGGTGAGACCAGCGGTGGGTGTGGGTTACCCTTTTCTAATCACCACTCACCCACTAGGTGTTGGTGGCCAGCCTAGCAGAGTATCTGTATATTCCTAGTTTTGTGTGACTCTCTCTGTACGTGTGATATTTTCTTACACGTGTTAGCTTATGTTTGATCATCTTTTTATGGGAGTGAAATTACTTATTACATGTACAACATAGCAAGATCCTGTCTCAGAATTTCTGGGAATAACGGGAAGGTTTATATGCCTTTTCCATGAGACAATGTATTGGTTTTATCAAAATCCATTACTACTTTTTATCCTCCAGTCTGTTCTCCAATCATGAAACCTCTTTAACTCTTCATTTTCATTGGCCCTAAATTATTATTTTTTTTATTACATATATTGGAAATTGTAACACCACTCAGATTTACTTAATTATGGTATTAATTTTGGATTTAGCTCGTCAGGGCTTTGTGGGCTTGAGCCCAATTTCATCGGCCTTACTTGATTATCCAATTTGTGTAACGATTTCATTACTTTTACATTAGTATATAATAAAGATAATATCATTTCATTTTAGAAAAAATCTTTTAATTATAGTAAAAACACTAAATATTATTTTAAAACTTGTGGATGATGAAGAAGAAGGATTAATGAGTTGAACGTGATTCTGCTATACAAAGCATAATCCCTAAAACTTTCCTTTGCTCAGTGGATACACGACCAAATAGAAATTTACCGCAGAATATATGCTTGAAAATGCAAGTGGATACACGATTATGCTGATACAAAATATGAAATAAAAAACTTTTAAAAAAAATAAAACAAAAAAAAAGCTAAACTAATTATGAACCGAACAAACAAAACTAAGTATTTTGATTTTATCTTTTTTTTTTTTAAAATATATAGTTAAAAATATTGACGTTTCGATAAAAATCTTTAATTATATTAGTTTGATTCGGTCCAGGTAAGTTTTTCCGACAGTAGACGTTTGTCAAATCTTTTAAAAAAAATTCTTAATGGGCTAAGAAGGGGGAAAATGACCATGTACATTTACCATAAGCCAAGAAACAATGCAAAAGTATTTTGGGTTGGAGAGGCTCTAGCTATAAATTTGCAGGGAAGGTGGTCGGGTACGTGGCCAAGCATGGAGGCGATGATGCTAGATTTTGTCCACCCAGCGGGCCATGGCAGGGCACCACCCATTCGTACATCTACATTGGTACACTAGGACTAGACATCACTTGCTTTGTTTTGCTAGGCATATCATTTGGCTACCATTAATGAGTACATTTTGTTTTAACGTAAAATTATTATGAAATTCCTCAAGTTTGATTGAAATTATTATTATTATTATTTCATTCTTAAGTTTTGATTTTGTTAAATTATTTAATTTTGTTATCTAAAAATGTCTTATAGTATTTTGTTTGCTCTTGTTCAAAAATTTTGATTATAGCATTGATCTACATGATAATATATTTAAATTTTATGATAATGTATTTAGTAATTAAAGATCTAAATTACAAAATATTAAAGTCAACATTAATATTTTTTTTACGAGATTAATAGTTTATTTGTATAATTTTCTCTAACTAATTTTACTGAACAAGGTTTGATATTAAAAAAAAAAAATTAGAGAGTTATTGGGCCTAACCTTTTGTTTTAACGAGGAATGGTATAGTATAGGGCCTCGCTCGGTCAGTGCTCCAAAACGGGGAAAAAGTAAAATATTTAGCATTGAGTTCGGTGAGTCGACTCAGTTTATCACCCGGGTTCTGTTTTGCGTCGAGCCCTTCTTTCCTGAAGATTGTTTCTTTTGGTAGGCCGAGTTGTGTCTGCAACTCTTCGGAGAATCCCCGGTGTAACCAAAAGAGGAAGACAGAGATAACGTAGAACGAGCAAAGAGGGAGAGATGGGAGACAAGAGCTCCACCATAGCCACAGCCACAGACGACGATTTGCTTCTGAAGAGCTTCTTCGCGGAAGTTAGCGAAGTCGAGAGAGATAACGAAGTCCTCAGGTCTCTATCTTTCTCTCTATTTCTTCGAATTTCTAATAATTTTTTGTATTTGCTTAATCTGTTATGGAGTATCCATTAATATTTATTTCTAATTAGGTTTCCCTTAAACGTTTTCTTTTTCTTATTCGCTTACCAGAATTCAATTTGAATTCTACATGTATTCTAGTTTTATTCGGAATCATCTTTGTTTGGACTGATGAAATTATTGTTTTTTTGAGATATGGTATTTTTATGTACTTATATTACATGTTCAGGAACATCTTAGAAATGGGATTTTTTCCTGCGTGCATGAGTATGACATTGATGTTTCCTGCATGCATGAGTATGACATTCACCCACAGGGCATGAATTGGGTATTTGATGCCAGCGGTTTCTTCCTCAAATGAATATTGGCTGACTGATTCTGATTATAGTACTTGAATAAGAAAGCAAAATTGTATGTTAATGGGGGAAGAGAGTTTTTTGGGCAATTTTCATAGTGGTAGTCGTCATTGCATTTTGATTTTTATTCTAGGAGAAATGGAATGGAATTTGAGCCATGAATGTAACCATGGATGCATAAGGCTTCACTAGAATGTTAAGAAACTGAATGTGAGAGGTAAAGAAAGCAGGAGGAAGAAAATAACTTCAGAAAGCCTTTCTTTCAATGACCTTAACAGTAAATCAAGTTTAATGATGCAAAGCTAATATATAGCTAAAAAGATACATGATTTTAAATTTAAAAAAAAAAAAAAAAGAATGACAAGCTATCATGCTCTTTTTTTTTTTTTTTTGGATAAAAATTATTTATTCATTATTCTAGAGGACTTGGCATTTTCCTTTTGCATTCATTTTCAGGAACCATATGGTTTATCTTTTATCCTATTCAATTTCAAACAATTTTCATTCCGTAGGTGTAGACCCAAGAGTAACATTCCTTTTTCTTTGTTAGCAATTTTTAAATTTCCCATAAAATTTTAGATGCTTGATTTTTTATTATGATTCATTCTAGACAAAATTATTTTATTCTCTTCTAATTAAATCTTTTGGCCCTGTGGAATTATTTTAAAAACTCTAGGATCCTTGCATGCTTCAAGTTAAATCCATTTGAGCATCTAAATCTTCCATTTGATTCCTCTCCAGAGGACGTGAAGAAGCAGTATCGTAAGGTACTTTTCTCTGCAAATGGGATTGAATCAATTATCTTGATGGTCTGTGGTTACCTTCTTATTTTTTGCGACCTATTCACTTGTCCTTTGCTGCATGTAGTTATCTTTGCTGGTTCACCCTGACAAGTGCAAGCATCCACAAGCAAAAGAGGCCTTTGCTGGTAAGTCACCTTTCAGGCACGGTGTTAGGTGCCATTTTAGGGGAATAAAGTGTAAGGAAGAGCTCAGGGGCAATAAACATTGACCCATGTAATGGTCTGCTTAGGGGACATGATATAACTGAAACAGTAATTAATAGCTCTTGTTATGATTCACATAGATTATATGTGTCAAGACTTCAGGTTAGATGGAAGACATTTGTTACTTGGTGCTTCTCTTCTCTTTCGTTTATTTTCGTGGATTATCTCTAGGGTTCTTGTTAATTGGTTTTCATTTGTTTTCCATATTATTCTGTTGTTTTTTGCTGTTAGAAAAAGATTCAGGCAATTAATTTTGAGCATTGCCAGACCAATTTGTTAAGATTTTGTTCTAGGGTTAGGGACTCGTTATGTCTTTCTGATGATTGGGTCCGTAATTCAGAAACAAACATCATATAAATCTTTTCATCAGAACCATTAGAAAGCCCTCGAACTGTGTTTTTTGCTATTGAAACCTCAGATTGAAAGTAGTGTTCTGTAGAGCTTCTCACCCCCTTAATTTGGTCCTAACCATGGATGCATAAGTATACATTAGGGTATAGACTTTGTCTCTAATATTTCCACTTTAGAAGTAAATTGAATGTTTCACCGACATTTGATTGTTGACTTGTGAGCAGCATTGGCAAAGGCCCAACAACTTTTACTTGATCAGCAAGAAAGAGATTATCTTCTTAGTCAAGTTACTGCAGCAAAAGGTCAGTTCCAAGTTATTTAATTTATTTTCTTTTTCCCATTTTTGCCTGACTATATTTTTGTGAATAATTTGTGGATTATTTGATCTGGAAGCATAGAGGCGAAAGGTGGGTAACATTTAAAATTAATTGCTTAAATTAAGTCCAATGGCAAAGGTTTGGAATACGATTGATAAATTAAAGAGATTGGCTAAATTTGATAATGTGCAAGGAAGATGTGATTTTTCTCGTCATTTAGCCTTTTATTCACATGGAGAATTTTGATATAATGTAAAACATATACACACATCTTACTTGCCTCACTGCATTTTGTGTTTCAGCCGTTCATATGTTTTATTTTATCAAATAGACTTTGTCAGCTAAGATAAGAGCTTATGGTTAATACAACATAAACTGCAGAGGAACTTCTGTCGAAGAGGAGGAAGCAGTTGAAGAAAGATACTGCCAGTAAAATAAAATCATTGGTCGATGAGGTATGTCTCCTTAATGCATTTTGTTTTTGTGTTCATTTCAACCAGTACCATTTCATGCATTAATGACGTAAGATTGCTTTGACAGTCAGTATGCTTTCACGGTATTGTTTAGTTTCCTTTTTTTGTCCCTTGAATTCAGTTTCCATCGTTATTGACTTATTTTATTCTTCACCTTTATTGTCCATTAGAGTCAGAGTTGCATTGAATTGATAATTTCTTTATATTAATGTTTTTGGAACTTGAGAGTCTTTATGTAAGGGTTAATTACAAAAAAATTCTGAACTTTAACCTTTTTTCTTTCAATTATATACATTTCTTTTAAATTCTTTTCAATATCTCACATGAACTGTCAATATTGTTTCAATTTTACCCTCATCAATTCAAGAAACTAGCTGATTTCTATGCCCGTTGGATGTGAATCAGGGAAAATATGAAAAACAATATGAAAAGTCTGAGGAGTTCCAGCGGGAACTGAAATTGAAGGTTCGAGAAATATTAACTGAACAAGAATGGAGAAGGAGGAAAATGCAGATGAGAGTATGTTGGAAACTTAATCATGTTCCTTGTTTGCCTGGTGTTCTAGCTAAAATTTCCACACTCACGGTGCCCTATTGTCTTTGTGTTGCATTTTAGATATCAGAAGAGGAAGGTAGATTGAAGAAGGATGAAGAAGAACAGAAGGAGATGTGGAAGAGAAAGCGTGAGCACGAGGAGCAGTGGGAAGGAACAAGAGAACAGAGGGTTTGTTACCTGTCACAATTTAATCTCAGTCCATGGATCCTCACAATTTATATCTTTACTTAACATGAATATTGTTGGGTGGTGCTAGTTAATAGCTGATTGATATGGAGCATCCACTGAATTTGTTTTATCTGCATGACATGAAATGTTATATTGTAAAGAAGAAGAGCTAAATACAAAAGGCTTCAAGCTTTAAGTTCTGGACCTAGATATAATGCCTTACTAGTTAGGAGTTTCTGTCATGTTGAAAATTTATTCTGTTTCTTGATCAGTTTCCACCATAAATGTCAAGGTTCGTTTCTGGTTTTGTTCTGCTCAGCTTAGTTAAAGTAGTTAGTAATTAGATGAGTACCTACTCTTGTTTGATTGATGTAATTGTTCAATGATGCAACTCTTGTAAGATCTTTCCCCCCTGCTGTATTGCCCTGTTCCAAAAAAGTTCTTTCTGCCCAATTATAGAGCTTAATGTCTATTGTTTTTTCTTATCTTTCTTTGTATTTAACATCTCATTTTATTAGTATTATCATCTTTCAATCTATTTGATATTTCCACTTGATCATCAGGTTTCAAGCTGGAGAGATTTTATGAAGACGGGGAAAAAGGTGATGCTCTATACTGATATATGGGGAAAAAAGGTGATGCTCTATACTGATAATAATATATATAAATATATATATATATATATATATATATACTGTTAGTCACTAGAGGAAAAGAAAATTGTCCATAATTGATACTTGAACGAAATATATACTGTTAGTCACTAGAGAAAGAATTGTCATAATTGATACTTGAACGAACATTATGGATTTTCTAAATCATTAGTCGCCTTCTTTTTTTGGAAGGAAAAATAAGATAAAATAGAACCTTAGTTCTTGAAACAATTTGTGCAGGGTAAAAAGGGAGAAATTCGACCACCAAAGCTCAAGACAGAGGATCCCAACAAATCTTATGTTCAAAGGCCTGTAAAGCGAGGTTAATTGGTAACAATGGTCTTGAGGCGAGTGGCAGTGATAACCAGGCTTTGATGGAGGGATTAACACAGCGTCGGTGCACGTCTTGCCGGCTAAGACACTGTTACATTTTTATAAGACATGGTGCAATTTGTTGTGCCTTATTTAGCATGTGAAGGGTTTCGAGACCTTAATTGGGTCCAACAGTAAAAAACGAGATTGTAAAATACATTTATATTAATATGCTTTAGAATGTTAGTTTTTGAATCCTTGAAGAGTCAGTTTATATTGAAGTTTTAGAGGTATAATTGGCGTATCACATTATCAAATTCTAAATTTGGCTGATAGAGCACTTTGTGAACTATTTATATCCTACTTTGGGCTTGATAATAACCAACTTCTAGTGTTTTCAGGCAATTGATATTACAGGAATCAATTTCTAACAATAAATGGATGACAGCGGTTTCTGGATTTTAAGTGGTGCTGTGGTGAGGAAAGGAAAAGCTACTCCATTATGATGTAGCTTCTCAGACGAAGATGAAACAAGAGAACAAATAATAGAAAAGTAATATTTCTCACATCAAGCAAAGCATGCCCAAATTTCGCTATTCTGACCAAAACTTCCCAAATCTTTTATGTCGCTCAAAAAGTTACTTATCTTCACACAAATTACATCGTACAAAAAAGGCAGAAATGAGAATTACACAGGACAACACCTCTATGATACATGGACGCTCACAAACCTTTGAAATATTATATATCTCACCATCACATACAATAACCTCACGCCCCCTTTAAAAAGAGTAAAAAAATTAATATCAACTAAAGTGAGGAATGGTAAAAAGAAAAAAATATTAAACTAAAGTGAAAAATACCCAGCACTACCAACCCATTGAAATAAACAACTTGACTTCTACCCGCTCGTGGCTCAATTTACAGAGGCGGGTGCTCCTGCACTATCTTTGAGCACAATATCAACCTAACTGCCGCCTACAACCTGGTTCTCGAACTTGTATCTTCGTCACCTGCCCTACCTACTGTGCTTAGGATTTGAAAAACTGAAAAAGCCCTCAAACTTTTTATCAGGAACACGATTACAAGTTCGGAGTTCCCGGATATGGCATCATGCTCTATACAGACACCAGAACCCAAGGTGGTAACATGAACCCAGAATGAGTACTCGGGAAATAATGATAAGCATCCACTATATCCATGCAAGAGATCCCCGATCATTTGCTACTTGAGGACGACCTCTTGTTGGTGTAGGAGGTCGGTTAGCATTCAATTCCTGCTCTCATAAAATACCAATAAAAATCAGACACAAATTACAACCAAAGATTAGAAAAGAAATGCTCAATAATGAATATTTCAGACTGCAACACCACCTGCATCCATGTATCTTCAATGTGGCGTTCAGGTGAAGTTTCAGGCGAGGAGATCGCAGGTGGTAAGGGATGAATTAGTTTTGGAACCACCACAAGATCTCTTCCCAAAACTAAAATTGCCCCAGCATTATTGGCAGTACCTGGGAAAAACACAGAATTGTAAGTCCACGTCAAGCTTTGAACAAAGCAAGTGATCAATGCCAAAACGTACCACAGTAATTGGTGGCTGAGAAAAGTGTGATTAGATGTCCCTGGGCAAACCGTTCAAAGCCATCCATCACACATTCATGGGCACGTACAATTAACTGCAGATCATTGTTGTTGCAGAATTCCATTACTCTATCCGGCTGCAACAATGAAACTTCAATGATCAGCATAACAAAAATTGCAACCACCATGGAAGTGCCTTGCCAAAGACAATATCATACGAAGAATCAATGGTGGTATTTGAATAATATATAAAGACAATATCATACGAAGAATCAATGGTGGGTATTTTTGAATAATATATATATATATTTATATATATATATATATATATATAACATGTATATGATAACTTAGCTCATAAATTGATAAATAGCTTTAAACTATTATATATATAACATGTATATGATAACTTAGCTCATAAATTGATAAATAGCTTAAACAATATCTAAAGAAACAATGCAAGTCCAGCAATTGTCGCTCTATTATAGTGCCTTGAAAAAAACACTGAACACAGGAGCAATCTAAAGAAAACTGAACGAACAGAAACAAAATTATTCTTTTCAGTTAAAAGTTGACTCTCATCCAATACAGCCATCAAATAATACACCTTTGGAATTGCCTGCATAGACCCAGTCAAGAATGAAAACAATTCAAGTTGTTATTAACATATTGATTCTTCTCGAATTAGGATTGAGTTTAGGAAAAGGAATCCATAGAAACTGCTCAAACTATAGAACCTTATTTTGTTTGTTCTGCAATAAGCAATGGAAAAAAGGAACAGGAAAGTTTCAGCAACTGGCAGTGACAGTTCACCAAATTGGGGCTTGAAATATGACTAGAACATCACACCAATAACAGTAAGAAAGGCACCTATTCTATTCAACAGTTTCTTGATGACCTAGCCCACCAAAACATGAAAGATGTTTACATGTTCTGCTAATATAAATCTCAGTATGGAATAGGCAAACCATGACCAGTAAAGTTCCGAATATGTATAAATATTCTCTGCTGAAGAAATCAACATCTCAACTAGCCAAATCAGGTCCAAAATCCTTCAGCAAGAGCAGATGCATTTTCACTATCCAACATTTATCAATATAGATCATACACAGATGTATAAGACACCAATCTTAATCTTTTTTGGTAACATATGGTTGTAGGTAAGCCCTTTCATGAGGCACCAACAGGTTCATACCAACACACAATAAGAAAGAAGTTGCAGCAATCTCAGACACCAAATCACTATCACAACCATCAGACGGAAGGATCACCCAACAACTACAACTTAGTGAATGATCTACACACAATTCACACTAAATATCACACTCAATTAGAACAGCTTATAAAGTTATAATAACTCCATTAGTTGTCCCTTGTGACTTTAAAATGCCAACTAATGACACAAAGAAAAGTCACCAATCTTTTAGGCTTGCAAGAGCCTTAAATCTTTACCTGCAATATGTAGTAACATTAGACAGTAAGCAATGGTCATTTTTTCTTTTTCTTTGTACATAATTAGCATGTTTTTAACATTGAACATCAATTCTATATTTTCACAGTACAAATGCCTTACTACTTTGAAGCAATGTGTTAAACCATTTTATTTTATTCAAACCCATCAATTCAATTTGAATTTTCACATAATGTTAAGCAATAATGAAGATTTTCTAGTTTACTACCAAAGTCCATTCTCTCAATCATTTGAGAGATGCACAAGATAAAAAAGTATTTGCCTCAACAGCTAGCATTACCAAGGACTAAAAAAGTCTTAACATATTTATATGTTCAGATGTTCACAACTCAATTTTAGGTAAAACAAATCACAACTTGCAGCCGCGGACATAAGGGCGCCTAACTTTGCCAATTCAACAATATCTGCAGCAGCCATTGGCTGGAAACGCAAAGCCAAAAACATCAATGTAGAACACTAAATCAAACCCCTACACGGGTGCCCAGTAGTGGAAGTTAAATATTTCATCAGCATCACTAGTTCTCCAATCTAGACAGACCCTGAAATACCTTAGATGATAACAACTGTCATTTCAAACTCAGAAAAGTTCTTTAAGCGTTTTAAATACAGACCAACCAACTGAAAAATCTAATAACTATGTTGCATGAAACAATTACTAATTTCCCCACAATCAGGTTCACAATATAGAATTAGTCCTTAGCTGTCTTTCAAATAACTCGAATATATTAAACACATTTCTTTGAATGCATCAGCAATAAGTTGCTCGAAATCAAGCCAAGAGTAAATCTATTTGGAAGATACATATGTACATATCAGCCAAATAAACATTTGCAAATAATAAGCAACTTCTTCAACAAAAAAAAAAAAAAAAAAAAAAAATTTGCAAACTCAATAAGCAACTTCTTCAAACAAAAAAAAAAAAAAAAAAAGATAAAAAAAAAAAAAAAAAAAAAAAAAGATTTCTTTCAAAATATTTCAAGAGTTCTTTAACTGGGAGTTAAAAACATGTTATAGTTAAGTAATGAATCAAAAACAAGCAACATGACTGCACTCACCCCAAAAGTCACCAGCCCTGGGCCTCTAGCATTTGGTCGTAATCCTTCCACACTGTCATTTTCTGTTGGATCAGACCTACGGAAGAACAAGATAATTAAAAGAAAAAGGTCAATGGAGATCAGATAGATATAAAAAACATGACATGCACTCACCATAAGAGATCCATAAGCACGATTGAGCCTGCTTCCATGCTGATCGGACGCTGAAGACTCTCAATCTGTTCCACGTGATTTATTGAGCGGCCAATACCACCATGCATACAAATAATTTTCTTTTCAATTAGTGCTGCCAAAGGAAGCCAATTGAACAACCGATTTATCCGATGCCAAACCCAAATTCCATCTCTTTCCCCCTATATGATGATTAATTTAGTTAGTGACTAAACCAATTGGTGAGAATGAGTAAAGACATTATGTCTATTAGCAGTACCATGCGCTCAATGCACTCAATCCGAAAGCCAAAAAGGGCATTGATATCTGCAGCTTCATGGTTCCCACGAATTAAATGAACATTATGGGGATACTCAACCTAGAACAGTGAAGCAGTTATAGAGAAACATAAGTGACAATGGTATCATAAAGATTATATATTTATACATAAGGAAGGGATTTACACCAAGCAAGCTCAGAAATACCTTCAAAGCAAGCAGAAGCGTAATAGTCTCCAAGCTGTGCTGTCCTCGATCAACATAATCTCCTAAGAAGAGATAATCGATATATCTGATATTTGGGAAATAAAATTAGCATGATTACATATATATAATAAACAAAGAATGTGAATCTCAAAGAACATGTATATTTTTGCCCATTTTAAATGTAACATACAAGTATGCAAGTGTTTAAACCACAAAGACAGTAGTGGATAGAAAATGCACATTGAAGGAGCATAAAGCTGTTAAAACACATACACCACCTAACTATAGCTGACTATCCAATCATTGTCATATCCCAAATTAAAAAAGTTTTCTTAGAAGGTGATGATAGCCTTGTTTTACAAAGCATCGTGATCGCCTACTCCTTCCCAGTAAACTGGTACACCACCATGCCATCCATAAGGGCGTACGGCTCTCTCCATGCTGTCACCACTTTAGATGTCACAATTGTATCTATCGCCACCATATTGTCACTCAAATGGCTGTTAATATCTAAAACTAACAAAATCAGGCCATAACAATTGCCGCTGGCACTACTCTCACCATTACTCAAACCCAACACACCCCCCCCCCCCCAAACCCAAACACCACACCCCCCCCCCACCAAAAAAAATAAAAGAAGAAAAAAAAAAAAAAAAAAAAAAAAAAAAAGAAGATGAGCTGCATGCATTTTCAATTTGTTCGCAAGAACTGCCGATCTCTCTAGATGCACATATCTTCTATTCACAAGAGCCGAAGGTAGTTTGGCTGCTCTTTATGCAAAAAAAAAAAAAAAAAAAAAAAAAAAAGAAGATGCGGCTGCATGCATTTTCATTTGTTCGCAAGAACTGCCATCTCTAGATGCACATATCTTCTATTCACAAAGCCGAAGGTAGTTGGCTGCTCTTTTATGCAAATATAGATTTTGGCATTCTACAAATTTTCCAGGACATCAGGATCTTCCTACAATGTAATAGGGGCAAGTTCTGTCTTTTTACAACTCGAATTGTGAACAATTAAGGTTAGATGCTTTTTAATTGAGTTCTATAAACTTTACTGTATTGCTTGTAGATAGTGGAAGAAACATATTTCTTCAGTCCTTAAAAATTCAGTATTACATATTTTAATGAATATCAGAGTCTTCTAGCAATTTCTGTGAATCTGAAATTTATTTTTCTCGAGTCCAATTTACTCGTTTGAAGTTTATTGGGATTTTATCAGATCCTCTTTTGTTTAACCAGCTTGAATGATTATGCTAGTAAAATGGAACTGCCTAGAAATCAAATACCAAATAATTGAATGTCGAGTTCTTATGTGAGCAACAGGTGGATGTTTGAAGGCTGAAGCTTGATATGGTTTATGGCCCCCTTAGCCTATTTGTAGAGACTTAACTGCATTTCAGTTTGATGACTTTTCCATAAGCCCTTCCCTCTTCTCAGTCCTTTGTTCCTCCAAGATTTAGCAACTAAGGTTTCAAGTATACAATAAGTCTTATCTTCTCTTCTCTTGTTTGACCGTGGGGAAACTCTTGTATAAGCCCTATGCCTTTGGAGGCAGCTATTCTCTTTATGTAATTCAACTTTACATGTTCAAAACAAAAAATTCTAAGACATGTTTATGAGCACACTAGTGGCTAAGTAATACAAAATCACTACTAGATCAACACAGCAATTTGGAAAGAACAATATATTGGCTCGTGTTGGTCTGACCAAATCAAGAATGTTCAACTTAAAAAACTTGTGAATGCTAAAACAGATGAACCAGTAAGCATATAATGTGAAAGATCATAGTTACAGAAGTTCTTACGCAATATCACCAGCTGTTGAAGGTGCACCATATTCATCAAAAAGACGCATTAGATCCCCAAACTGCCCATGCAAATCACCAAAAATCTTGATAGGAGCCCTCAGTTGTAACACACTTGGTTCACTTGAAAATATTCTTTCAACACTATCACAAAGGTCTGCTATCTCATTGCAATCCAAGAAAAATTGCCTACGAACAGGAGGCTTCCAACCACGTGGCTTTAAAAGATGTGCTATGACCTGGTACAAAAGAAGGATAACCTATTATTAAAGACATGAAATGAGAATTGAACTAGAAAAATAATTGTTGATAGGTGATTCACCTATAACACCCAAAAGAGGGCGCAACGCGCATGCACGCAAGGTACACACCACCTAACAAAAATTCACCTCTTACAACTTAAAGAACCCAAAAAAATTAAAAAAAAAAAAAGAATTAAGTTGAAGCATTTGAGAACAAGATGAAGAAATCTTGAAAACGAAGCTTTAGTTCGAATGTTTCAATTGACTGGAAACAAAACCACCAATTTTATATGGATGCTTAATGTTTGGTCAAGAACAGTGACTAACACAGAGGACAAGCATACAGTTACTGTGATGTGTGCTTTGATATAAACAGTAACAACTACTTGTACATCAGGTTGTCATCAAGAAAGACATCAGAATATGGCTTCATTCAGCAGTTTATGAACACAACGTCCTTGAAATGCTCATATTTTGGTAACAGTTGTAAAACAAGCTTTCATGCACAAAACCGATGGCAACAGCATTATCAAAAATATCGGCAAATCTGAGACCTTGAGCAATAGACAACCTGGTTGAAGAAGCTAATGTTCTGACATAGTAACTCACATAATGATTTCGAAAGAGCAAGAAAGGATAAAAGATTAGATATGCACTTACCCCTACTAAAAAAAAGTTATATATATGTATATAGGTCCAAAACCAAACTGAGGACATTGTCATAGTTTATCTATTATCATTGTAGTGTTTCATTCAACAGAAAGCAGATGTAGAATCCAGTAATAATGTGCACACAGAAAGAGGTACGCAACTCAAGATTTCAACAAAATAGTCAACCTGACTCTTCAACCAATCAGATGGATGCTTAAATTTGGTGTATTTCACCAGTTCGTGCATTGTCTCCATTAAATTAAATATATGCCACTATTATGCTGAATAAAATACCAAACCATACATCAATAAGATAAGATCCCACATATTTTCAGTCAGCTGCGTGTACTTAATATTTCACATATCTAAAATAATATGAAAGATGCATGTAGAACCATTTCTGGAACTGCATAAGTATCTGAATGAATTCCCTATACCTTTTTGGGCACACTATTGATGGACATCTGTCGATCCAGTAGTTTCCTAGCTGCAGTTGCACTCTCTGGCGTCCCATAACTGACTCGTCTGCCTTCATTTTCAAACTGATCAATAGAAAGTTGCCTGACCATCCCGCCTAAAGCTCCACCAGTTTCTGCAGCTACAACAACCTGACATAGCAGGTAGGAAAACAAGCATTTTCATGACTTCATCAACTTGAGATCACATCCAAAATTAATAAAACAATATATACTCACAGCTCTGTGATGCAGTCGAACTCCAGGAGGAACAATATTATTTGATCCAGAAGAATCAGGCTTAATCAATGTAGAAATCTGTTTTCCACTTGGGGTTGCCTCAGCACCACGATCCCTGTCAGGCAATTCAACTTCTCCATTAACCTGGCGTGCCTTGGCAGCAGCCAAAGTGGCACTGATAGCCTCAGCTTCTGCGGCCGATGCTTCAACCAGATACTCCACACCCTTACTCGTTCTCCTATATAGTGATGCAGATTCAACAGCTCTTCAAATGATTTCAGAAACATTCTACTTAAACCAATATAAATAAAAATGCAATTATAGAAGCTAGCGTACCTAGGTCCTGGGAGCATGGCATTTTCAGTGCTTATATCAGTGTACATGTCACCATTTATAGGAGGAGCAACTGGATTACCCAGTACAACAGCACCATCAGGTACTGCTTCAGACATTGTTTGCCTGGTTCTTTCATCAACAAATCCATACCTTCCAGGTATCCTCCCTGCATGTATGTTAGCTGCAGCAGCTGCAGCTGCAGCATGAGAAGCTGCAGTTGTTGTTTCAGCAGCAGCTAAATCCTCAGCAACAAGCAAGTCATCAAGCAACACCCCTGTAGCACAAGTAGCACATTATTATGCTATGATACCATGAATAGTGAAATGGTAAGGCTGCTATGATATAATTATAGTGTGAATTCCATTATCCAAATTATAGAAATGGTTTGGAGCATCTCTGGGATAGAACTTAAAAAAATCTTCTGAGAAGGACTGGATCAGCTATTTGCCATTTCTTCTCTTTTCCAAGAGCAATATTTCAACTAACAAACACATAAAGGTTAATCAGGAGAAGAAAATGAACCTGACAGAGGTCAGTGTCTATATGATGACATTTTATTATTCCTATAAGGATGGCTTCCCAAACTATCAACATATGCAGACATTTCAGATTAACATGTGCTAAAAAATATCGGCTTCCCTAGAGCTTATATCTCTAAGATGCTTCCAAATATTTCTGCCCACCTGGCTCTTCCAATGAACTTAAACAATTTGTTCAAGAAAAGCGTCAAACCTCAAAGCATTGAAGCTCATATTAATTCAGATAATGACCAACTAAAAGCCACACCTGATGTCCTACGAGATCACTTCAGTTTAATGATGGTACATATATTATTAATTCTCTCCATGGAATTCTAGAAGGTCCTATCCAGCATCCCATTCCTCAAATCAACATTTCTTGACAAGAAACATTTCTAGCAGGTAGTCGTATCTATCTTCTCACACTATCCAAACATTTTTCCTCATAAGAACATATGATAGATTTATTTACACATAAATGATGGTCGTTAACTTCATGTTACAAAAAATTAAAAAAAAAAAAAATGGAAACAAATGCAGCAATCATAAAGTGACTAGCTTCATCACTTACCACCACGTAAACCACCATAAATAAATATCAAGTCACCAACTGCAGCCGCTGCATGCCTGCAGCGCCTGGTCAACTCAACTGCAGCATCACCACCAGCAGCATCAGCACTGTACCTTCCAGTCCTTGGGCTAGTAACAACAGATTTTGTATCACACCAAACTCCTGCTGCAGTATCCAACACTTTACACAGGAGAAGAATCAATTATTTGTCAGAATACCATGGTTGGATCATAACAATAACGACGATGAAAAATAAGATTAGCAATAACACGTATACACACACAACAATGAGAGTATGTACAATCAATACATATGTGAACAGGCTACAACTGAGAAACCAACGCCCACTCTTGAATTTATCTAAAAATTTCTTCATAGCATTTATGTGTGAAACTGAATTTTGCATAAACACTTATCAAGTACCTGCAACACTGGATGAATCTTCTACCATCCGACCGCCTCCAAGTGCACCTCCAGACACATGGAGTCTCGCATTAACAAAAACCTAAAAATACAACAAACGGATATGATAATTGTTCCAGCAGAAATCAGATTGCCAACTAAAAGGAAAAAAAATAAAACGAAAAGGTAGCTAAAACTTACTGCTGCATGTTGATATCTTGGAGATGGAGAGACACCAGGAGCAATTGCCCATTCCCAGCGACCATCCCTATGTTTGGCTAGTCCATATGCACTTGCCAGTGGCTGTGACAGTTACAAGAGAGGATTTAAAAAAAAAAAAAAAAAAAAAAAAAACATTCCCCAGCGAACCATCCCCTATTGTTTGGGCTTAGTCATTATGCAGCTTGCAGTGGCTGGACAGTTACGAGAGAGGATTTAAAAAAAAAAAAAAAAAAAAAATCAAATAAAGGAGCTTTGACATGGTGTTTCAACACAAGAACGCTAAGAGTAGAAAAAAAAAAAAAAAAAAAAAAAATACAAATAAGAGCTTTGACATGGTGTTACAACACAAGAAGCTAAGAAAGTAGCCACTGCTTGGCATTTCCAAATGAAATATAGCAAACTTATAGTTAATATTATTTTTCATAAGGAAAAAGCACGAAAGTGAGGTAAGATTAGATGGTACAATGGTGTCCAAGTGCAATCAATTCAAATATTTAGGCTCTGTGTTCCAGAAGGAAGGGAAGTCTCATAGATGAAGATGTTTCTCATAGAACCCGAGTAGGAAGGATGAATGAAGGAGTGCTACGAGTGTAATATGTGACAGAAAGATATCTAACAAGGTGAAAAGTAAGTTCTATATGACGGTGATAAGACCAATAATGCTATATGGGAATGAAAGTTGGGCACCTAATACGCAACATGTGCAAGTAGATGCGAAAAGAGATGGATGTGTGGTCACACAAGGTTGGACGAGATTAGAAGTTATCACATTAGACAAAAGGCAAGTTCCTTGATCTTTAGTAAAGTAGGATTAAGCCCAAAAACTCTTTTTTTTCCAAAAAGTCTCAACGTCCTCATTGAGAGTCGCTCTGCGAGACATCCAATGGTCTCTAACTTGGTCTTCAAATCGTAAGATTCAGCTCGTTTCCAGCTTGTCTTGCTTTCAAGCAAGTAGCCTAAGTTGAAGATAAAATGAGAGAAGGACGCCTGAGATGGTATGGTCATGTATTATGTAGAGCTACACATACCAAGTCCACAAATTTGATACTTTAGTAATGGAGGGTGCTAAAAAGGGAAGAGGTCAACTTAGAACTACCTGGAGGGAAGTTATCTACCACCTTTAGATAATTTTTATTATTTTTTTTTTTTTACAAAAACTATTTCAAATTATTTCCAACTTATACTTTGCTTTAAACAAATGATTAGGATTCATATAGCCGACCCTAACTAGTTTGGACTAAGGCTCAATTGTTGTTGTTGTTGTTGTTGTAAAGTTATATTTAATAACATCTACATAGAGTTTGAAATATATCCATGTAGAATTCATTTTATTTGCAAATGAAATTACTAAAAAAAACCATTTGTAAATGTTGGATCAACTATAGAATTCATCTTAAATATGTACCTTTAGTAGATTTTGGTTAGAATTCATCGGCCTTAGCATCTTAAATATTAGTAATAACAAAAGGACAAACTCTTGGACATGCCTTCAAGTCCTATTACCAAACTGTCCCAACCACCAATCAATTGTGATGCAGTAAATCTGATGCCCATGCAGAAGCAAAGAGGAGGGACTTGCACAGACAATGTCTTCTCAATCTCCCAGCAGCCAACCACAAAAACAAATTCATCTTGAAATGGATCCAAGGACATAATTTGAGGTATGGTTGAAAACAAAACACATCAGAAAATTATGACCAACCAGAGAAACAAGGTTTTTGGAATTTCACCTTAATATTTTGTCTAGATGCAAAGTTCCTTTTGAATTCTGTAGTTTAATAAAATATAAAATCGCTCATGCTTTAAGTAATTTTACAGTTTCCTCTAAAAGTAACACAATCATTTTCAGTATCCATATACGGAACTTTTGTTATTCCCAATCTCATGAAAACCCTAGAACAATTAGTGGTTCCACACTGTGTTTTCTCCCAATTAAATTCTAACATATGTACGAACTCAGGCATTAAACGAAATCCATATGCCATTCCGAAATTAAATATTGACAATAAAATAGAATCTGGGAAAGCTAATTATTTTTCATCATATATCCACAGTAAACAAACATTCTGCAAGCCATAGTTTTATAGCTCACCACACTGTTTGCATCTCTGCCCCCACAAAGCAGAAGAAGACCATCTGAGCGAGCACTTGCAGTGGCATACCTAGTCAAAGATAAAGGATCAGAAGTAGGCTCAACTTAAGACCAGAATATAACAAAAACCAAGATCAAAGCAAATCAACAAACCCAAGCAAACAAAATGGAGCCGACCAATTATGATATAAAATACCAAACATGCAGCTAGTGATACCTGATGTTCTCAAGTCTTATAAGCATTACAAGTAATCGCAAATATTGTGTATTGCCGTGAAAGAAAACAACACTGTATTAGGGGCAGAGATACAACACATCCTCGTGAATATTCAAAACTCAGGGAATAAAACCACGCTTATGATTACATAAAAACCATTATTTTCATTTTTTATTTATGGCCATCTAGTTTTGAGTTTTCTACCTTCTTGGTTTTATTTTTCCATTTATAATGTTTATCCAAACATAAATCGAAGAAACTGCTGCTTCTGTGAAATTCTTAAAGTGCTCCCCAGCACTCAACTTTACTAACCTTTAATCCCAAGCCAGTTTGGTCAAGCCATGTGGATCATGTTTCATAATTCCACCAGATTTAGAGCTACAGTTTCATACAGGTTTGGGGCCTCTAAATCCTTTATTCACTACTTCCTAAATGTGAATTCAGGTTTACCCCTTTCTTAATTCCTAATAAATCTATGTGTTCAACCTTTTGTACCAAACAAATGCTGGTATACAATGTATGTAAACTAACCATCTCAATTTCCCTTCTCTCAAACAATAGCCACCACCAACCTCATCTTCTTGTATATCCAATTCATTCTTGTATTTCCAAACACCCATCTAAAAATCATTGTTTGTTCCATGATAATCTCCTGTATGTATCATTTCTTTATTGTCCAAGACTCTCCACCATGTTTCATAGTTGGTCAAATGACTCAAAATTATCCTATAAAACTTCCCACTTGATTTAGCTGATATTTTGCAATTGCAGAGAACTCCTGTCACACTTCACCACTTCATCCCTCTTGTTTTGATCTCATGGGTGATATCCTACTGACATCCTGTCATTGTTTGTATGACAGATCCTAAATGTTAGAAGCATGTGTGCTATGGGACCTATATTCCCCATACATCCACCTCCGTCTCTTCCCCTTCTTTTTGCCAAAGTTATAATCCATATATATATATATCGTTCTAGCCAGAATTAACCCTAAACCCTTAGCCTTAAGGTGCTTTCATAACTGTAACTTCATTTAGCTCAAACTCAAGTTTCATCTATTAACACTATGCCATCTATGAACTTCGTGCATCATGGGATATCTTCTTGGATATGCTTTGCCAACTCATTGCTCATCTCCCAAAAACGGACTATAAATAATGAAATTCACAAAAACTAAAGTATTGTAGCATTCATCACCACCACTTAAATTTGTCCAAGCTTTCCACAAAACAAGCTCATGAATCAAAAGGAAGACCCTGAGAGAGGCCATTTTTAAAACTTTGCTCCTCATAAGCCTTCCTCTTTTTCTGAGGAAACTGATACTAGAGAAATTTCAGTAACTTGCAGAAAAGAGGTTGTACCACGATGACTAAGTATAATATGGGCAAAAATGCAACCTTCAGCATCCTTTTTTTCCTGGTAGTGCAATTGGAATTAAAATCTTTGGGAACTAGCTTAGTCTGTCACATGTGGGCTTGAATCGGTATTACTCTTATGGAATAGAAAAATAGCATTAGATTTAATCCCTCTAACTATTTTTGGAGATAGTGGAGAAAGAGAGGTAGAAAGGCCCTTGAAGGGGAAGAGTTGTCTCTTCCAATGCTATAAGATAGAGGACGGCATACATCGATTGTTGGTTTTATAAGCAGTGATTGTAGACAGATAACTACTTTCGACCTTGCATTTTTTTATCTTGTGTATGTTTTTTGTCATTGTATACAGATAGGCACCCTCTTACCGCTCTTTAATGTTATTCTTCTTTTTGCTCATCCCAACAGGAAAGTTATTGGAAGTCAAATTTGCAAAGAGGATAGCAACTGGATATTATTTCTATTTTGCAATGGCAGAAATGTCCAATGCAACATTTCCTAAATGCTTAGCAACTATACAAATATTAAAACCATTGAAGCAGATCACCACTTAAGATTACAATCAGTTAGGTACCATTTAGTTAATAACAAAATTCACATAAACCAGTTTAACCTCATTAACTAGATGCAATACCATCTCAATAAGGCTTTTAGAACTGAAGTGGATACTGCAGCATGCCACAAAGGAAGACTACATAAAAAAGGGTATACAGTGATACGCTACACATTCATGTCATAAGCGAGGTATGAGAAATTACATGCATGGTGGTGGACCTTCCCCTTCAGGTTCCAATTTACGCCACTCATAAGGCTTGGCAGCTGTGTCAAGGGCCCATACATCTGACAAAGGACGCTTCCCTGAAAATCATTGAACCAAAATTTTTGTAAAAATACATTAGAGATCTCAATGCTACACATATGCATATCAGAATTGTAAATCCACATGTTAACTTTTAGTCCATTCACAAAGAGGGAAGATACTTTGATTTTTTTAGGCTACTTACCATCATTCCCTCCAATTGCCATGAGATACCGTTGGCCCACCAAAGCCATTACATGACCATATCGTGGCCCTGGTCCAGGACCTTGAACAACAACTCTACAGGAAAATTATTGTTTTAATCACCAGATATGTAATAAATATGAAAGAATGAGAAAAACTCTTTGTTAAGAGTCTAACCTATGCCATCGTGGCCGTTGTTGTGTGAGGTCAAGAACATGAAGATCCTCAGCGGACAGGCCAGCTGGACCGATTCCACCCTGTGTTGGGATGTGCAAGATTCTAGTCATAACTTGGTCAATATAACAAAGGAGAAATAACAGAACCAACATAGAGCAAACTATATAAACACAAAGGATAATTTGCAGTGTGCTAACCTGAATAACAACCATGGTTCCCACAGCAGTAGCCACATGAGCAGCCCTTGGAGTGGGTGGTTCTCCAAAAGGAGTAATCCTGAAAAATTAGTGCAGCATAAGCATATTTAACATACAAGAAAGTAAAAATGCAGTGGTTTAGGCAAGACATACAATCTGATGAAATAGAGGATCAGCTTACCTAGACCATTTATTTGTTAACACGTCATAACAGTGAACATCAGCAGTGGCACCCGCTAGTCCTGCAATTCAAGCAAATTATAAAGGTAATAAATTTGAATCAGAAAAACATTACCACTATAAGAATCCTTGGAGAAACAAAAATCCATAGTATTAATACCATTTCTTACATGCAGCCAAGCTGCTCAAATCAATTGTTCCCATTAGATTAGCAGACCAAATCCTATTCCAATTAACAGATTTTGGATCTAGCATATAAATGATAATCAGTATCATAAAGTGCCATAGAATGAACACAATGTACAAACTGACCTTTCTAACATTTCAACAAAGCAGAGGTACTTAAAAACACGAGAGGTGTCACAAGACTATATCAGGTTGAGATCAAAATGAATTAATTACAAACACTTCTCATTAATACAGCTACAAACCCAACCGCAACTCAAAATAAAGCTACAGATTTCAAAACCATAAATTAATTCTTTATCATTTTGAGTCGGGCTTCAACACAAAAGTTACAGTTCACCACAAAAGCACCATTTTTGAAATGAGGACATAATTAGCATCCAACGCACCACCATGTATGATAATAAAGCAAGTAAATCAGTTAAATTCACAGGCCTTAGTAAAAGATTTAAGCCACTTAAGTGGCAGTTGTATGATTTGTACTAAAACAACATCAGAACAAATACCACCAATAATTTAGTGGATTAAACTTGTGAGGATTCAAACAAAAAGAATGGTTCATTTGAAGCTCAGAATCATAATCAAATATGAGTTTCAGACCACAAATATAAGGGTCTACAGCAGCCCAAAAATTTTTCAAAACAGTAACACAACAACATAGTTCAATCACACCCAAATCGAAAGCAGCAAAAGAAAATTTTCTCATTTCGAACCTAAAGAACGCAACAAAGTTTAGGTTCACATACCACTTACATTGTTGTTGCTCTTAGTATGCTTTCCATGTCATACACATTGGGAAACCAAAAAAATATGCAGCTTCTACAACTTACATCCCAACTAATTGATTTATTTGGTAAAATCAATTTTTATATCCAAGTTTATTGGTTACTCAGTTCTAAGAAAATCTATAATGGAAATCACGTTTATAAACTTGGACTTCAATTAAACAATAAATTTTTTGCACCGACCCAAACGTTGCAGCTAACATTATTACTAACTTATCAGGCAATCTGGCAACTAAAAAAATTGGGGAAGAAAAAGAAGAAACTAAATGAAATGGAACACATACGGATTCCTGCATTCCCAGCCGAAGAAGGGGCCCCTGACGCAGCAGAATTGCCCTCAAGAGCCGTGGCACCACCAAATAAAATCAACCTCGGCCCAATGTACCCAGGTGTTCCCTCTTCGCCAACAGCAGCAACTGCAGTCAGGGTGTGCCCGCACCTGGGACCTGGCCCATCTTCCTTCTTCTCTATAATCGCATTAACCACAGAATAAGTAGGTGCGTGCCTCGGCCCAACCACAGGGCTCTGCTGCTGTGCCTGCGTCTGTGCCTGTACCGGCTGCTGCACTGGTGGCGGAACCGCAGCAGAAGCAGAAGTGGGAGATCCCGCTGGCTGCGGCTGATCCCTTAACTGCTCTCTATCCATTGCCGCAGGCGGCGACGCGGTTTGGGCCGCAGAATCATGATCGGTATCGGGCACCATAGACGAGTCCACATCCATTTTTTAAAACCTTCAATCTAACCCTAATTTCAAGATCGGAGCTAGAATTCCAACAAATTAGCGTCCCTAATCAACATTTTGAACGATTACTCCTGAATTCCAAAATAACAACATACAAGCAATGAAACCCTAGGTCAGATGGCTTCTTTACGCAATCCAAGGTAAAGTCCAGATGTTTTCTGGGAAATAAAAATTGGAAAAGAGAGAAAGTTGTGATTAGGTTTTCGCGTTTTATATTCTCCCCCGCTCTCTCTCTCTCCAGTCTCTCTCAAGAACCAAAAATTGACGACGACGACAAGCCGGTGGAGGAAAGAGAAAAATAGAAACGGGACGGAGACGATCTCGACGCCTTTAACACATCAAAGAAGAAGTGAAGAAATACCAATCTATCTATTAATCAAAAATCTCTCTCTTTTTGTATTTTATTTGTTTTTTCTTTTTTCTTTTTTCTTTTTTCTTCCTTCCTTTCAAATGTTGCTGTTGTTTCTCTCTAGAAATGGTAGAGGGAAGGGAACTCTATTCTTTCTCTCTCTAAAAATGATGACGTGTTAATTTCTCTTTGGGTCTTTTTTTTTTCTTTAACATTTTCTGGGAAATGATGAGGGTCGGGGGATTTTGGTTTTGGATTTGTTTTTGTTTACCGTTATCAACCGGTTGAGGTGTGTACGAGAGGAAGGGTAGACCGCCGTCAGATGGAGAGGATTGACGGCGGAGAAGGGAGACTGCGTTACCGAATTAACCGGGGATAGGTTTAATTATTAACGGTGATAACCGGTTTCCTATTTGTAGGGAGTTTTGCCCTTTGCCACCTAGTGGGGGTGCTGAATCACGCCCACGCCCGCTGTATGTAATATGTGTGACGTGTCACGTGTCACGCGCATTTATTTATTATACTACAACTTACATTATTAAAAGTTAAATAAAATAGAGCTTCATTTTAATGATTATAAATTTAAATAGGAACTAAAATTTTTTAAAATTTATTTATAGCTCATTAGCTATTATTAAAAGAAGTTTTTTACTATTTCACCTTTTTTATTATTTTATTTATATTTTTATTATATTCTAAAACAAATATAGAAAAATAACTATATATAAAAAAATATTAGCAAATACAATCAGTTTAGAGAGTGAGATCTTGTCATTCCCATTTCTATTTCTCTAGTTGTTCTTGCCAAAGTGAAATTTTGTCACGTAAATTATTATTTTCGTGATGAAATTAAGACATGAAGCACAAGATTTACAATGACAAAATATAGTTTTGACATATTTTAATTAATGCTTGCAAGAATTACTATTCATAAGTCAAAATAAAATTTAGATTTTCTTTTCTTTTCTTCTTCATTTTTTGAACTATAATATTAATAAATACATTTTTAGATAAAATAATAATAATTTTATACATGCATAATGTATAATTATATCTTAATAAATTTATTAAGATATGATTTTTAATAATAAATTTATTAATTAATAAATATTACACAAAATTATGATAATCTTAACCATGAATTATATACCTCGTAGTGTCTGGAGGGATAAGGTGGGACTTGTTCGACAAACTCACATGGTCAAGCATATGTTGGCATGTTCCATATCAGACTCTGATTGTACTTCCATTAACAGATTAAGAGCATATATTATATTCCACTCAAAAGATTTTATTTTATTTTTTTCCTTTTTAAGAAAACTACCTGTCATTGAATTCCAAGAAATTTTATAAAATTTATTTGTAAATTTAAATTTTATATTTTGAAATAAAAAAAAAATTTCAATTTATAACAAAACTGAATAAATCAAATGAAATTCTATCAAAATAGATAATTATTAAGTTATATAATAATTATCAAAGGGAAGCTCACTTAAAACAGAATCAATCGAATGATCATTGTTTGTTTCTACACCGTGAACTATTTTCCTATATAAGGGCAGAAATGCAGTGAAAAAAAAAAATGCCACTTATCTTAGATTGACACACTTTATCCTGTTCTTGAAACTTCATACTGGAAATGGATGATATGCCTCAGAAATGTCTACAGCAGCAACGAAAGGTTAACAGTTTCTTTGGATTGCAACCTATAAAATCTCCAATGTTCTCACCAAAGAATTTAAATCACTGGGAAAATAACGGAGCTGCAGCTTTGGGGTACTACCCATTTATCATGAAATAAGGTTGCTGATGCCAAAGTAGAGAGTTTTTTGGTGGAAGGCGTTAATCGCATAGTCAACCTGTAAGTGACCAATTGGAGACTTCAAGCGAAGGCCATATCCGAGCCCGATTCCAGATCCTGGTTTCCCTTGCCTAAGTGCTGGATTTCCTGAAACTCCAATGCAAACTGATTGTTTATTGTTTATTGTTTTTTCATTTTTTGTTGACAAAGAAACTTTGACGTGATACAACTCTATAACAGAGATACAAGAAGATTTGTACCAAATACAGATAGTTCTAATGGGTTTTCCTTATTATGGCAACCTGATTTATACTTTTAAAATACTAAAAAACAAAAATAAATGCATTTTAAGTATAGAACAAAAACAAAAAACAATCATACCAAACAGGCCCTAAATTTATAAACATGCATGCACTTTCAAAAAGTGACGATGATTAGTTTTATACGAATTGCAAGCCTTGAAACTCCTTGGAATTGTGTGCTGCAATATTAAATCTAGCTTTGATGGCATTGAACCTTTTCAGAGTTCCAAATGAATCAGATTTTAGGTGTTATTCTAACATAAAATCTTTTGCTTCATTTTGAAAGTAAATTACCCGACAATTCAGTGAGTTTCATTTCCTAAACTCTAGTCCTCTTTCATTGTCAAACCATATTCAGAAGACATCATCCATAGTTTCCTTATTTAATTTCACCTCTATCCCATGACAAACCTTGATCCAAGTCAAATTTTTCCCTCTTCATTTTCATCGTCTGTCTTCAAAGGTAAAAATCTCGAATCCCAACTGTCCTACCTCAATTGATAAATTTATTTAACCACGTCTGACATTTCAGGCATCAGTCCTAAATATCCTATTATATTAACAAGGTACCAGAAATCCGTGGGTTAGGCCGCTGGTAAAGCTTAGTTTCAAAGTGCTTATTCTTCTTGTCTCATAACCAACCCTAACCTCAGTCCTCCCTTTTTTCTCGCAGCACATAATTAACAACAGATTGACAGATGTGCAGTTGCAATTTAACAGATGAAACTTACCAGGTACAAGGCGACCAGAGCCCAAGTCTGTTCCACAGTCCAAGAAGGCAACACCTTCCAACATCTTATTCTGGAAACAGAAAGAAAGCCGAAAGCTAAATTATCTTGTTCCATTTAGTTAGATCTCAATCTTGAGCAGAAAATATTAACAAAAATATATTGAAAAGGATGTGCATTAGCCATCAAAAGATTTTGCAACTAAATTCAAGAACCAATAGTGCTGAGAAAGCTTTTGGTAATCAATAGCATAAGTAATGAGTAGGGTTAAACGACCTTCACAACACAAACAAAAAAAAAAGAATAAAATGAAATGAAAACATCAAATGATAATTTATGGAATGCTTGATCCTGACCAATCCCTCTGATGTTGGGGAAAAAGACTACTTGGTTATTCAATCCTCATATTAGCCCTGAAAACTGAAAAGGTGGTTCCTACAAGAAAAGGTTACATAAATATCATAATTACAGTACCAGATCCACCAATAGCTCCTCATGTATTGAATGTCCCTATTGTTGCTTCTGTAAACCCTTGGCTACACCATTATTGAAATTGCAAAGGAAGGACTAACACCAGCTCTTACGCACACAATTTCAGATTTTTTCCATCGCCTTTCATTTTAAAAATGAAATCCAGAAAATGCCAGTAATCATGTTGTGAACTTTCATGAGAAAAAGGCATGATGAACATGGTCAATATTCTGAACTTGGACATTGCAGACAAGATAAAAGGAGACTTTCTACTCTGGTATCACAAAGATACAAAACCAGAGCATAATATCCTACCATACCAATCCCCTCATCAATTAGCTTCAACAAGAATAATTTTTCATTTATTTCGCATTTAAGGAGAAAACTTAGTTATTACTAATTACAATTAAGGGGGAAACCTTCTTCAGTTTTATGCATCTACAATTATTAGAGTAGAACCAAATCCAAATTGCCCTTATTGATTTATTTGTGGGATAATTATACAATTGTGTCTGAACTTGGCCAGTTTTTCTATTTTAGTTCCTCAACTTAGTTTTTTTATCAATTGTCTGATATTCTGAATGGATCATTTTATTTTCAATCAAGTGCATTTGCTCGGAATTTTTTACTTGAAAATTAAAATAGATAATTTTATGCAATAAATAATATCACATAAATATCTATTGATTTCATATTTGTTTCTTAATTTTTTAAAAATTTCTTTTTTTATCTATGTTACACGGAGGGGTAAGGTGGGAGGCCATCAACTCAAACCCGAGTCTCTCATGCTAAAGGCATGAGCACCTCCTGGCCGGGCTATGCCCATTCCCCTTTAAAACTTTTTATTGTCTCATATCTTTGTCTGTCATATAAATTAGACACTTCATTGATAAAAAATAAAGTTGAGGCACTAAAATAGAAAAATGAACAAAGTTTAGACATTAACCATATAATGGTCCCTTTATTTTTTCTATTGCATGATAAAGATTTAGAGCCAACTGGACATCTTATGCTAAAGACTGCACAGAATAATCCAGAAATTGTAAAAAGTACAACAACATGCATGGACAAAACATGCCCATATTACAATCTCTAAAAATGATGGAGGTCTTACATACCAAAGGGAATGTTAATTCACTATTAGCAACCAAACATGATCTCCCAGATCCAACAGCACCCTCACCATATCCTCGCACACTACCAACACCGCCGATAGCAAATGCTTGATAAGGAGCCATGTCCCCTACAATGGAACCACCTGTCAGGCTGTTAGAAGAAGAAAAGGTAAGAACATGCAAAAGGAAAATATTAAAGCATTGGCTCAATACATAAATTGGCACCTAAATTTTACAAGAAAAACCTAGTGGCACCTTGACTTTTTAAGTTAACGCATTCAATCCTCCAACTGTAAAATTATACCCATTAAATACTGCAACATATAAACTCACTCTTATAGAATACAAATTTACATGTTTTCAATAATTGGATATGTGTTCAATAAGCACGATACTTTTAACACAAATCATTGAAGAACAATTTTCACATATCTTAACTATTCTACAAGTTTATAATAAGCATAATTCTGTAAGTTGCAGTGCTCAATAGATGCAATTTTATAAGTTTAAGTGTTCTGTACATATAATTCTCCAAGTTGAAGGGTCTAAAGGGTCAACATAAAAATCAAAGAAGCCACAAACAACACTGTTGCTGCCACTGCAGCAACCACATAAAGTTACTGAATTACGCATATTTTCACATAGTTATAATATTTTCAAGCATAGAGAAGAACATAAAGCAACTTTGGTAGGTGCGCAACTGCATGAGCCTTCCAGATGGCTTTATATGCAAAATTAATCCTTCCTCTTTAGGACCCACCATAGCAAAGGCACAGTAGTAGACTAATAATATTAATACTTCCAAGTGATTTATGTACATCTCTAGTGCTTCCTAGTGCATGTCCTGTATGCTAACAGAAAATTCCAGCATTACAATTTCTGTATCCTGGTTTCCTATTTCCGTTGTTTTCAGTCTTCAGCTTTTTTTAATACTATTATTGGCACTTGCTCAAACAACTGGGCAGAATTCACGCAAGAGAGAAAAGAAAACATCACTCACCTTGCCAAGAAAAATGCTGGCCCAAGTTTAACTCCCCTTGTTGCAACAAATTTGAACCGGTTAAAGATTAGCCATTTTGACAAAACAGGTATCCCTTGTTCTATTTGCATGCTGAACTGAACACAAGAAAACTTGTAAGAGAAACACATGATTGACACATATCTAGACGGAATTAAGAATTTTGAACGAAATGGCGATAATCCAGTCAAAAAAGATATAATATATATACATCAAAGGTGAAGATATATTACACGAGAAAAACTGTGATCATTTGCCTTTGCATATCGTGATTCTTGTTTGAGAACTACCATACAGTCATGGGGTCTGCCACTGCAACAAAAAATTTTGCAATAATGTTAGATAAAAATCAGAGAGACATTTCATAAGTGAAATAATAAAAACCCCGATTACCTGCAAGTCACCGGGAACCCATCATGATCACTAATCATGGAGCGGCCATCATCATTCAGCAGGCGCACATGCTGCATTTTCACTTACAACTGTTACACTCATACCAAATCTTAATTAAAACAGAAATTGCCGATGAAAATAATGAAAAGTCACAAGTCTAAAGGAGGTATATGAGTAGCAATGATGTAGCCTTAACCTCAAATTTAAAACTGGTTGTGCTGCTCCATCGAGAACTTGCAGGTTCATTTAGATCCAAGCCAAATGACAATCGAGATAAGTTCACACCTCCACTCCCTGAACGAGAGAAATTGTCGATTGGTGTACCATGGACTCCAATTTCAGGTGAAACAGAATGCTGATCCAGTAATTGGCAATATAAAGCAATAAAATTTTGAGAATTAGTGCACAAAATCAAACAATTTCCTTCAGTTTTCAATTTACATTTCCATCCATTAAATCAACTTGGTCAGCAAATTCACAACTGAGTTAATATCATTTTAGTCTTCCACTATTTTGCAATTCTCATCCATGAAACAATACAATGGCAGCAAAAAATGAACGTTAGATAATCACCTGAATGATAAAACATTGTTGAGCAAGCCATTCAGGTCTCGGCCTCCTATAAGCTACCAATACATTTGAATCATACAGCCCCTTGTCCCATGATACATCGAGCTTCTCGCTCCCTCCAAATAAATTAGGATGTTTGATGCAAAGACTGCAAAAGGACCCAATTAAATTAATTGTCAAATTATTATCCTAATTTACCAATTTTACGCAACCATAGATTGAAAAGCCTAAACAGAAAATAATTACTACCAACAATAACATTGCAGTACACATACCTCCCAATTATCAGTGAAAGAGGACTACCAGCGTGCCTGCCAGATAAAGAAAACGGACGAGTGAAAAATGCGAAAGCCACAGAAATGGGGATTGATTACTAGGAAAGTTTTAAAAAGAAAAGAAAATAAGCAGCAACCTAAGAGGAGGGAGCATCAAAGAGGCACAAAGCTTGTGGGTGAAATCAACATTCACATCAATTTTGGCTGCCACATACAATAAAGCCTATTAATTTCAATAAATAAATATATAAAAAAATCAACAACCATAACTGTAATAGTCAAAAATGCCAGAACAAGAGAAAACCCACAAATTATTAGTATCCATTTATTTATTCACAGACCTTTGCCAGCATGGATGCTCTTCTGAGCTCCCATACTATTAGAACTGAAGCATCAAACATTAATTAGTAAGCAAAAGGGAAGTTGTTTTTTCGTTTTAAAGAGTTTCGAAGGCCTGTCTCGAGTCTTTGAGGCTTAACGGGCAAAGGAGTTCCGAGGTTCCAAGTTTGTTATCTGATTCTTGTATTCGTGATTGGGATTTACTTGCACGTGGAGGCGGAGATGCTCCCTTCCTCTTCGGACATTCTCTCATTCCGTTTGATTCATAGCAATCAAATTTAATTTGTTCTAGGGTTGATTTTTTCCCCTGAAAATTAAAAATTGACCCTTAATTCTTTTAATTTATCCACATGTTTTTTCTAAAAAATTGAGAAATAACTTATATTTTTTATTTTTATATTATCAAAAAAGTAGTATAAGTGTGAAATATACATAAGTTAAAACTATATTACTAAGGATAAGTTAATAATGTTAGCACTAAATCTTTTCCTTGACAATTAAAAAAAAATGACTAGTAGAAATTTATAATAAACCTTAACAAATAATTATTTTGCTTATGCAAACAAAATTAATAAAGGGTAAAGTACAAAAAATTATATTTGCTTTTATACTTTGGTTAATAAGGGTTTTTGATTTTTTAACATCAAATTATGATTATTTTGCACAAGTGTAAATACTATTCTTATGTTTGAGATCGTGATTTAACATTTGAAATTCTATAAAAAATTTAATTTTATTTTAATAATCTATTAATATACTAATTTTAATTAAATGCATGGCGCGCTAGACTGTTGATATTCCACAGTAACCATTGCATTTGATGGTCAATTGTCAAACAAAGCAAACCACATGATTCTGAATATCTAAAAAGAGTGGGACTCCTATTAATAAAAAGATGTCAAACTGTAAGATAGTTTTTTATACTTTTCCCTATAAAAAAAATTAAATCATAAAAATTTATCCAAAATCAAGTATTTATAAATATATAACTGTGTGTGCGCGTGTACATGTAGAGGTATTAATATTAAGCCTAGAGCCAACCCAACCCCAAATTTAATCCAACTTAGAAATGTTAGGCATGAACCTTATGCCAGTCCATAAACTTAAATCCGAGTCCTGGTTCAACCCTAGAGACAAATGTGAAAAACACATAAAGAAGTAGTAACAATTTATCAAATAATCTCATTGCTTAATGTGCAGAAATCTTGGCAACACAAACACCTAAGGCTCAAAATTAGATAGCTAATTCACATCACAAAAAAGATACAAATAGTTACATGCACTTTTCCAAATAAACTACTTGAATATGCTTCTTTTCTTTTTCCCTTTTGCCTCCTATCTCCATCTGAGAATGCAGGAAGATAAAGAGGGGGAGATTTAATAAATGGCGATTCTCTAAATGTCTAGCTCCCAGAAGAGGGGTATGTATCACTGATACCAAAATAGCTCACCCAGCCTAGGAAGGACCTGAATTCACTGGCTTCTGGAAGACTCTTACCACTGGCATTCCATCACCGTCATCATTTACGGTCCTCCATGACCGATCCTTTTTCCTCTGAGGCTTCTTATGGTGCTTATGTGATGCATTTGGCTTCTTAGTAACAGCCTTCTTGGAAGCTAGTCCATTTGCCATATCAAATGAATTTAGATCGTCAAGCACACGCTCGAGAACAGGTGCACTTTCACCTTCAACATCTGGAGGCTTCTCAGAGTCAGATGAATCTGTCTCATGTGTCTCGGACAAGCTGGGTCCTTCATTTTCTTCAACGCCTGCTTCCTCACGAGCCATTCCAGGTGGCATCTCATAGTGGGGTAGCTTACCATCTAGGTAATCTTTCAAAATTTGACGTGCAGCTCTAGTTTCATCAGGCAGTCCACTGGAGGCAACATATCCACGAGATGCACAGTAAGCCCTTAAGAATTCTGATGCCAAAGGAGCCCGAGATTGTGGCTCATATGGCTTGGGCTTTGGCAGATTTATTTTGTAAACATCCTCGATCACATGCCTTGGGACTCGATTAGCCACGACCTGCACAGCCTCCCTGTGCTCAGTCATTCGGTCAATTGGTAATACCCCTGAAGCAATCATTTCATATCTTGAACTTGAGAAGGAAGGGAACACCAATCCAGGACAGTCGCACAAGGTCAACTCCTCGGAAATTATTAGCGTTTGGAAATGCTTGGTCTTCCCTGGAGTGGAGGTTACTCCAGTCCGCTTCTGGCCTACCAAAGCATTGATTGTGGAACTTTTGCCCACATTAGGATACCCAACAAATCCCAACATCACATTCTTTGGGTTTGAATTTCCAGCAACATTTCCTCCTAGAGATTGATCATTGGATGGGCCAGCGCCACTGGAGCCTGATTTCCTCCTCATCTTGACTATCTCTTCAGCCTCTGATTGTAAGCGAGACAAAAGCTCATCCCTGCCATATATTTTTGTATCAGGGTCAGGGTCATCCATCTTTTCAAGGGAAGATTGTCCCTTCCATAGTTCTTTGAGTTTTTTCCCCTCAAGAGCAGCAGAAGCAGCCTTAGCTGACCAGAACACAAATAGAATCTCATGAAGGCGAAAATACTCTGCCCATTTCCGCCTGTAGTTAAGACAGTAAATTCAAAGTTCAGAGATCTAAAAAGTGGGGGATTGAAAATATCAGTGCAGACTTGCTGAGGCAACTAGTGACCTGACTGAAAAGGGCAAAAGATCCGCTTTGTTCACAAGGAGCAATGTCCTCTTGTGCTCATCCACCTCTCGTACATATACCTAAATAAAAAATAAACAGATCATAAGGGCAAGCAAACGTTCTCTTGTTCGCAAGCATCAGTCCTCTTGCTCACAATGGCAAGCAAAATTTCACTACTGAAGGACTAAAATCTGATTGCTTCTTCCACTGTTTCTAAGTAAAACATAGTGTGGAGATGGTATTTGTGAATTATTTGGATGGCATTGAGAATAAACTGACGATTTGGTTGCTAAACCAACTCATAGTTGATTTCAGCACTCGATCCATTACTTGTTAAAAGGTCCAAGCAACTTGGATTAAAAAAAATGTGGAACGCCCTGGGGAAAAAAAATGCATCACTATCATTACAGCACCCTATGAACCATCAGGAAATGGGAATTCCAAAGTAGCATCTGCCATTTAGATCTCTTCAAATGACATCTGAGGTTTTTCCTCAGATCTGGTTACTCTTTTAAGAAAACTGCTTCCTGGTCATGTTAAGTCTTTGTTTTCAGAAATATCCTAAAAAATATTCTCTAAATTTTCTAATATCTGAGGCTCTCACGAAAATCAGTCAACGAAAAACATTTTCCTAGCCTAAAGGAAAAATATGCCATTTTAAAGGGAAATAACTTCTCCTTTTCAAGAGAGAAGAACATTTCCTGGACTCCAACAACTTTTTATATAAAAGAGAAACTCATAAATATATATCCATAAATTCACAAATCATAAAAAGTCATCATTGTCCACCATTGCCAACGAAAATAGGCATCAGTAACTAGAGACCACCATAATTTGTCATTTTTATGAATTTTTTCTCATATTTAATATTCCATTCATTTACAAATGATAGTCCATATTGCTTTTGACACGAAGATTAAGGAAAGTCATTCAAAAAAAAAAAAAAATATTTCGTAGGTTTCTCAATTTTATCCTCATTATCTAAGCAAGAGAGTGGCACAAATATTCACAAGTGATTTGAAAGGTATTATTAATGAAAAAGCTTTTTAACTTATTGAATTTCAACTTAAAAAAAAAAAAAAAAAAAGCTTATTTTTTTGGACATCCGAAAGGGAATAAAGACTACTACTTATGGACCAAGAAAAAAGTATAGCTTTTAAAAAATATAAAGTTTTTATAATTCTAAATAGTTTTATAGTCTTATAAATTAAAAATGTTTAAATGTTTAATTAATCAAAATGAGTTCTTTGGAAAATATTTTCGAGAGGTAAGTCATGATCTACAAACAAATGGATTCTAAGATACTTTTAAATCTTCATAAGCAACATTTCAAAAACAAGATCTAAGAATTTATTACCTCAAGATCAGGACAACGGTAGAACAAGGGATCTCGTGCATCAACAACCATTACTAGCTGAACAAAACACATCAAGACAGAAATTTCATGAGATAGATGCATTATACATAACTTAAGGAAAAGATTTAATATAACAAATATTCAAAGAAAAATAAATGCCTTATTAAAGAGATGCACTAATACACGTCACCACATTATAAATGCAACAAGAGGCACCCAGGAGAATATCTTACATGTTAATTTCAAAGTAGTACTTTTAGACAAAATGTATCAACAAAAAATGAAACCAGCCGATAGAGTATGCATTCAACAGAGTTTAGTCCTTGACTTAAGAACACCAATAATATGCATTGTAGCTAGATAAAAAAGTAGCAAAATGTTTTAAGTAGTGTTCAGGAAAAAGCTTTATAGTCAGTGGCTTATTACCATGGAGCCAGTTTATTTGGGGTAGTTTTACTTGGTATTTTATTTTTCTGTTTTTTCCCTTGCATAGATAAAAATATGCAAATTAGTTTCTTCATCAGTAGGTAGTTGTTAAGCAAGTTGTTTATTGTAGTGGGTACTTGTCTGACTTTAGCTATGCATTCAGTTGTTTAAAAGACTGCGGGTTAACGAAAACTTAGCAGAAATTTAACAAAGGGTTTGAGCTCCTAAAACTCAGGAATTGTATGGTTCTCTCAAACAATTTTAAGAAATCATAGGGTTCTCTTCTCTCTTAAGGAACCCTAATTCCTTCTTTATGTTCAATCAAATACACCCATAGCTAGATCATAAACTTGAGACTGCAACACGTATATATTATATAGTGCTGAGTTACTTTGCATATTGATTTTCTCTAATAATTTTGAGCCTCGCAATTGCGCAAGCCCAAGGCTAGTCACTTAAAAATGACATTTTAAGTACTAGATACATACATACATTCTTGAGGCAGGTGATAAACCAACTATTGGTGCTTTCACCAACATATAATCCTAAATATTCTTGGCACAAGCTTGAAGTGCTAACAATGAAAATATTTTACTGAATCAACTACTATTCAAAATTGAATATCAGTTTGCCTTCTCTTCGATATAGGGATCATGATTTTCCCAAGTATTGTTATAATATCAGAGAATCTGACCAATGCCATAGGAAAAGGAAAGCATCCATTCAGTTCCAAAATCAATGCAACAGAAGAAAAGTCAGCTTACCAGATCACTGCGCTCAACCACCCTCCAAAGTTGTCTCCAAATATCTAGGTTCTTCTCAAATGGAGTAAGAACAAGTTTCTCATTCTCTTCGAGGCTGAAGAAAAAATTACATTGGATAGAAATACATAAGAAAAGAGCATCAAAAAACAAATTATTAATACTCATCTAAAGACAAGGACAAATTAAACAAGGATATAGAAATCACTAGTAAACCAAAATCCAAAATGTTCTTCGAAATAACAAAGGTTCCAATCCAAGCGTTTTCCTTTCAGCATGATTCATAATGCTGTTTCTAAATTGAAAAACATGGAGAACCTAGGTCAAAACGCAGCTCCATTCATCAGTTTTTTTTAAGTTTTGTTCCCTTCCTTTTCCAAATGAATTTTATACATTCTCGCATTAAATGTATCATTTAGAAATGGTTGCCAAGTATTAACCGAATGATCAACTCCAAGGTAAACCTACTAGCTAATTATAGCTTTGGTTTCAACTTAATTAATGATCCTAACCTCGCAAGGCTTCTACGCCAGACTAAGAAAGCTTGTCTTTCATTGGCATCAAGCTCCTCAACAGACATTCCAGCATTCCATGGTGGCCTATAAGAGTAGAAGCAAACAATTTTAGCTTGATACTAATGCCGCTTAAGCTTAAAAGGGGAGAAAAAACATGCCTGCGAGGGACACGGAGACTGCTAGCATGTAATGCCTCCTCTTTCTTCTGCTCTTTCCTCCTTTCCTCCGGTGTCATATCGCTGGGACTTGAGCTTGTGTCGCTGCTCAAACACAAAATTGAAAATAATCAACAAGAAATAAGCAGTAAATAACAGAAATTCATCAATCAAACAGAAGAAGGAAGCTAACAGGTTGATTAGGACGGTGGGGGCGGCGTGCTGAAGAGAGAAGAGACGGTCGGCCTCCTCAGCCTGCTCGATGACGGCGTCGATGTCGCTAACTTCAGTGATTGATTGGAGAACTTTATTGTGAAGAGCGTTGTAAAAACGACCTTTCTCTTTCGATTGTTGAATCATCTGGTTATGGTGCTTCACTAATGATCTACCTAGCCCTGTTTTCTCGTTCTTGCCCATTTTTTTATTACTCTTCTGCTATTTCGAAAAGATGTCTTTCCAACTATTTTAATTTCACAGAGAGTTTAATCTTTCAACTGGCTATGGAGAAGGAGAATATATTTGTTTCATCTACGTATGAACAGACCGTCGACAAGTTAGAAACGTTTCGTTTGTAGGGTATGAAGAGTTGCCGGTTTTTCTGGTTGAATGAACCGGGAGATATAATTGGATCTGGATCATTCCTTGAGGTTTCGGTTTCAGTCCTAACTCCGGTTCCCGTTTAGCTTTTTTTTTTTTTCTTTGGCTAGTTTGTTCCCGATTTATCAACTTAAGGTCATGGTTCCCGGTCTGGTTTGGTCCTTAAAAACAATAATAATAATAATAATAAAGGCTTAATATACACTTTCACCACCAACTTTGCTAATTGTTGCAATTTCACCATAAAATCACATTTGTTCCGTTGGCACCCTAATCATGGTCTTTAGTAATAACTGCATCCTAAATAATAAATAGGGATAAATTTTTAAATATAAAATTATAAATAGTGGAACCTAAATAGTTATTTTGAAGCAAACTCCACAAAGAGCGATTATTAGAGCTCTAAATGTTGATTTCATCAATAACTTGATCCTTCACTGTTAGTCTGCGCAATCTAAGTGAGTCAAATGAGAGAGAAAAAAATAGAATCCCAATAAGCACCCAAAACTTTTACTTAAGCTCATCACCGTTGCTTTATTTCCCTTTCTCAAACTACAGTAAACTGAGGAGCCACCTTAAGATCGATTGTTCACTTTATTTTACCAATCACTGTTTCTTCACTAGCACATGCGTTTCAAGAAATTTTACCATCTCTAATTGTTGATTGTAACTGTTAATTAATTAATTCTGATTTTATTATAGTTTGAATTATTCCTGGATAGTTGTCCTAGTTTCAAGGGCTGTTAGTAGTGTGATTAGTGGTTTGTTATTTAATAAAAAATTGAGAGTTCACATTTGGTATTATTAAAGCACAATAACAACTAATTGATTTTATCTATCACTAGCGTACAAAATGTCACGCACGTTTCTATTAGTAAATTGTTTTGCCATAAGTGACTTTCTAAATTGTCTTTGAATTTGTATGGAATACTATTTGTTATATTATTAATTTGAAATTATTATTATAGTTTGATGTCTTTAATTTTTAACCATACGGATATATAGATATAGTACCGTGGTATTAGATGTCAATATGGGCTACGTTAGTAGTAGAGATATTAGGCATGTAGTCATTGGAGTTTTTTGTTTTTATTTATATATTAATGACCGCATATTTTGTCATAGTCTTAGTTCAAAGTTAATGTCTTTGAGCTACACTCATCGTTTAATATTATTTAATAGTAAAAATTTACGTTTGAGGTGATCTATTTTAATATAAAGATCATTAAAGTTCTATACCACAGTTAAATACATGTCAAATATAATTAGATTTTATAGAATCTTGAAAGTTCATCCAGTTTCTTTCGATATATTTCCCCTTTGAGTTTTATTCTATTCTCTTGAGGATATTCAAGGTTGCACATAACGGTCACTGTTAACTAACATACATCTGACAATTTAATATCAAACATTCCTAACAATTAATCTAGAGTCTCAATTTCCTTTGATGGATCAGTATTTATTGCAAATTCAGGATTGGATTGAGCTTCTGGTCGGCACACGATTATGATGTAATCTTGAGTAATTTTGATTATTAACAAAATAAATATTATTCAGGATTTTCAAGAATTCGATATATGGGATTCGATTTATTTTAAAATTTGTTGGATAATATGGAATAGTATGTATCTGAACCTTAAGATGTCTAATAGCACCACATTAAATCTGAGTTTCTAAAAAAATCCCGAAGTAGCCAAATTAAGTAGAGCTATCTACCAGATAGATATGATAGTGTGATCCATAAGAGTATGAGACAGTAGTTGCTATTTATAAGTTACTTCTATTTCTTAATTTCCCAGGGAAATTAGAATTTGTATATTGAGTACACATTTTTGGAAGTAAACTTAGACATATATAACGTGAGCAAACACCCTATGCACAATTAAGTTGACTTGAATAGCTTAGATTTTAGAGGACTATCATATCTTAATAAACTAGTATCCTCACTCTTCATAATATTTCCGATTGTGTTATGACATAAATATCTATTGCAGAGAGAAGAATAGTCGTACTACCAAGTTCACCCTAATTAGGCACGTATAAAATGGGGAGTTGCTCTCATTATACGCCCAATTGTTTTAGGATGGCCCACCCACTTTATGGACACCCTTTGTTTGTACGACTATTAACATTATGTAAAGGTTCCTGACCAAAAAGCACTACTGACACATTTACATCTCACTGAGACACGGTGACACATTCATGTAGCCAGTTTATGGCAAATCCTACAGGTTGAGTAGACGCATTATGTTGAGCGATCTCCTAAAAACGTGCTCCAAAGAATTTCCTGCTTGCGTATGCATAGTTTATGATTATGCTTATAGCTAAATTGAAGATAGCCCAATTAGACCCTATTATCAAAACAATTAGATGTATAGGTTAATTGTTTACCCGGTTTCTCCTACGGACAGCGTTCATCCCAGATTCACATTACGTTGTAATGGAAAGCTGACAAAATCAAAGAATTGAGAGCAAAACACATCAACCATTATTTGAAACAGGCTTTGTAGACCAAAAGCCACATAAGCCAAATCAGAATTCTTGGATTCAGACTCCTCTGCATAAGCATCTATGTTTGAGACTAGAGTATTTTCACTCGCATAATGATTGAGTAATCGATACCGACAGCGCGCAACAAGGCTCGGGATAAGAGATCGCTCAACTTTGTTCACCACACACAAATGTGATACGTACGGAGTGAGCAAACATACCAACACTTATGGAACGTCTCGCCTTTTGAGGTTAGATTCCTCTACACACCTACTTACCTGCAGAGGTGAATAGTTGTCCTCTCATATTGGACTCATTTCCCATCATTCCAGAGCTGGAATTTATATTTTCTATTTGTTCTCTTTCGCGTTTACAGGATAAGGGTTACTGAGTTTTGGACTACATTTCCTTAGTGTCGCAGTCAAAGAGAGAATCACGTTCTAAATGAGGCATGGACATTAACATAAGACTATGCACATGATGGATCTTGATAATGATAAGAGGATGATAAGCCACACACTTGAAACATTTATTGGACATTACTGGGAAAGCTTCTATGGAAACTAAAAATTAATCTATATACACTCCACATTGGCAGAAACAAATGTCAGCTTCAAGGTGACATCAGCGCCCATTGTTGAGGAAGGCTAAGGAAGAACTTACCAGTATTAGCCACCAGGATCATATGCACTGCTAGCGGGACTCCATATGCTTGTTATTTGGGACCCTTTGGTAGACATTCACCTTTTAATTCAAGTAAATAATGAGACTAGCACACTCAATACAATCCTTGCAGATTATTGTTGTGAGATATACGGATTGTGTCCCTCGCACACTATCTTATTAAGATTAGCCGTCTGGTTTAATTTATTTACAGATGTACTTTGTTTTTGACCCGCATACATATTTTTGCGAACTTCGTTCATAATTCTTAGTGTGCCTTATCACGACACGCAAGTCAGATGAATAATAATCTAGTCCGGTGACGGAGGTGCTCGTATTCGCACTAATTGAATTTTTGGTTGATTCCGACAGGGAAGATTCTTAATCCACATTTGTTGTTTGTTGATCAACAAGGGTACATCTCTGTTTTTTTAATGTACCTGATATGAATAACTAGTTTGTTGAAGTATGGGAACAGCGATCATGGCCGAAAGGGTTATGTGATGCCCACATCTCTAAGAAATCTCAAAATCATCTCAATTTCTTTTTTTATGGATAAATGGCACAGATCTCACAAACTATTCTTTACCATATATATAACCCTTATAATTTTTAATATAAAACCCGTTTTAAATTTTATCGTTCTCACTCATCGATAGATTACTTTCATTCAATCATTCTTGAGGTTGTATCTTTAATCTATGTTCTCGCCTTTTGAGTTATAATGAGACTATTATATTGGTTGTGTGAATTATTTGAATCAATGGGTTTAATGAGACCGCATTACAACTCGCCCACCTTTCGAGTGGCACTTAAAATTTAATATTTTGGATTAAATATCGCTGGCCAATTTTCAATTCTAACATCCATATTGGAGTCTCAACGAATGAAAAATCAAGATACCTTATTCACATTTTATCATCTCACTCCACTTCATCCTCCTGGCCATACTTTGTTTGTCGCTTGGGGGGACCATGGTTATCCTCAAACTTATAGGACAGATTTATACTCTATTCATTTCTCGCGCATGCACTATTTCTCTGTTACCATAGAGCCTCTTGGCCGTTTACCTCGATAAATTTTCAAAGCTTGGAAAAACTTTCCAAACATAATTTAGTGAATGGTTTACCACTTATTCATCACCCTGATCAAGTGTGTGAGGCTTGTATTTTTGGAAAGAATCACAGGATGCCTTTTGTTAAAGAGCCTTGGCGTACGAAATTTCCGTTGGAGCTTGTTCATACGGATGTTTGTGGCCCGATGAATATATCATCAATTGGAGGTAACAAATATTTTTTAACATTTATTGATGATTTTTCAAAGAAAACATGGGTTTATTTGTTGCAGAGCAAGGATGAAGTATTCCACTACTTTAAACTATTTAAAGCATTTGTTGAAAGACAAAGTGGCAAATTAATCAAGATGATGCGTAGTGATGGAGGAGGTGAGTACAAGTCCAATGATTTTAAGAGTCATTGTGAAGAACTCAGCCTGCAACATAATATTACTTTTCCTTACACTCCTCAACACAACGGAGTCTTCCTTACACTCCTCAACACAACGGAGTCGTCGAGAGAAAGAACAGGACAATCATGGATATGGCAAGGAGCATGCTTAAAGCTAAAGGAATGCCTAATAATTTTTGGGCTGAAGCTGTATCATGTGCAGTGTATTTGATGAACAGGTCACCTACTAGGAGTGTTCCTAACACAACACCTATTGAGGCATGGAGTGGATTCAAACCCAATGTACAACACTTGAAGGTATTTGGTTCAATTGCTTATGCTCATGTACCTAAAGCAACAAGATCCAAGCTGGATGATAGAG